ATGTCCATTTATAGAGAGGAGGCACAGCTACCACCATGCCAATTTCAAAGCCCTTGAGCAACACAGAAAAGGTTTACCATTGAATGTTAAGTGGCAAAAGGAAGGATGCAATAGTTGATTATACATATACTCTGGTTGTGCCTGGGTGAACATCTCTCTTCAAGGCAAGAAGCATTCGAAGGAATCACAAAGAAATGGAAATATATTAGGGTGATAGGACCATGAGAATTCTTTTGCTATGTTGTCTTTTCAATCAAATGGGGGGCAAAGATTTACTATGACCTATTAAAAACATTAGTTCATATGAAGCGATGGACTCCCCCTGCCCCCACCACTGTTTCCTGCATCCCTTCCCAAATAAAATGTTGGCTCGGGAGTCACGTCTCAGTTAGCTTTGGGAGAGAAACAGGCTAAAATGGTCTACTCTCAGGACTGGGATGTCTGGGCCACAGGGCGTGTCCATCTTTACGGTTCTTTTCATGGTTCTATTTCAGCCAAACTCCTCTCTTTCTGTTTTCATTTGCTGATCCTGAAAACTGGGATTTGGCGGCTCAGACAGCTGCACTGGATCATTGGAAACACATTCGCATGTGTCCAGCCATCCCCGCTTCCTTCCTTTGTGTACACAGAGGTTAGGGCACTTTGGGAGTTGACATCATCAAGGCAGATTCAGTGCCCAGAGTCTGCAATTTATCAAAATGTAAAGGATGTGAAAATGGAATTTAGCCTGCAGATTTGAGTTCCTTATCAAATGCCTCCAAGCATGTTCCGTGAGTGACATAAATTAAGCCTTTATCCACAAGATACGCTATCTCTGTGTAGGGCCTTCCACATTGTTTTCTGATGGAAGTCATTAGAAGCTTGGGTCCCACAGATAAGAGACCAGTTCTGCCCCATCTATGAGTCAGCAAGGACATCGAAGCCTGCCCCGGGCTCTCTCTGGCGGGACTGTGCCAGAGGGCTTGGGAGGGCTTCTGGGAAAGAAAAAAGGGGCAAGAGTCAGCCCCAGGGACCTGGGCAATGGGGCCATGCTGGCAAATGTTCATTGAGTCCTACTATGTGCCAGCCACGGGATAGAGATTTTGAGACATTATTTCTTCCCCTTAGGAAACTCAGAACAATATAACCCAAATGCCCATCGATGGGTGAATGGAGGAATGAAATGTAGTTTATCCATAGCTTACAATGGGGTATCATCCAGCCATAAAAAGGAATGAAGTGCTGATATGTGTTCCAACACATGTGAACCTTGAAAATATTACACTGAGTGAGAGAAACTAGAAACAAAATCACATAATTGTCTGATTCCATTTGTGTGAGATAATGTATAAAACAGGTAAAACCACTAAGACAGAGAGGAGTGATTGCAGGGACTGCGGGGAGATAAGGGTGGAAGCAAAAAAAAAAAAAAAAGATTTATCTTAGACCTAAGTAACAACTTAAAATCAAATATTAGACAACAGTGTTCTCTAAACCCTGTGGTCACCCTGCCATAAGAAACTGCTTACCTGACACCTTTTTTTGAAGGTTCCAGGGTTCCACCACATTGTAAAGCTCCCGTCTCCAACCTCAAATTATTAATTTCTTATGTAAGAAACATAAGAAATACTTTAAACATAAAACACTTAGATTTTTCATCAAGTGTTGTTTTTGTTTTTATAGTATAAACTATGACCCTGGTGTCTCCCCTGTCCCGACTCCAGCGGCCTGTGTGGGTGTTTCCTAAGGAGAAGGCATCCAGAAGAACAATGGTACTAGTAGTTAAAGCAATGTTCCCACCACTAAAGTAACATGGTAATTTTGGCAACTTTAATTAATTTTGAAAGTCACCATGAACAATGAACATTATTCAGGAAGGCAAACAAAGATGGAGAATTATTAATTCTGGAAATGTCTGCATTTAATTATTACCGTATAAACATTTATTGAGTGCCAAAAAAGAAAAAGGAAAAGGAATGACTCACTCCCTGATATGTGCTATAAGACGGATGAACTTTAAAGACACTATGCTAAAGTGCCCTGGCTAGTATGGCTCAGTGGATTGAGGGCCAGCTGGCAAATAAATTTTTTAAAAACTGTAAAAAAAAATAAAGACACTGTGCTAAAGTGAAAGGGGAGTGTCACAAAAAAGTCATCATCATATTGTATGATTCCGTTTACATGAGGTGTCTGGAACAGGCAAACCCATAGAGACAGAAGGTAGGTCAGTGGCTGTCAGGTGCTGGGGGAGGAGGAAATTGGGTGTGAGTGTAATTGTACACAGATCTGGCTGCCGGCTGCTACAAACACTGAACTCGAGAGACAGGTGCTGATGTAAGGGAAAGTGGTTTATTTTCAGGTGCTGGCCCCCTGGAAGATGGGACTCATGTCTCAAAGCCCATCTTCACATCGCAGTGCAGGCAGAGGTTTTTATAAGGAGGGAGTGGGGAAGCAGAACAAAGAGATCAAGGGAGGGGCTTGAAAAGTTCTCGACATGCAGAGGAGCACAGCCCATTCTGACTGTCCGGTGATGGTCTGGTGGGTGCACCATCCGGGCTCTGTGGTTGGAGGTCAGCAAATTTTCCAAAGCTGGGGTGCCTGAAGGTCGAAATCTGTATCTTTTGAAGTTAGTTCCTAGGATTCTTATACAGTTATGCTGTTTATCTACAAGCTACATATTAGAGTCAGCATTTACAGAAACAATGTCAAAAGAATGATGGGGTGGGTTACAATTTCCCGCTGTTATGTGAATGCTAATGAATTTTCTTTTGGTGTGATGAAAATCCTCTAAAATTGATCATCGTGATGGTTATACAACCTCATGAGTATACTAAAAGGCATTGATTTGTGTACTTTAAATGGGTGAACTGTATGGCATGTGAATTATATCTTAGTAAAGCTCTTATTAAAAAATAAAAACAAAATTCAGAGGGGATAAGCATATTATACGAGGCAAGTTCTACAAAGCTCACAAGAGAAGTGAGATTTGAGCTGAATCTTGAGGGTGGTCAGGGAAGGACTAGGGAGAAAGTGGCCCCTGGCACAGGGGACAACACAGGAGCACAGAGACGAGTAAGGAAAGGTCAGCAGCAATTCGTTAAGAGAGTTAGGAAGAGCAGTGACTTTGAGCTTGACAGGGGAAGGGGATGATAGGCCCACGATACTTTAAAAAAATAATTTATAATTTTTGAACAGGTTATACATTCACGCACATGGCACAAAATAGAAAGGCTTTAGAAACGCGGCCAATAAAACAAAAGTTTATTCCCTTCTCTGTCTCCCACTGACCTCATCCCCACACCCAGGCACTCACTGTTGCCAGTGTCTGTATATCTGTTACAAGATATACACATACAAATAAGTCTCCATGTGTGTTTTCATGTAAAAGCCATTACATCACTAATAATGTCTCATACTTTGCTTGTAATATGAGCAAAAATCTTAGAGATCCTTCCAAATTTGTATACAGAGAATTCGCTCATTTTGTATTGGGAATGTAGGACGTACCACAGTTCGTTAACCAATTTCCTGTCACTGGACATGCAGGTTGTTCCCAATTTTTCCTTCCCACAAAATTCTGCAATAAATAACCTCATACATGTGACCTTTCACATACGTATGAATTTACCTGTAGGTGAAATTCCTAGAAGTGGAATTGCTAATTACAGAGCTTGTGCTTAGAATTTTTTTTCTCAGAATTCAGCTTTTATGGAACGTGTTCAAAAAAAGAGGGTTAGTCCAAAAGACTCAAACCTGTGTCATCACCAGACTCCTTAGACTCTTCTTCCTTGGCTTTCACTTTCTCCTCCCCAGCTGGGGCAGCAGCAGGGAAGCCTACACTGCCGACGAGGCTACCATGTCGACACTGGCCCAGCCTTCGCAGCAGGCCTGGCCGGCAAGATTCAACATTTATACCCTTTAATGAGGGTGCTGATCTCATCCTCCATGACTGTCACCTTGTCGCTGTGCAGGATGAGGCCTGAGAAGATGCAGGCGAGCTCTGAGACAGGCGGAGGCCGTGGTGTGGGTGGGCGCTGGGCCCGTGCTGCCGGGCACAATGCTTGTCAACAGATGAAGTGAGGGCCTCGCACCCCCTGTGGCCCTAGCTTCCTAGTTAGGAATCAGCCCCTTACTAGTAGCTGGGGAGAGGGGCGCACATTTTGACAGATACTGTCATGCTGCCCGCAGTAGAGGTTGTGCCAATTTATTCTATTGGGAAAGAGAGCCCGATTCCCCACATTTTGAGATGAGTGTTTGGAAATGTTGTCTGGGGCCAGTTCACACAGGGAATTGTAGGCAAAGCTAAGAAACTTGAACTTGATCTGTCGTGCACCAACACCCACTGGAGGGTTTAGACACTGGATGAGGATGGTCAGGTTTGAAGTTTTTAGAGCTTATTTCCATCATAATTTCAAATAAATTTTGTAGAAAACATCATTCTCTAACAGGCATGAGTGGTAATGTGATGGACCAGAGAGGGGAAAAAGCCTCCTCTGGGATTCAAGCTGTGCTGGACAGAATGTGATTATCACGTAGGCACAGCAGCCATTCTAGACAATAACATTGGATATGAGTGCAACCTGTTTGGTTTTTTTTTTTTTACAATCCCATAACTCTAACTGTCTTGTCATTTTTCTTTTATCATACTCTTCCCACATGCAGATGGCTTCTAACGAAGCGTTTGGCCTTCAAGGGAAATGATATAAAACTGACAGCCAGGAATTTTTATCAGAAGCTAACAGTTGACCAGATGACAAGAAGATAGGTGATATAGCAGCTTCAGCTTGCTCTGGAAGACCATTCTGCAAATAATTGTATTTGGAACCGGCATTAAACAAAGAGCTGGGGGAAGCAAAACTGCAGACACATTTATCCCGAGTCTTTGTTTCTCAAACAAGAGGTGGTCGCTGTTATTTGATGCAAAGAGAGAGGGAGAGATGGATGGCAGGTGGTTGCGAAGACAACAGCATATGAGGGACTGAGAGCCAGCTCCATCCAGAGTCTCCAGCAGTGGTTCAAGGATGAGCTCAGCAGGCCTGGGCCTCCTGGGGCTTGCTCTCAGGTTTATGGCCGCTATTGCTAAGCCAGAGGAGGGCAGCGTTTGCTCTAAGAGCCAAGTGGCTTTCAGAGACTCTTGCTATGAATTTGTGCCTTTGGGCCGCTCCTTCTGTGATGCCCAGAACTGGTGTGAGAGGTGAGTAGGCCATTTGGTCTTCATCCGTGATGAAGGCACCCAGCGGTTTCTACAAAAGCACATCTCTCAAGACAGGGAATGGTGGATCGGGCTCACAGGGAACTCGGCTCCGAACGGAACCACAGAAGGTAGGTGGTGCTGGGATAACTGTTTCACGGTAGCCTATGGCTGCAGTTCTCACCACTGCACCCTACCCAAAGCTCCATAGAACAAATGAACATGCCCCATTCTCATGGCAAAGAAACCCTCCTCTTCGGTTGTTTGGTGGATCAAATAAAACAATTCATGCCCAGTATTTAGCACAGAACCTGGCACATAGCTGACACCCTAGAAACTTGCACTTCTTTGCACATGCCTAATCATAATATTAGCTATGAAATATTTGTTTCTTGCTAAAATAATGTACAGCACTATCCTGAGTGCTTCATGTCCATTGTCACATGGAATCCTCATGATTACTGGTAATAAAATTATCAGCTGTCTCTATTTTACAGGTGAGAAAACTGAGTCTCAGGAAATAATTACTAAGCTATTTTCAAAGCACTTCCACACCCCCACCCGCACCCCCACCCCTATGAGGCTGAAGCAGGTCGAGTGCTTTGCACGGCCCCATTTATATTAGATAGTCCCATTTTAATGGTTCTGGGAGCTCTCACTTACCTTTTACTCCGGGAGAGCTCCTTGCCCCAACCCCAGCACAGCCAGGGGAGCCCTTCTCTAAGCACCTGCAGGACCTGTCCACACCTCTATAAGCATCCCTTTGTCATGACTTTAGTTATGCAGGTGTCTTCCTCCCAGACAACAAGCTCTTCAAGGGAAGGAACCATATCCTAGCCAAAATCCCCCTGCCCCCCACCCCGTGCATGTACATATCAAAGCGCGGACAAATAAACCTTGGTGTTTAATCCTCACACCTGCCCCATGAGGTAGGCATTGTGACTCTTACGTTGTGGGTGAGGAAGATGAAGCCCAGAAACAGGGACAGCCTTGCCTAAGATGACACATCTGGGCAAGGGAAGCATCCTGCCATCTCATACTGCTCAGTGGAAACTGCAGGGTTTTACAAACAAGAAACTTGGTCTGGGCTAAGCACCTAGAGAACTAACTATACCAGAGTGGATGGAAAGTGCTTTAATAAAGGAGCAGATGGGCAAGCTCATTTTGGGATACTCACAGCCAATAGATGCAAATTTTCTGCAACGTGTCTCCAGGCAATCTCTCTTGAATGGTTTCTTGTTCTGTTGATGCAGCCATATGTGGGTTTCTGCATTTTGAACGTCCATTCATATGCACTTAAAGGACTTGGGTCTATTTAAAATCTACAGGGGACAGATCTGAGCAGGCTGATGTGTAACAACCTTCAACAGGCAATGTTATTTAAGAAGCGAGGGACAGGATGCTGTGTGCAATATGATGGCATTCGAGTAAACAGATCTCAGGCACTCCTGGGTGCCGACATGTGGATAAAATTCAGCCTGGATCAACTCACAAGAAATGTAACAATAATGGGAGCAGTACAGAGGTTGGGAAAGGGAAGATGCTTTCATTTTATGCCCTTTTCACACTTAAAAAAAATTTAACCATTTGTATGAATTTCTTTAAAAAATTAATACATATATCTTGAATCTTTACATTAAATGTTTTACATCTGGCGTTCTCTAGATCTCTAGTGTCCTTGAAATGCCTCTGTATCTTTCTCTCTCTCTCTCTCTCACACACACACACACACACACACACGGCGCTTCTTGGAGGAACATCATTGGATTCAAGGCTCTGAAGGGTCCTCAAGCAAGGAAAACTGCTTCCATGTTAACTCGGCAGTGCCCAGATACATTTGACAAAGGCCCCTTTTCTGTGTGAAATACCCTTTAGCACCAAGGCTGAAAGCATCATTTATTCAGTTAAACCACCTTGTACAGGCTCTCCAACTTGGGGTCCCAGTGTGCAGGTTGAGTTCTTACGTTTGAGTGTTGGGGGATAATGCCTAGGAAATGCCCCCTCACTGGCACGGGAGAGGCCTTCAGCCTGTCAGCACTAATTAAGCACCAACTGCACGAAAGAGTTGAGCTGGGACAAGTCTTCTACATAAAAAGGATCAGGAGAACATTCCTGAGTCCTGGTGCTCATGTTCCCACCCCAGGGCCAGGGATCTGGCTGGACACCTCCCACGTGAACTACAGCCACTGGCACGCAGCGCAGGCCTCCCCTGCTCCCCACACCTGCGGCTACATCGGAAGAGGCCCTTCTTCCCGGTGGGCTGCCTCAGACGACTGCACACAGTCGTTCGCCTTCGTCTGCGAGTTCGGTGAGCTGGCCTCTGTGGTGGAGTCTATGTCCTTCACCCTGTCTCCTTCTGTCTCTGTCTCTTTGTCTCTCTCTGCTTCTATCTCTGCCTCTCTGTCTCTCTACATGCCCACCTGTCCCTGCGTGGTCATCTGAGTCTGTCTCTCTCCATGTGTCTCTGTCTCTCAGTCTCTATGTCTCTTTGCTTCTATTGCTCTCTGTTTCTCTGTGTGTCTCTCCAAAGGCCCACATCTCTCTGTCTGTGTGATACTCTCTGTTTCTCCATCTGTCTCTGTCTGTCTCTCTCTAAATGCCTGTCTATGTAATGATCAGTCTCTCTGTGTCTCACTCCATCTCTTTACTCATATCGTCTCTCCCTGTCTACTTATCTGCCTACTAGTCTTGCTCATCTCTCTGTCTTTCTTCCTCATACACCTATGCCTACGGGGAAATGCTCATTCACCCTTGACTCCTGTTCCCTGGTCAGCCTGGGTCTGAGCCCCCCTGACCACATCTCACCAACTCCCCACTTCTCTTCTCTTGTGCCTTTTCTAGCTGTTGCCCATGCCTGACTCCCAGTGTAGACCCTGGGGACTGTGATAAGAGGCCTGCAGGAGTGGGCTGTGGCCGACTGTGGCAGAACCTGTGACACCAGGTTCTGCCCACCAGGTGGTCACTGCAGTGGGGCCTGGTCTTGGAGCTGAGCCTCCTTCTGATCCTCTGACCCACAAGCCAGGCTTGATAGAAGCTCCTGGGCTTCCTGGGTCCAGCCCCATCCATGGTTCTAAGCTCCTGGGTCCTAGGCCCTGCCCTGGGTTTAGACACTCACAGGCACCCCTGCTCCATCCTTCCCTCCCCCAGCTTTAATTAAGTGCACACAGGCTTAACTCCCTCTGTTGACTAGCTCTGAAAACACGGAAGCGTCTATGAAGCCCTCCCTGGTCACGCAGCTGGGAAGTGACAGAGATGAGATCTGACTAGGTTTGCCTATGGTCAGAGACAGAGAGAGAGACTGGAAGGTGCTACAATGCTGGCTTTGAAGATGGAGGAAGGGGCCACAGTCCAAGGGATGCAGGTGGCCTCTAGAAGCTGGACAAGGCAGGCAACAGATTCTCTCCTGTAGACTCCAGAAGGAATGCCCACACCTTATAGTCCAGTGAGGCCCATTTCTGGACTTTGGACCTCCACAACTGTAAGACGGTAAATTTGTGATGTGTTAAGCCACTAAGTTTGTAGTAATTTGTTATAGCAGCCACAGAAAATGAACACAGATTTTGGTCTCAACTCCTACTCTGGCATTCCCACAGACAGGTCTGAGTTTGAATTCTGGTTGTTCACATCTGAGCCAGGTCATTCTTTTTCAACAAATGTTTACTGAGCATGGGCAGGTGCCAGGAGCAAGGCTGGGGTGGGGTCTTTGCACAGTGACCCCACTGAGCCCCATGTTCCTAATGGGGAGAATAATTGTTCAGCTCATACGATGGGTATGAAGACTCACTGAAATCACTCGTTGATTCAACAAATGCTTGTTTAGTATCTATCATATACTAGGCATTGTTTTCAGATAAGGCTCGAAGAAGGCACTTGAAATAGGTGGAACAACAGTCACTACTTTAATAGCCCATACTCTAAATGTACAAACTCATTTAATTCTCTTAAAGTCCCTGTGGAGTATGGTAGAGACTCCCCCCTACACAGGGGAAGCAGAGAGAAGCTAAATAACTTGCAGAGGGTCACACAGCCCCTGGGTGACTGGGCTGGAGCTGCCCCTGGGCAGTCTGGCTCCAGAGCCACACTCTCACCCATGCTGAGGCAGCTTCCACTGTGTCCTTGCCTCTCACAGTCCTGACCCCTGAGACTCTTCCACTTCCCCCCAACCAGGAGCTTGCCCATCCATGACCATAATCTTCAGGTAAGTGTCACCTTACCTCTTACAGGTGTTGGCGAGAGTCTGGCCTGTGAGGGCCTCAATGCCATCATGCACTGTGGCTCAGGGGAGGTCATCCAGATCCAGGATGCCTTCTACGGGCGCCGGACTCCCCATTATTGCTCCCAGGAGGCTGGGCACCCCTTGGACCTGGAGGAGGAATGCAGCTGGCTCAGCGTCAAGGACGAGGTGGCAGGTAGGGCCCAAGGGCTTCACAGCTCTGGCTGTGAGCTCAGGGCAGTTCCTGGTGTCCTGCGCCCAGCAAAGGGTTTTGGAAGGCTCAAACAATCCTCATATATGACCTTGAGCCTCCAACATTGAAAAAAACTAGCCCGTCTCTGCCCACAGCACCGAGCTGGTAAGTGAGGGAGCCACAACTCATCCTTCCACTGGACGCCCAGTGGGTCAGGTGGGCATTTTGCTCCCCACCCAACTTGGGTGCAAGCAACATCACTTTCTTTTTAATTGAATATTTAAAAATTTTTGAAATACTTGATATATATAGATAAGAATAAAAAATATTTCAATGAACTCCCATAGACCCACTGCACCCAACTTCATCAAATCTTAACATTACACCATATCTGTTTAAGATTCCCTCATTAAAGAAACAAACACAACAGTGGATACACAGCCGATGCTCCTTCGAAGCCCTGGTCTGCTCCTGTCATGAAGTCCATGTGTATTAATCACATGTGCGGTTTGGTCATTGCTGCCTTCTACGTGTGCAGCCCTGAACATTATCTAGTATCACTTTGCAGGTTTTTAACGTTTATAAGAGTGGTATCATATTGTATGTCATTCTGCAACGTGCTTTTTTCTCTTTTCCTTCTTTATCTTATTTTTCTGCTCAAAGTGCTATCCATCTTGATCCATGTCGTGCGAATTTATCCGTTTCGCCTGTTGTGTGACTGTGCCACAGTCGGTCCCTTCCTCTGCTGAGAGCTGTGTGAGCGGGTCTCAATCCTTGCCCTCGTGAATAGTGCTGAACAAATGCTCCTGGTGGCATCTCCTGTTCACGTGGGCGAATTTCCCTAAGACCTGTTTTTCTTAGATTAAATCTGCCTCTGAGCTGCCTTTGCCCCATGGCGATGATTCACTTTCAGGGAATGGGGGGCTCTCTGCATCCTCCTGAGGGCTGCAAAGGCCTCAGAAACTTCTGTCATCTGGGACAGAGGGGAGCCCTCTCCTCTCTGCTGCAGTGACTGCTATCGGGCCTGCAGGGCCCCGTGAGAGCAGGTGGCCTGCTATAAGCCAAGGAGGAAATCAGGGCCATGGTACCTGCCTGTCTCTTTCCCAGGCATCTCCATAAGTATTTAACTCGCCTGCATAAGCAGGAGGGAGAGGTACCAGTGTCGGCAGGACCCTAAAGTTCTGGCCCGGGCTCTCTATAGTCCTCCCTCCTACAGGCACCTGGTGTTCTGGTAACCACAGGTTTCCTAAACCTGTCCACTCTTTGACAGTTCTCAGGGTGTATACTTCAACTTGAGGCCATTTGACTAGATGCCATTGGACCAGTGGTTCTCAAAGTGAGGTCCCTAGGCCAGCAGTGTTAACATGACCCAGGAGCTTGTTAGAAAAGCAAATTCTCAAGTTGCCTCCCACATCTATTGGATCACAAGGCCTCCAGGGAATTCTGGTGCAATCTCAAGTGTGAGAACCACTGGGCTAAGCCCTGAGCTGCTTGAGGACAGGAATCCTACTTCTCTGTCCCCCAGTACCCAGAATAGTGCCTAGTCTTCAGTAGACACCAGTTGATATCCATCAGGCAGATGGTGGGTGGATAAACGAACATGAGGCCATTCATCTCTGTCTGAACCTGTCCCTTTATGTCCTTCACACTGTTCCTGCTTCTGCTGGGATGCGGGTGCTTCCCAGGACAGTGCCAGGGGCTGCAGGCATGCCAAGTGACGGCAAATGGGACCTTCTTTGGAGATCTGTGCCCCACCCAGGGCAGCTACCTGTGGGTGCAGTACGAGTGTCGAGAAGGTGAGTCCCCAGCTGGCCTGGGTGTGGGAATTCCCTCCTCATTTCCATGCTAGGTCCAGCCCCCCTCAGAGCGGACAGAGCATCCACCCATGGGGGCTGGGCTACTGTGTGCTAAGAGACTTCCTAACCTCAAACTGCCATCCTGAGCGTGGCCCAGCTTAGCCTGGGGATAAAGCATTTGAAGGTCCCATTGCAGAAATGAGCTGTTGAGCCAGAAGTTTAAAAATAATTTCTTTTTTAGCCCCAGGACCCTGCAATTTAAATCTCATGGGGTGACCCAATAAACATAACTGACAAATCCAAGCTTACTTGATTGAAAAGAGTCAAAATATCTCTCCCACATGTCATAAACATTCAACCACTGCCCCTCCCATTGGCCGCCTTTTCAGTACACACAGAGACTTTGTAAAAATACAAATCTTGAAAGCCATAAAAATAACTAACCCACATTACCACAATTTAGAAAAGTTTTATAAATCAAGAAGGAAGAATCCCTCCCTTTAGTTCTACAATCCTATTCCCCATAACCAAACCACTGTTAATGGTGTAGAATAAATTCTTTACTGCTTTTAAACATATTTTCATAGACATGGCTGTGTATGAATTTATATACGTATATTTTTATAAAAATGTAATTATGTAAAATATGTTGGCTTACAACTCATTTTCTTTTCACTTAATATATCCCAGACATCTAAGTCACTAGCTTATTTTTTTAATAACTGCATAGTATCATCATAAGATCATGTCAAAATTTATTTAACCAGTTCCCCCTTGATAAATATTTAGGTTGTGTCTGATCTTTTGTTGTGTGGCAGCAGTGCCCTCTCGTACATTCTTGTGCCTATGTCTTGACATGTGCTTGGGACTATTTTTAGAGGAGAGATCCCTAGTAGTGCAAATGCTGGGTCACAGGGTATGTGCTTTTAAATGTTAATAGATGTTGCAAAATTACCCTCCAAAATCACTGTATTGATTTATATTGCTACGGACAGTCTATGGGAGCGCCAGTTTCCCCTATGGCCGTGAAACCACATTATGCCATTTTCCAACACATTAAATCGGTCAGAACTGCAGCTTCTATTGAGGGTGTGGGTAATGGTGCAAGGAGCTCTGAAGGGAAAAGATGAGTCAGGGAACGTTAGGGTCCCCAGGGGCCATCCAGCAGAGCAGAGTATAGGAGAAGGGAGGACCACACACAAGAGAGGGCACAGGAGGGGGAGGGTGGCATGGAGGACAAGCTTTCCCAGGGATATTAATTTGTTGGGCATGCTGGGGTGGAATAAGAGTGAGCAAGGTGGCCCTGGCCGGGTGGCTCAGTTCATTGGAGTGCCATCCAGTACACTAACAGGTTGCGGGTTCAATCCCGGGTCAGGGAACATACCTAGGTTGCAGATTCGATTCCTGGTCGGGGCACATACTGGAGGCAATCAATTGATGTTTCTCTCTCTCTTCCTCTAAAATCAATAAATATATCCTCAGATAAAGATAAAAAAAAAAAGAGTGAGCAAGGTGTCTCAATTCTGTTTTCTGGGAAGAGGAGGCCACGTGTTCCGGCGGCACCTTCCATTTGGTGGTTTTGCTAATGGACAAAGTGCCCCTTGGCTCCCCGCCCGTCCCGGTGCTGCCGTCATAGGACAAACGTATAGCTTAGGGTGGGGGTGAGTCGTGTCTGGCAACTACACGGTCCGGATTCTCTGCCCCAACCTTGTTTCAAACGTTCTGTCAGCTTGTGAATCAGTGTGTTCTGATCACAATCAGGTTCTGATTTGTGAAGGGAGGGACTTTACCCAGAAGTCCCCACCCCCAACTGTGCCCAGAAGGGCCTAATTATACGTGACTTTTCCTAAGGTAGTTGACAAAAGGCCTTTTAATTTGCGTTGAGCTTCTTTTACCTTTTCCCTTCTCATTTGTGCTCAGAAAGGAAAGATCATGCTGCACCAATTAGCCCACGGCTGTGTTAGAACCCAGCAAATTCTACCCTTCACCCCACCTTCCATGCCAAATTTTGAAGCTCAATGATTTGTTAAATTTAATGTGCACTAAATAGCTTACAATGAATCATCAGCTACCTTAGCCAAGTAGATTTTCTTAAAGGTGCTTTCTTTGCCTTTTGTCTTTTTAAACACTATAAAATACATTTGGACAATCAATAAATCCTGGTTAAATAAATTATGGTACATTGTGCAACTATTAAAAAGAACAGGGCAGCTCTAACTGAATTTATATAGAACGATTTCCAAGATATATTAAGTGAAAAAAGAGGAAGGTGTCAAATAATGAATATAGAAAGAACCATGTGTATAAATAGAAAAGTATGTGCTTGTGAATATGTAGACATTTCTGGAAGGTGACCTGGGATATCGGTAACCATGGTTGCCTCTGGAGAGCAGAACTGGGGGCTTGAGTATGGCAGTGGGGGGCAGCTTATACATGTCAAAGTCTGTATTGTGGTCATGTATACCTATGAACAAAAAGTAAAATTCAAAAGACCTTTAAAAAGTAAAACTAAAGATTTAAAAAATTTAAAAGCCCTACCTAAAGATGCAGGACAGGTGGATAAAAGAGTCAGGGTGGTTTAATTAATTAATTAATTAATTTTTATTGATAAAAGAGAGAGGGAGAGACAGACAGAGAGAGAAACATCAACTTGTTTCACTTAGTTATGTATTCACTGGTTGACTCTGGTATGTGCCCTGATGGAGGATCAAACCTGCAACATTGGTGTTTCCGGACGACACTCTAATTGAGCCACCTGGCTACCTGGCCAGGGTGAGAGTTTTTTTAAAGATTTTATTTATTTATTTTTAGAGAGAGGGGAAGGGAAAGAGAAAGAGAGGGAGAGAAACATCAGTGTGTGGTTGCCTTTCTCATGCCCCCTACTGGGACCTGGCCCACAACCCAGGCATGTGCCCTGACTGGGGAATCCAACCAGTGACCTTTTGGTTCCCAGGCCAGCACTCAGTCCCCTGAGCCACACCAGCCAGGGCCAACAGAGTTGGTTCTAAACATGCGGTTTTGCTCTGCAATGGCACACAGCCTTTTGTGTTTTCTTCTGCAGGCCTGCAGCTGACGGTGTCCAATGACAGTTTCACCTTTCACAATGTCACCATCTCCCTGACGTGGCTCCTCTCTCCTTACACCGGAAATCTGTCCTGTATAGTTAGTACCGGGGATGGCCACACATTTGATCCTTACTACCCTCATAGGTAAGGGGACTCTCTGAGCCTTGAGTCAGTATGTTTCAGTCAATTTTTGCTGCATAACAAAACAACCCCAAACTTAAAATAATACTTATTACTTGTCATGTTCTTTATAGTAGCCAGGTTTTCTTGTTTGGACTAACTCAGCTGGGGGAGGATGGCCTAGAAGGGCCTCATCTGCCAGCTGACTGTCAGCTAGGTATCTCTGTTGCTCACACCCAACCAGCTGGCTGAGGCTCACTCCCGTGGCGGCAGAAGAGTTCTTGGTTGGCAGTGAGTGAGAGCAAGGTCCAATGTGCAAACATATTTCAAATCTCTACTTGGGTCACATCTTTTTATCCTCACCCAAGGACATGCTTATTGATTTTAGAGAGTGGGGAAAGGTGGGAGAGAGAGGGAGAGAAACATTGACATGAGAAACATCAATCAGTTGCCTCTAGCATGTGCCCTGACCAGGAACCAAACCCACAATCTAGGCATGTGCCCTGACCAGGGATCGAACCCATGACCCTTCTGTCTATGGGATGGCACTCCAACCAACTGAGCCGCACTGGCCAGGGCTACTTGTGTCACATTTTTTAATGGCCCATTGGCCAAAGCAAGTTTCATTGCCAAGCACAGACTCAACAGGTAGAGAAACAGACTACACTTACTGATGGAAGAAACGGCAGAGCTCAGAATAAAGGCGTATGCACACGGGAATGGGAGAAACTGGTGCTCACCGGTTCCTCATTAGGGAGGCCGCCTGAACAGTCCTGGGGAGCTGGGTCCTTTCGTCTTGGCTCTGTGTAGTCTCCTGGGTCACTGTCCGAGGAGTCGGTAATAGGGTAAAGAAGACGCTCACCTGGGTATGGGAGTGTTTTTTATTAGAAAGGATAATAAAAATCATAGTAGCAACATTAATAACAGCCCAGCCAAGCAGTTTTCACACACAGCCTCAGTGGAGCTGTGTTCATATAACCACTTGCCACGTGAGCCACCGAGCACTTGGTACGGAGCTGTTCTCGGTTGAGATGAGCTGTAAATGTAAAATGCACAAGGGATTGTCAATGCTTAGTTCTCCCTCCCCCCAAAAAGAATGTAAAATACCTCACTAATAACTTTTATATTGATTATACATTGAAATGGTAGTACCTTGAATATATCAAGTTAAAGAAAACAAATTATTAAAATAATTTAATAATTATTATTAATCATTATTAATAATTAATATTTTAACCTGTTTCTTACTTTTCCAGTGTGGCTTTTAGAAAACTTAAAGTTGCACATGTGGCTCATACTATTTGCATAGGATGGTGCTGAACTAAATAATCATTACCTTGTTTTTACAAAGGAACAGTGGTGTTGCCCAAGCTGTGTAGCTAGTGAACGGCAGTGCTGTGCTCTTGTACAAGCAGGACAGTCCGGCCTTGCGCGGAGCTCAAGCTCTGAGGCCCTGCAGGATTATATAGCACACAGCATTGGGGCCTGAGGGCACTGCCTTCCTCCCCCCCACGTCCTCCGGGAGACAGTTTCCTCCTCAACCTGTAGTAGCCAAACCCAATTCCTAACATTTCCAAGTCCTACCTGGCCTGTGTAAGCTCCGGTCAGCCCTGCTGGGGGTGCCCCAGCAGGAGGGGTGCCCCAGACTACTTCAGAAAATCCAGATCCTCTTTGGATTCTGGGACTCCTTCCAGGGACCCCCCAGTTCAATATGGATCCCCTGAGAAGTCGTGGAGACCTATAAGCCTTTCTTCGAACCCCCATGCATCTCCATTTCTACTCTGTGGGACCCAGAGGTTCTAGCTGCATGGGTGCTGGCATTCCCGAAAGCACTAGGTGGGGTGAGGCAAACAGGGGGCCAGCCCTGTCCACAGCCCAAGTCTGCTCCAGTGAGTGTGTCTCAGATTCAGCCACGCTCTGACATCTCTGGCATTGTGCCAAACAAAACGGTATCTAGAAGCTGGGGTTCTAGTCCCAGGCACTGCTAGTATATTGGGCCTGGAAATTACCCCAGGTCTTGGGTTCCTGTCTCCTTCACTGTCACATCTATATTGATGGTTGCCTTGATTGGAGTAAAATGAGAAATTACATGTGAAGGTGCTTTGGGAAGTAAATGTTTAAGTAATACAAATACCTATAGCATCATTCTGCAGGTTTCTTCCCATTTGCCACCATTTCATTAATAAAACAACAAATTCTAAGTTACATAATCCTTAACCCCCGAATTTTATAGAACTAGAATTTGGCATAAAATAAAATTCACTGTCTGTAGCCCTGCTAAGAATTTCAGTTACCCAAGGACTTATTTTTAATTTTTTAAAAATTTACTTATTGCCCTAGCTGGTGTGGCTTACTGGATTGAGTGCCGGCCTACGAACCAGAGGGTCATCAGTTCAATTCCCAGTCAGGGCACATGCCTGGGTTGTGCCAGGTCCCCAGTAGGGAGTGCACAAGATGCAACCACACATTGATGTTTCTCTCACTCTCTTTCTCCCTCTCTTCCCTTCTCCAATAATTAATTAATTAATTAATTAATCTTTTAAAAATTATTAATTGATTTGAGAGAGAGGCATTGATTTGTTGTTCCACTTATTTATGCATTCATTGTATGTGCCCTGACCAAGGACTGAACCCACAGCCTTGATATATTGGGATGACACTCTAACCAACTGAGTTACCTGGCCAGGGATCCACAAGGACTTTATAGTAAATAAACAAACAGTAGTTAAAACCTGGAGCAAACAGAACAAAATGGAAATATTTGTCAACTCTGGGTGGTGAGTCCAAGGGTGTTTGCATATTACTCTCTGGAATTCACTGCATGATTAAACTTTTTCATAATCTAAGACAAACAATAGTAAGCAGTACTTTGCATTTGCAGTCCCTCTGGGCATTAGTTCGAAGTGAAAGTGACTGGCATTGTTTTTCTTTTTCAAAACACATAGATGGCAATACCCTCCACCATCACCCCGCCTACATAGTCCATTTCCCCTCCTTTAAAGACTTGTTAGACCTTGAAACTACCCACCACCTTCTCCTATCATTTTTATTAATATTAGGAAATATATTTCTGACACTTTCTAATCAGCACTAGCAGCCTCTGCACTCAATTTACAGTATGAAAAATGGTATGAGTTTTAAGTATACAGAAGTCCCATAGTTTGTGTGGATGTCACTGGGCCCTTCTTTTATGTGTGTGTACAGACCCCTACTTCTGCTGAACTCCTCCTTAGGCTAAGACTTAAACTGGATGCTCTATGTCCACTGTAGATAAATAACATGAGCTGTTAGGGAGAATCCAATCTCCAATAGAAACGGTGTAATAAAAGTCAAACAATTGCCCCTTTAAAGCTCCTTCTTGCCTTGCATTCCCCATGTCTTGAGTTCATTTGCATGGCAGGTTGTTTTGTTTCTACAGTTCTGAAATTGTATTACGTGCTTTACAGAATACTTTGCATAAGGCGAACTGTGCCCATGTCCAACGTTAGGTAATTCAGCGCCACCTACTGACAGATCCGGGGATTGCCATTATTCTTCAGTCCATTCAGTCACCTCTGCACACAGCCACGTATGACGCGGCGCGGTGGTGGTGGTGGGGGACTTCGTAAAAACCCATCATTCACAAGCCAACATAAGCCTAGAAAAGAACATAGAGTGACTTAGATGTACACAGGCTGTTGGGAGGCGCAGAAGAGAGAACTCTGTGGGAGATGATGATCAGAAAGGACTGCAGAGCTGAAGTCCTTGGGGGACCAGAAGTAGGAGGCAGGAGCAGAGGGTGCAGAGAAAGCAAAGCCACGGATGTGGAGGAGCACGGCCTCCCTGGGTAACTGTGAGCACCTCACCTGTACCCGCAGTTCAGGGGTATGTGGGAAAAATGAAAGATGGTGCTGGAAAACCCAAAACAGTCTGGTGATGGAGCCTTGATACCTGCCGGTTTAAAGAGATTGTTTTTTTAGGAGTGTATGCAGGTCAAGCACCAGCAAACAAGCCCTGATTTGGGGTGCAGGAGGTTTCCTGGGGGTACTAAGATGGGGCAGGGGGAGAAGTGGGACTGAGATGCAGTGGCAGCACAGGCATCACCGACACTGGATGGAGGACAGGCCTGGGGAGGGGCTGTCACCTTGGGAGGGGCTGTCACCTTGAGCTCCCTGTGGCTAAGGAGAATTCCTGGAGATGTTTCAGGTGTGAGCCCTCAGCGTCTGTCACACCAGGGTGCTTGGGATGGGGGTGTTGGGGGGTGCAGTATGTGCAGGCTTTGGTCTTAAAGGGCGGACTCAGGGTGACATGCCACCATATTCACCACAAAAGATATTTAAGAATCTTTAGGCCACAGTTACATGATCTGTGATGATTAGTATTGCCAGTGTTAACTAATACTCACCGAGTAATTTTAAAAAGTGAATAGGACTACAAAGAATAACTGATACAGAGTTAATTCTAGCAAATGGGTAATTGTTACTGTTATATTAATATTACATAAAAGTATATAATACTTTTAATAGGCTAAGTGCATAAATGGCATCCTGTTATATAAAAAGCTACAGTATTTGAGTCTATAACATGCCAGATACCTATCCGGCCATGGCATCGTTTAAATCTTACAGCCTAGCCAGGAATAGCACTCAAGGCATTCTATCAACAAAAGCACTGAGGCTCACTCAGAGAGGGTAATTGAGTTGTTAGGTTATCCAGGCAAACCTAGGAGTCTTGGAGATCTCATTTCCAGTTTCCTACCCTTTCCACTCCATCACACTGCCCAGTTTGGTCAGATGGCTTCATCCACCAAGCTGGCTGGCAATTTGGGAGCAACAAACAAAATGGTGTTCTTAACGATGGACATTATGAGCAAAGACTGTGAGCTTTCATCTCATCTTTCCTTTTAAGTTGCATCCCATTAACATCGAGTATCAAAGCAGGGTATACAAGTCAGTGAGTGACAGAGTCTTGAACCAATTTTTAAACATTTTATTTAAGCATAATACACATACAGGAAAGTACGCAAAAAGATGCAGATTAATGAATTTTTACACAATGAACACACCCAAGTAACCAGCACCTAGATGAAGAAACAAAACATGAGTTGTCTCCCAGAAACCCCCCTGTACACTCCAAGGATTCTAACATCATCACACAGTGTGACCTGTATTTGAAACTTATGGAAATGAAACTGCATAAAGAATATACTCTTCGTGTCTGATTTCAGTCCAATAGTGCGTTTTTTAAATTTTTATTTACTGATTTTAGAGAGAGGAAGAGAGAGAGGAAGAGAGAGAGAAAGGGTGGGGAAGAGAGAGAGAAACATTGATTGTTGCCCCACTTATTTATGCATTCACTGGTTGATTCTTATATGTGTCCCGACTGGGAATCACACCTGCCAGTATTGGCTTATCGGAATGATGCTATAACCGACTGAGTTACCTGGCCAGGGCCAATAGTGTGTTTTTGAGATTTATCCATACTGTTGCATAAAATCGTGATTTATTTTTTCCTCTCCGAGATGTATGACATCTCATTGTGTGAACATACCTGAATTTACCTATCCATTCTAGCATTGGTAGGCATTTGGAATGGTTTACGATTTGAGGTATTATGAATAGTGAATCCATAAATAGTGTAGTGCATGCCTTTTGGTGCACATATGTACACATTTCTGTTGTGTTTCTATCTAGGACTGGGATTGCGCAAATCCGTTGGGTCATAGCACAGATTTTTAAGTTGTTGTCTTCTTCTCTTTGTACTCCGAGCGTATCTTCCCTTTGCTGGCAGCAGTTTCTAAAACCACTCTGTAGTCTTCTCCCTTGGGTGAGCTCACTGGGAGAGAAAGCAGAAAAACAAATCCATTTCTCTGCTCTTTAGTCCTGGGCAATTTCAGCTGGCACCAGAGTTTAAAGAACATAACAAATTGCTTTTCCCAGACATATTACTGAAAAAACAGGCTGGGTTTTGCAATTCAAAACCATCATTCGCAAATCCAGAGAGTTGGCATTTTCTTGTTCTAAAATCTACATAATTTGATATTCATAACGGCCACTCCAGAATTCTTCTATTTAGTGTTGGTTGGTAGATCTTTCTTCTATCCTTTTACTTTTAACCTACCTACACCATTATATTAAGGGGGTTTCTGGCAGACAGTACATGCTTGAGTCTTGTTTTTTCAGTATCCCTATGGCATAATAATTGGTGTGTTTAGAGCATTTACAGTGAATGTAATCATTGATATGGTTAAACTTAGATCTATCATTTTGTTGTTTTCTATTGGCCTTCTCTGTTTATCCCCGGCCCCTGGTTCCTTTCCTTTCTTGACTTTTTTTTCCCCCGATTACTAAATATTTTTAATATTCCATTTTAACTTAGTCACTGGCTTTTTTGTTTTTGGTTTATCTCTTTGTATTACTTTTTAGTAGTTTCTTTGGGAATTTCAATATACATGTCTAATCTTTCACAGTCTACTTAGAGTTACTGTTATACCATTTCAAGTAAATGTTGAAGCCTTACTACCTTGGAGTCCCTTTTGCCTGCCTACCTTTACATTGTAAGTGTCAAATGTGGGACATCTACATACATTGAAACCCCTTTCAACAATCATGTTTTAAAGAACTGAAGAGGAACAAAAGTCTATATAGTCACCAAGATATTTACCATTCCTTGTGCTCTCCCTTCATTCCCAAAGTTCCAAGTTCCTCCCCGTATCATAACTTCCCTTCAAAGGGGAAAACTTCCTTCAGCATTTCTTTTAGAGTCAATTTTCTGGCAATAAATTATCTTACAGAATTTCTTTATTCCTGAGAAAGTCTTTATTTTGCTTTAATTCCTAGTAGATTTTTTTGCTGGATATAGAATTATGTGTTGACAATTATTTTCTTTTAACATTTGAACGGTGCTATTCACTGTCTTCTGACTTCTGTGGTTTCCGAGGAGAAATCTATAGTCATGCAAATCACAATTTTCCCTATATGTAATGTGTCATTTTTTCAGGTTGATTTCAAGATTATTTATCTTTGATTTTTCAGCAGTTTGATTATTATATGTGTGGGTATGGTTTTCTTTAAACTTTTTTCCTCTCCATGGGGGTTCATAACGCTTCTCAAATCTTTATGTGTTTTGCCAAATTTTGGCAGTTTTCAGTTCTTATCTCTTCAAATACATTTTTCTACAGCAACCTCTTTCTTCTCACTGGTGCTCTAATGACACAAATATTTTCCACTTTGATATTATTACACAGATTGCTGATGCTCTGCTCATTTTTAAAAATTTAATATTTTTTCTCTCTGTTCTTCAGATTGGATCATTTCTCTTGCTCTATCTTTAAGTTCATGGACTTTTTTTTCTTTATTCTGCTATTGTACTCATCCAGTGAATTTTTAAATTTCAGATACTGTTTTTCATTTCTAAGATTTGCCTTTGATTCTTTGTTATAGTTTTTGCTTCTCTGCTGAGCACACCCATCTCCCCACTCATTCGAACAGTGTCTACTTTTGCCTCACAGAGCATGGTCACAGCAAATAGCCGGCTGAAAGTCTTTGTGTGATAGTTCCTACATCCGAGTCATCGCAGAACTGACATCTGTCTATTGATCATGTTTGCCCTTGAAATCTGATCTTACGTTCCTGATAAAGATAAAGGATGGGTGATTCTTAAAGTTGGACTTTCCTCCCCAGTCTGCTTTGTTTCCCCACCCCTTCTACGTCCTCAGGTAGTTTCTTTGTAATCAACGGAAGAAATAGGCTATGGTAGGGTTACTCCAATTTGGCTGGCACCAGGAATTGGGTTACTGTTTTCTAAGCTTTTTCACAAATATGTTCATTTGTCAACTATTTCTCAAGCACAAACTATGTGCGAGGCTCTGTGCTAGGTGCCAGGCATAGAAGAGAACTAGACAGACTCTGGGCTAACAGCCCAGCAGGGAAGAACAACAGAGAATAAGCAAGCACGCAAGGGATGAGTGCTGCCTAGGAGAGGCAGCAAAGCTACGGCAGTAAAGGGAACCTAAGGAAGGCTTCCCAGAGAAAGTGGTGTTTAAGCTGAGAACCCAAGGAGGGGCGTGAATATGAGCAAAGACATAGTCAAGAGCCTTCCCAGCAAAGATCAGTGCATCTGCAGGCCTTGAGGTGAACCAGAGGTGGCATGTTCTAGGACCAGAAGAGGAGGTCTCAGTGAACAGACAGTCAGAGGAGTGTGTCAAAGACAGGGAGGAGGTCAGGAGGGAAAGTCATGTGTATTTTTGCAGACGATTGTAGAAATTTTGAATTAGTCCTCTTGGGAAAATGAGAAGTAAAACAAACCCATAATTTTGACATGTTTGGAATCTGATCCATTTTATAGATGGGGAAAATGAGGCTCAGAAAGGCAGGCTGGGCCATAGTATTTTACAGATGAGGTGAGAAAACCCAGAGAAGGGGTTTACATGAGTCAGAGGGAATAAATGGTAGAACATGGACCTGCAGCCAAACATTCAACACCCGGTTGGTCAGTGCTATTGCTTCCACTCTTACCTGCTCCAGGATGTTCCATTATCATCTTTGCAAACAATGAGAGCTCGGTTTGCAGCATCTTTTTCTTCTTTTTTTAATCTCTGAAGAGCAGAAAAGGTGTGAGGTGGGTGACTGCATTTGTGCACACATGTGTAAATACACGTGTCCATGTTCCCAACACTGGTAACATTTCTGTTTCCGGCAGTTTGTCCAGCAACTTGACTTACCAGTTCACAACACCTGGGAAATTCACGATGCTTGCTGAGTGCACAACTAGTGAGTGGCATGTGACGGCTCAGAAGCAAGTGACAATTCGAGACAAGAGGGAGACACTCAGTGTGACTGGGTGTTCTGGCCTGTCCAGGTCAGGAGCCAGCCCTCTCTGCCAGGCTGTCTTTGGGGACCCTATGTGGATTCAGGTGGAGTTTGATGGAAGTGAGTCTGCAGAAAGGTCAAGGTCAAAGCAGCCTTGATCTCCCCCAGATTTATCCATTCAACTGCCAGGCCTTAATAAACACCAGCAGCAATCATGTATTGAGTTATTTTTTTAGCTGTTCATTTGTTTAGCACTTTGCTTGTGCCAAGAAGTGATCTAAGTGCTTTACATACACTAGCCCACCCAGCATGCACTATTAGTATCTCCATTTTACAAAGAAATTGAGGAAGGGTTCAGAGTCAAAGGTTCAAAGTCACAGACTACTAAGCCAGTGAGAGCTACCTGACCTCCAAAGGCCCTTCTTTGCATGCCCATATAGTCACATCTCAAGAACTGAACTTGTAAGACACTCCTCGTTGGGGAAGGGGGATTTGAATAGGATGGGGCATGCTACCAGCTGGGTGCAGCCAGCATGGACCAACTTGGCACAATTGTGTTGCCCCAAGTTAGGGCTGATACTCAGCTGCGCACACTGCTACATCCATAGCAGATATTATGGCTGGTGTCCATTCTCATTGGACTCAGTCTCTTTTCTGATTGGTCACAGAGGCCATTGTAATTGCTCATCATGTCCATTTGATTAGTCAAAGTGTCCATTCTGATTGGTCATAGTAACATTTCTTATTGGTCACAATGTCCATTCTGATTGGTCTCAGTATCCATTCTGACGGGTCACAGCATTCATTCTGATTGGTCACAGTGTCCATTCTGATTGGTCACAGCATCTATTCTGATTTATCAGAACATCCATTCTAATTAGTTGGTGTCCATGCAGTTACAGTTGTTAAATATTTTGAATTCCACCCCTCCTTTCAGTAGAGACCCTCCCAACTAAGACCCGTCGTCACCCAGTGCAGCATCTGTCCTCAAGGCACAGGTTCAGCTTGAGATCTAGAGAGAGGCTTGTTAACGTAAACTGTGTGGCACAGAGCTGCAGAGGTGAGGGCATGACCTCACATGACCTCACACCACCTGAAGCCTCATTCAGAGCAGTGACTTGTAGGAGCTCTAACTGGGCCTTGAATACAGTACTTGGGGCTCCTGTCCGTCTGGTGTGCTTGTGGGCTGACGATGGTGGCTGCACGTTCCTGGAGAAGCTTAATATAATCCTTCATGTATTCAGTTATTCTATAAATGCAATATATCGAGTGCACACTGTTTGCCAGGTGTGGGAAAGGCAGCAGTAAACCTGAAAGTCAGGATTCCTGCTCTCTCTCAGGCTCATGTTATCATCCTCACCATTGTGTTTATCATCCTCATCATCACTCAGACAAGAAACATACTAGCTTAATTTCTATTGGAAAGAATCCTAATTTGTTGGTTTACATCATAGTTTAAGGGTCAACCACAACATTTAGCATTCAGTTAGGGCAACTAACCCCAACCTGTAAGAGCACCATCGTGACGTGAACAGACGGAGTTCTGCTGGGCAGGGTTTCGGGCAGGCAGCTGTGGAAGTAGCAGGAAACAGAGTCGAGTCTTGTTCCTGCTTGAAACAAGACTTGAGGCTCATTCCCATGCATCATGCATAAACATCAGCCATACCCTTAAGAGATGTTCCCTTTTTAGGCTTCCTCCCCACAAAAATATCTCTGTCAATGAAATGTTCTAATATTTTTATTACAAACTTTTAAGTTTATGGGTAACACATGCATAGTATAATTAGCATATTCAAATGAGCAGAGAGGACCCAAAACTCATGAACCCAATACTCAGAGGTAATCACCATTAATATTCAGGGTCAGGGTGTATCCTAACTTAGGTCTTCGTAGCTGTATCTATATCCATGTCTGTATCCAGGATCTCACTTCAGAGCTTGGGTCTGAACTATCTCTGTATAATCAGCTACATGGTTATTATCAACATTCTTAAATGTTTCTTACCCCACCTAGAAACAGGGGTGACTTACACTGTGCTGTCAGATAACACCACCCTGGCTGAGTCCACTGCACAGAGGGGCCTGCTCCCCTACAATCTGACCCTAGACAGAGGAGCCCAGCAACGGATGGGCTCAGGGGTGCACCACCTGGAGATCCAAGCCACCAGCAACACCACCATCTCTGCACCTTCCACACACGTCACAGTCTACTTCCTGGAGCCTCTGTCAGGGCTGAGGGCCTCCTGGGCTTCTGATCGCTTGGAGCTTGGACAGGACCTACTGGTCAACGTCTCAGTGGCTCATGGCATCCCAGAAGAGTTGACCTTTGAGGTAACAGGACTCAATGCGTCCTTTTCCCATAAGGAAGATAGCCTTGGACAGCCATCTGGGATTTACCATGTGACAGTTCCTCTTGAAGGTACTTGGGATTGGTGGCTCCTGTTCCAAACCTTCCTTCTCTTCCCTTCTCAACTTAGACCCCAGGGTCCTGACAGCCAGTTTTCAGGGTGTCCTGGACACAAACAGGGTTAAGAGCATCCAATCCGAGTCACAAAATAAGGCAGAGACAGATACTGTCTGCCTTCGTGGATCTTGTTGTCACTGGGGTTCTCAACTCTGGCAAGTCCAACCTTTGGGACTGGACTATTCTTTGTTGTGGGGCTACACTGTGTATTATGGGATGCTTAGCAGCATCTCTGGCTTCTACCCTTTAGATCCCAGTAGCACTAGCCTCCTAAGTCATGACAACCAAAAATGTCTCCAGACAATGCCAACTGTCCCCTGGGAAGCAGAACCACCCAACTGAGAACCACTGAAGGAGGGTAGGGGTATTCAGACTTCTGCCATCATTTCTAGTTTGGGAAACTGCAGTCTATGCCCTTGGGAGAGACACAGGTAAACACTGAGGAGTGGAAAGAGAAGAGGGTGGGACAAGAGATTCTGTCAGGATCCTGGCTGGAATGGAGATAAGGCAACTGACTGGCTTGGGGACAGACTGGCTGGCGCCAGCCAGGGGAGGAAAACACAGCACACATTTGCATTTAATCTGAAAAGAACAGAGTCCCTGAGGGCAGTGTGGTGAGGTCAGCAGGCAGGAATGTGAAGAGGGTCCAAGTCTCCAGTCCACCCAGGATCCAGCCTCCCGGATCCCATGCCCTGGATCTCAGAGGTGTGCAAGAAAGATGGTAATACTATGCAGGTGTGGGGCTACCATGCCCTCAGCAAGGGATCCAGCAAAAGAGATGGCAGAAAGGATGATAGGTTTATGAAGGAAAACAGTGGAACTTTGCCAGATGCCAAAGGTCCAGTTTGGAACAGGAAGAAGCCAGAATGAAATGAAATGACAGTGGAAAATATACATAATACATATGCTATAGCTCAAATGCAAAATAATTTTTGTCTCCTGCAAAAATGACTCAGTAGGGGAAAATAGATAAAATTTCAGCATACCGTATGACTTTATGGTTTGCTCTTAAAAGGTAAGCAGTCTTTTTGCCCCCACAAGAAAACAGATTTGGATGAGTCCTATGATGAAGGGGGCAAGGAGAAGGCTAAGGAACCAGGTAGGACAGGAAGGCTCTCCCTGGCTGGTGCTGGCCCAGCCATGGCTGACCTAGCTCTCAGGGCCCAGAACATATTTGCAGCTGCCTCTGTGCTTTCAAGGGCCCCTGCTGGGTCCCTGGGCTCCAGGGCTGGGTGTTACCTGTCCTTCAGCTGGTCACACCCTCCCTGCTGCTGCTGCTTCTAGACCACCAACAAGGTCATTCCCTGTTCTCCTCATTCTCACTACCTTCTTCAGTGCCCTCTCTCCCCAAGGGAAACATTTGGTCCATAGAAAATTCTTCCCTATTCCTTGGCCTGCTACCAGCCGATCACGTTATTTCCCAAATGCAGAAATGCAGCCCTTAACTCCCTCCCTCTCTCCCTCTTGTTCTACCCCGTGTCACAGGCCACTCCTGCAAGGGCCTGAGTAAGGAGCAAGCCCTTGGGGGTTCCTAACCTCAAAGAACACATATTCAGTTTTTCAAGGGTCCCCTCTGGTAACCTCTCTGGGCTTGAGAAGAAGGTAGCACCTACCATCCTTCTCCCTAAGGGAGGGTGGTTGGGATATACATGTGTTAGTGCTCTCTACAAATAAATCTTAAAAATCCTCTCTCCCCTCTCCACCCTCTCAATACTTTCTAAAATCCTGTCAGGTCTTTTGCTCAGCTACACTCTTCTCTCCAATCTCATTGATGAGAACTACTCCTCCTTTGAACGCCCCCGCCCCATCCCATATTTCTTTGTGCCCTGAGGTTAAAGTGACCACCCACCCACACTGTGCATACAACACCCACACGCTGATTCCTACCAGGGCTTGGCGCTGTCTTGCGAGTCTATTAATCCATAAGGCCCTGAGGACAAGAACCATGTTTCATTCATTTCTGTGTCCCCAGAGCCTTGCGCCATGCCTGGCATAAAACAGGGGTTCGTTAAATGCTCAGATGATGAAAGATTTGGATGCTACCATCAGGGGAGTGGAGAAGCACAAGCTGGGGGAGCTGTGTCAGTGTGAATTAATCATCTTATTACAATCTTCATAATTTTTCACCTTTTGCATTGCAGGCACCTTTCGGGTCACCATGCTGGTGAGGAATGCCTTCTCAAACTTGAGTTTGGACATTGGAAGCATCACTGTTGCAGGCAAGGGCTTTCTGCAAGAGGGTATAAAACTTGTGACCAGGAGTCCAGGGCATTGTACTTGCTTGGGATCTAGTGAGGAGCTCTTCAAAACAGGACTTGCTCTTCAGACATTAAGAATTCTCTGGGTACTCTAAAGAGGCAACAATGTATGCAGTAAAATATTCAGCCGTTGATACAGAATTCTAAAATATCTGAGTTTATATTAGTTGTGATGCTTTAGGCTGCAAGTAGCAGAAAGCCCAACCTCAGTGGCTTCAAGTTTAAGGCTTTATTATCTAATATACAAAAAAGTTAGGAGGTAAGTTGGGTTAGTTCAGTGTCAGCAGCAAGGACCCAGGATCAGTTTATTGTTCTGCTCTACCATCCTCAGAGATTTTGCTTCATCCTTAGGCTTGCTTCTCCTGCAATCAGGAGGGCTGCTGCTACAGTTTCAGACATCACATGTCAACCCAGCTTTATCCAGCAGCACAGAACCATTACCTCCTGTGCGCCTGTTTTCATCAGTGAAAAATCTTTCCTGCTAGTCCTCAGCAATCTTCTCCTTAGATAACATTGACCAGGGTAGGGTCATGTGCCCCAGCTGTAAGGGATGCTGGGAAGCAGACATTCAGCTTTTTCAGCTCTGTGGGAGAAGGTAGATTCTGGCAGCCAAGAAGCAGGGATGGGTAATGTTTGTGGCGTAGACAGCCAACAGAGCTTGAAGGTCACCCTGAATGTGTGTGCCAGGACTCTTTGAGTAGCAAGGGACTCAACCAGTTCAAATGGGCTCAAGTCAAAAGGAAATTTTTGTCAACTTAGGAAGTGAAAAGTCCAGGGTTTAGATGCAGGTGGATCCAGCCATTCAGAAATCTGCCTCTATCTCTTGGTTCTATGTCACCTCATCCATGATTCCCTCTTCCCAAGCAGTAGCAAGATGGCCCCAGGCTTCAGTCCTTCAGCCCAGAGGAGAGCAAGCACCTCTTAGACATTTCCAGCAGAAGTCCTGAGGCTGTCTCTCACTGGTCCAAGCTTGGTTCATGTTCCCCTGTGGACACACTGATGAGACCGGGGGCAGTGGCACTCAGTTTGGGCAGACAAGGACCACACATCCACCCTGGGACATGATGTAGGGATGGCTTCACCCAAATTAAGGACTGAAAGTAGGAGGGGGAATGGTTCCCCAGAGAAAATATCACCCGTAGGTGCTGTTACCAAAAGAAGGGGGTATGGCTAGGGGAAAAGTCATCAGATATCTTTTTCTACATATGGAACTTGAGGCCTAGAGAAGTGAATTGACTTTGCAAAAGTCACTCAGCTAATTCATGGCAAGATCAGAGATAACAACAGTTTTTCTTGATTTCCTCATTCAGGATTATTGGACCATCTTCTTACTTAAGGTTAAGAAGGTCCTCCGTGTTTCATATCTTAATTTGGTTTGTATAATTTTACAAACCTTTGAAGCTATAGTTGTCTGAATGAGATTTCACTGGGAAAGAATTTTCCAAAGATCAGTAGTACCCAGCTCTTAAAAGATCCAAGTCACTGGAGCCTAGAGAATCACATGGAATAACCCTAAGTTCCTGTCTTAATCTATGCTTTCATTGACATTAATCATATTCACATTTCAGTATCTTCCCAGCATATCAATTAAATGTACCCTTTTCCATTTTTTTAAACTTAACACACTAACACTCTTTGAAGATGTAGAGATTACAAAGCAATAGTATATATAGCACAGCATTCAGTCCTTCCGGAGCCTTGAGAAACAGGGATTGCTTTCAGCGTTTTTTATGGAGGAGGAAGCTAAGACTCAGAAAGAATCACTAACCTGCCCAGGTTCACACAGCCAGTAAGAGGCCAATAAGGGATCTGGAGACACACCACGGGGTGCCGAGGCCAGGTGCTATCAGCTTGCCAGACAGAGCTGGTTATGCCCATCTCTTCTCAGGCTACATTCAGTGATGTCAGCTTGGTAGCTTTTGTGGGAATACAGATGTGGGCAAAAGTAGGTTTACAGTTGTTCGTATGGAAAAAGACGTGGGTTGTGATTATTACAATGGCTTTATTAACTCTGTTTGCATACTCACAATTGTAAACCTACTTTTGCCCAGTCCTGAACACCATAGAAATTAGCAAACACTACAAATACAAATCAGGGCTCCCCACCCCAACCTCCTCGACTGGTAGTTAAACATTCAGAGCACACAGCTGCCTGTCTGACTCTAAATCTTGTGTGTTATCTGCGTTGGCAGCTGCATGCCTCTTTCTTTACTACTGAACAGATGTCTCTAACCCAGTGGTGAACTCAGTGGTTTTGCTTTTGACCATTTCCCTGTGACCTGAATGTTTGCTATGTCCCCCTAAACCATTTCCAAAGACAGGCAGGTCCCCTGGGGCCCTTCAGCATACCTTCCGACCCTGTCCTTTGGCAGCTTGACGAACACCACCAAAGTCTGACATCCATTCCCACTGTGTCCACAGCTCGTTCTGGTCTCCAAGAACCATCCGGAACAAGTGCTGAGGAAAAGAACGTGAGTATTTTATTAAAACACAACCTCATAAGAAAAAGATTTCCAAGCACACTCTTACTTTTTGGGTCTGGTTTTTCAGTGTACTAGGAATCACCAATATTTCTTCTTCTGGAAAAGACACCCAGATGGCTTGAAATTAAACAAAGCATGTTCTCTACATTAAAAATCAACAATAAGATATCTAGGATGTGAACATATCTTTTAGCCATCTTGGAAATTAAACAGCACACTTCTAAAAAATACCAATGGGTAAAAGAAAAAAATCACAAGGGAAATTTAAAAATATTTCTGCTCTGGCCAAGTAGCTCAGTTGGTTGGAGTGTCATCCCATACACCAAAAGGTTGCGGGTTCAATCCCCAGTTGGGACACGTACAGGAGGCAACCAATTGATGTTTCCCTCTCACATCAATGTCTCTGTCTCTCCCCTTCCTCTCCTTCTAAAATCAATAATAAAAAAATAAAAATAAAAATATTTTTAAGTGATAATGACAATACAACCTATCTAAATTTGTGGGATACAGCTAAGGCAGTGCTCAGAGGGAGATTTATTTCTTTTAATACTTATGATAGAAAATAGGCCCAGGTCCTTTAGTTTTTATAGCAAGACTGTCTTCAACTCTTTGCTGTTGACATTGCTCATGCATGCACTTATTCCATCACAAACACTTACTGTGCATTTACAGTGTTCAAGACTTGTATCAGGGGCTGGGGATACAGAGGTGAATAAACAGACATGATCCCTACTTTCAGTGAAATTTACTGGGTGAGATTAACAAACAAATGAGCATATAATTAAGATTTCTGATGTGTCTAACTAGAACCAATAGGGTTCAATGACAGCAACTAACATAGGGTGCTCTAGCAAATGTGATCAAAGAACTCTAAAGAGGAGACATTTAAGTGGGGACCTGAAGATAAAACAATCAGCCATGCTGGAAAGCAACACAACGGCTTTCTTGGTGCATGGCGTAGAGGGCTCTGAGGCCTGTGTGAGGAGAGGGAGGATGTAGGAGATTAAGAGAGATGGACAGAAGACAGACCACATGGGGTCGGGGTCTAACGTGCCAAGGCAAGAGGACTTTTTATTCGCAGGCCATGGGAGACCACTGGGGGTTGAATGCTGCTTCAGCCTCATGTTATTCCAGGTCAAGCCCCCTGGGTATGGGCTGATTGACAGGCCCTACCAGAACTGACTCCAGGAGCACACTGTATGCTGGCTGGTCCCTCTTCCTAGAATCCACATGGTCTTCATTGTTGCCCTGCTCACTGTCACTCCTCCAATTTCACAACAGCTCTGGGGTCCTGTCCTCTGGGGGAGATTGCCCTCATGCCAGCTCTCTGCTTTGTAGATGTTACAACTTGGCGCCCTCCTAGCACTAGACACAAGAGGAAATACATCACTAGTTTCTCTCATTTGATCCACAGCAATCCCAGGAGTCAGATGTTATCAGACCCTCGGAGGAGCAGAGGCTCTGTGAGGCTTAGATACTGGCCAGAGGCCCCAGGGCCAATGGTCCAGTTTGCAATCTGGCTGGCCCCAAGGCCTACATTCTTAACCTGTTGCCCCCTCTCCTACATTCTCATAATCTCCTGGGCCCTCTCTCCTGTAGCAGTTAGCACTCTGTGGTTGGTTTTTTTTTAATTTTTAATTTTAATTTTAATTTGAGATAGAGAGAGAGAAACATCAGTTAGTTATTCCACTTACAACCAAATGCAGATCCAACTGCCTACTGCTTTGAAAGCCAATACTCGAGAGACAAGTACTGATGTAAAAGGGAGGTGGTTTATTTATTCAGATGCTGGCCATCTAGGAGATGGGAGACTCATATCTCAAAGACCATCTCCACCTCTCAGTGCAGGCAGAGATTTCTATAAGGAGGGAGAGGGGAAGCAGAACAAAGAGATCAAGGGAGCGGGTTGGAAAGTTCTCTACGTGTAGACGAGCAGACGAGCACAGTCCGTTCTGATCAGGCCAGTGATGGTCCGGCGTGCGTCATCCTGGTTTAGTCATCCCGGCTCCATGTCATCCTCGCTCCATGGCTGAAGGCCAGTAAATCTTCCAGAGCTGGAATGCCTGCCTGAAGGCTGGAGTTTGTATCTTTTGAAGTTAGTTCCTAGGATTCTTACGTAAACATGCTGCTTATCTACAAGCAGCAAAGTAGTCAAGCCAGCATTTACAGAAACAATGTCAAAAGAATGGTGGGGTGGGTTACAATTCCCCACTGTTACGCATCTATTTATGTATTCATTGGTTGTCTCCTGTATGTTCCCTGACCAGAAATCAAGTCCACAAACTTGGCGCATCAGGAAACACTCTAACCAACTGAGCTCCCCAGCCAGGCAGCACTCTGTGCTTTAATCACTGGTTTTCTTGCCTATCTTACCTCCTGTTGGGCTGGCCAAAAGTCTGTAGGGTATTTTTTCCTTAAAATAAAAGACACGTTTTTCATTTTTATGAATAACTTTATTGATTTGGGTATTTTGAGTATGCCGGCTATCTCCTCTACAGGTATAATGTTGATTGTTCTCAAATTAAAGTCTCAATTTGCTCACTACCAACTTCCACTGGTCTACCCAACTGTGGAGCATCATCCAGAGAGAAATCTCCAGCTTAAAATTTCACAAACCACTTTTTACATTTTTGATCATTCACAGCACCTTCTCTATGCACTGCACAAATCTTTGTGACATTTCAGTTGCATTTTTAACTTTCTTGAAATAATAAATCATAATATGCTGAAAATGTTGTGCATTTTCTTCCATGTTCAATACTAAAATGGCTACACAAAAATTCACCAATTTTGATAAGTTTTTTTTAAATGCACGCTGACATGACAGCTGTCACAATACAATCCAACAAAATTGTTTCAAATGACATTAAAAACAACTAAGTGCTACTAGAACCATCTTATGGAGAAAAACCAAATGAACTTTTTGGCCAAACCAATAACTCTAAGGACAGAGGCCAGGCCTACATTCGTTTGTCTAGGTATCGAGCACAGGGCCTGGCCTACAGCAGGCTTTGATAGCGCAGTTGAACACACAGCGGACCCTTAGCACTGAGCCCACATCCCAACTAACATTACTTACTCAGTGATCTGTCCTGAGGGCAGCTGGGCAGATCGGACAGGGTCTGTCTCCATTCCACACCTTGGCACAGGCAGCTCTGAGGTAGAGGGTGGGGTGCCAACTGTGGGCAGGTGTCTTACAAACCAGCTGCTTTTCCTGCAGAGGGATAGAGGGGATGTGGAGGTATACGTGGAACCTGGTCAGTACGTGGATCCTTTCACGACAGTGACTCTGGCCTGGACGGATGGTGACGAGGATTTACGCTTCCCGTGGTCATGTGGTAGGTGGCCTTCGAGTCCTGGAACTGTCCTATCTCACCACGGAGTGATGGATAGCAGACAGCTTTGCTGTTCTTTTTCCTGCCCTTTCACCGCCGCGTACTCAGCCCGACATTTTGTGTACCTTGTATGTACCAGAGACTGCACATTGCAATGGAAATGGGAGGCAGCTGTGACACATCAAGGTGGGGGTGGCCCTGAAGGCAGGCAACTGGGAAATGACTCGTCTGTAGAGAATTTAAGAACTATAAAAACCCTGAAGTCAGTTTGCTTTTTGTATTATCACTACAAACAAGGTCAGAGAGAAAATACTCCTCCTCTCTTAGGGGGACCCCTCTTTTCACCCCCATGCCTTTGTTTTTCCACTGGGAAGAGCCTAGGATGAGAGAGTGACGAGGCCTTTTCTGACAAACCAAAATCGTAGCATCAGTGCTCATTTTTAAGCAACGGTTGTCCTCCTTTTCAAAAGGGCATATCCTAGCTACACACACATTCTTTTAGAAAGAAAATGAATGTCATTCATACTGTACATATTGCTTTTGCTACCTTTTTTTTATTGAACAATATATCCTGCATTTTTTTAATGCCCTGGTATCTTTTTCTCCATCCTGATATTCCCAGTAACTGCATAATAGACTGTCAGGTTGATGCATGATCATTTACTTCTCATTGGCCTCTTTTTGGACATTTTGGTCATTTCAAATTATTTGCCTTTATAAACATTGTAATGAACACTTTTGTAGTTCAATCTTTATTTGAACCTGTGGTTACTTTCATAAATAAATTCTTAGAAATGGAATAGCTGGGTCAGAATCATACAAAATTTGAAGGCTTTGATATTAATTGCTAAGTGGCCAGAACATCGTTCTGAATATTAGTTCTTGTTATCTGAATTAGTAAAGGAGACAAATACAGAGTTCAGGTGACTGAGCCAATGATCTGACCCCTGGACATGTCCTGGGAATGACTATCATTTTGAGAGCAGTGGATAAACATCAATTGACAGAGTTGAAGGGCAAAGGATATAGAGACTTACCAAGCTGGTTTCATGAAGCTGGAGATGACACTGCAGCCTCCCAGATGAAGGGACAGCTCCCCAGGGCCCCCAGGTACCTCACAGGGACATTCAGTTGAGGACAATCACTTCCACGTGGAGTGAGAATGACACCAGTGACAAGAAGCTCCCCTGGACATTCTCCCAGGCAGGCACCTCTCCTGTTATATGCCTGCCTGCTCATCCGTGCAAGTCACTGGTGCAAAACAAGTTGACGTGTCCTGCAGGTTTGCTCAGAGTCTGGGTGAAGCATGGGTCCTTTTCCCAGAACTCTCCTTTTGCAGCACCATTCCTGCAACCTGCAAGTGAATTGTTTTTGAAGAATCAAAATCTGTTTGAAGCCCATTTTCTTATCCATGACACTTTACTTCTAAGAACTGCAAACCAGATGATAGCCACAGGTGTAAAGTTCAGAATTCCTGGATGGATAGCATTTGCCTGTCTCTTTTTCAGGCTGTTGCTGGGCTCAGTGGAGCGACTGTGTTGAGAGGAAGCTGCTCCACAAAGACCAGAGAGAGTTGGTGGTTCTGCCATCCTGCCTGCCACCGCCTGGTTCTGCAGTCACCCTGTACCTGGCCGTCTGGAGGGGCCAGGAGCTGGAGAACCAGGAAGAGCAGTGCCTCTATGTGTCCGCCCCCCTGGAACTCAGGCCTCAAGTCAAGTGGGGCCTCTCTCCTCTCACCCCCAAACTCCAGCCAATGCTTCCCATTGGGTGATGCAGTCTATAGAGACCAGTCTCCCAGTGCAGAGCAGTAGAAGTTGATGGAGACTGGGCTGTAGGGAAAATGGAGAATGTCTGGCCACATGTACTAGGATAGACATGAAGACAGGAATAGGGAAGATTCAAGAACTATTATCAAGTTAAAACAGAAAGGACCTGGGAATGGGTCAAACATACAGCAAGTGCCAAAGTGATCTCTGATTGGGTCAAGGGAGGGGCATTATAGAGAAGGCCCAGGATTCAGATCAAGTTGTGTTGGTTCATGTTCCATCCCCTTACTTAGGAGTGTATCAATGAGACAAATCATATAAGCTCCCTGACCCTGCCTGGTTCGCTGGTCTGTGATATGAGGATCGTAATATGTCACTCATAGGGTTGTGGTAAGCATTAGATAAGCTAATAACAATGGAAGTCATGTATAAGTGGGCATTCATGCTATAAAACCACAGCATTTGTTCATTATTGTTAGAACTAGGGAGAGTCACAGAAACCTCCTGCTCTGATCCTTTCACAAGGAAACTGAGGCTCAGAAAATTTAGGTGACTCATGTAAGGGGACCATTCATAAGTGGCAGGCACAGAATTTGAGCTCAGGGTCCTGTCTCAGCCTTATGCACTTCCCATGTCCTTACCCTGAGCAGTGAGTGAAATGGGAATTCAGTCAGGCACGAATAACCCCATCTTCATGGTCAAAGCTATTTCCCAGTTTTGGCTGGGGAGGAGGTTGCTTTCATTCCACTTTTCACTTGAAAGAAGGTTGTTTCTCACCTTCTCAAAGGACTTGAGAAGAGCTGGACCAAAGACTGGGCAGGTGAGTGGCGACAATGCCTGAGTGAGCTTCCTCGCTCTGTTCTCTGCCTCCCTTTCAGCTGTGAGAGGAACTGTGGGCCAGTGAATGCCAGCGAAGACGTTATGCTGAGGGTCACCATGGGTGACGAAGCCCCAGTGGCCACGTTCAGCTGGTATTTAGATGTCACCCCTCTAGAGAAGGTGAGGACGCTGGCAACCCTCAAAGATGGAAAAGTCTTCCCACTTTGACTTCTCAATGCCCAGGACTGAGCTGGGAATGGGTCAGCTCCACTCGGAGATGGTAGAGAGGGAGCCAGGGGTTTGGGCACATTCCCCAGAGGAAAACCAGGGCACTGGTCAGAGAAATGGGTGCCTGGGAGCAAAAGCAGTGGGGAACCACCACAGCAGATGCTGTTGGCGCCCAGTCCCAGTCCACAGTGGAGTGGCCCCTGCCAATAGCTATGAAGTCTAACAGCCCAGCCCCTCTGCCTCTGAGGGAGATGTTTTCTGTGCTGCAGCTTATGTGCTCCAGAGTGCCCCGTGGGATCAGGCTGAGTCTGGATGCCGCCTGAGACCATTTCTTTGTCTAGTTTCATTTTCTACCCTATTCAGCTTCCCTCCCTCTCCTCCTGGTGTTGCCCTAAGAGCCCTCCCTTAATAAATGACCTGCACACGGATCCTCATCACAGGCTCTGTTTCTAGGGAACCTGACCTAGTAGGATAATACCCTAATCAGGATGGAAATTGGATATCTGGGATGACCTCAGGGAAGCAAGCAGTGGCTGTCACTCATCTGTCCCAGACAAATCTGAAAGGTGCCCCAGGGGTCAGAAACCAGTGCCCTGATGAGGTCCAGTGGCCTGAATGTAGCCTCTGGGCCTCTGGGCTGTGCTCTCTTTCAGACCCAGCCCCTCCCAGCAGCCTGTAGACTCCGAGGGTTTCGGCCTCGGCCTCGTTCTTTAATCCTCCTTCAGAGCAATGCCTCCACACTGCTGCTGAACAGCTCCCTCCTGCAGGCCTGGGGCCAGGCTTTCCAAATCAGAGTCACAGGTGGGAAGGCCTCCCTTGAGTCTCTTGTCATGGGTTCGGTCTGCTGCAGAAAATGAGCCAAGACAAACCCAGAAGCCCTGAAATACGGGACATCAGCATAAAGTGGGGGCCACACACAGGCTCTGGTGTGAATCCCATCACCCCCGCTTTCTAGCTGGAAGAGTAGAAATTTAATCTCTCTGTGCCTCAGTTTCCAGACAAGTAAACTAGGTGTGATAAAAACACCTGCCTCGAAATTGTATTACGCAGGGTAGATGAGCATTCTGGGGTCTTGCAGCCATGATTCAGCACTTTTTACTTTAACCCATCCCTGAACCCAGAGAAATACAGTCTCAAAAAGATAAATAATGAAGGTGAGAATTCTTTTTCAGATGGATTCCTTTGACTCAGTACTTATCAAAGTGGCTCATAGACCACCCACACTGGGGTAAGGGGAAGTGCTAGTTTAAAATGCACACTCCCGAGTTTGCCCCAAAGCTTCTGAATTAAGTCTAGGCCAAGGAATGAGTTTTAATTAAGATTGTCTTTATGCCCAGCTCTTCCAGGCAGATACTCTTTTTGAAAAACCAGGTGATTATACCAGGTGATGTGTGATGGTGGTGCAGGTCAACTGGGGTTGCGAGGGGAGCTATGCATGGTGCTGTGGGGGCCTGGCAAGAGCATGGATTCCGGTTTCCAGGTCCTGGCTGTGGCCCTACCTAACTCAGTGAGCTTAAGCAAGTCGTTTTTCCCAATATACTCCCTCCTCACCAAAGCTCTATGAAGAAGCTACTCTTATTTACCCCATTTTATAGATGAGGAACTGACTCTCAAAGAGCTTTTGTCCAAGGTCACCTGGCTAGTAAGCAGCAGAACTGGGATTCAAGTTCAGGTTTATCGGAATCTGTTTCTGTCTCTGCCCAATTTCTCAAAGTGAGATCCCAGATGCCCTGTTTCAGGGTAGTTGTTAGATTTGCAGAGTTCTGGGCTTACCCCACAGCCCCCAGTGAGGTCTGTGGCTCAGGGTCCAGAGAGGGGCCTGGGAGTCTACACGTCCAAGTTTCCAGGGGAATCTGGAAGCGAGGTGGAGTTTGTATGAGCCATACAACTCCTAAGCACTTTCTGTCTTCACTCCCCAGCAGTGACCAGGCATGCCTACGGGGAGGACACCTATGTTATCAGCGCTCTGCCTCCCCCCGAGGTGCCCACCTGCACCATTACCCTGGAGGAGGGCACCGTTCTAACAAGCTTCTCCATCTTCTGCAATGCCTCCGCTGCCCTCGGCCCCCTGGAGTACTGCTTCTGTCTGGAATCAGGTACTGGCCCAAGGCTAGGTTCCTCCTTTGGCTCCTGGGCTCCTCCTTTCCCAGAACAGGGCCTGTCTCTCTCTGGAAGCTGTGAAGAATACATTCCATGTGTGAGAGAGGTTTAGAAGATGAAGGCTCCCCTAAGTCTTAACATTCCCACCCCCGGGCACACTGGCCCACCCACACACCTCAGATGAGAGCAGATCCCATCTGTATCTCCTCCGCAACAATAGAGGCCAAAATGACCCCTGTTCTGGCACGAGGGATGTGGAGAAAGTTAAATGGATGAGTATACATAGAAGCATGACCATGTGGGGCCACTACTAGGACATTATTGCTCAGCACTCACTTGGAGTATCCATGACCCCTTGGAAATATGAGCTATTCAGGACAGAGATGGATCTGGCTCATAGAATCGTCAGCAATTTTATTGACCCCATAGCAGGGAATGGGCAATGTTGCAGATCATGCTCAGCTGAAAGGAGACATTTTTGCAAAGGTTTACAGGCATGAAGCATGCAGACCCCATCCCCATTGCACAATGCCCTGCACAGAGTCCTGTCACCACAACCCACACCCCAGGACAGCTGTAGGGCATCAGCAGGAGAGATGGGGCGAGCGGCCCACACTGCATCTGGTCTCCCAGTTTGGGGATAGTTGACCCTTGGAGGGCTCATCTGGGGTCCTCGTCTCCTCCCAGTGAGTTTTGGTATTTTGTGACCCTCACATGAGCTCTGAAAATGTTCCAGTTAGATTGAAACTTTCCTCCAAACCTAGGCATACAGGAGTGTTGCTATGGAGCTCTCCAGCATTCAGCATTGAACACTATAAAAATGTAAAGTGAATGCCTTGACTAGGAGGTGGACATAAGCTATCCTGAGACCCAACCAAGTGTGAATTTCATGGGGTATCCCATCAAATAGATGTGGAATGCAGGGATGTGAAGAGGGCTGTGACTAGGTCTCAGCCAAGAGGGAAACAATTCAAGGAGGGAAATAGATTTTCATTCCAAACCCATGTACCCCTAAATGGAGAGGCCAGGCTGGCTGCTCCAATTCTGACCGATTATTCCTCTGTAGTACCTCCCCCGGAATCTCACAGGTTAGCAAGGAGGAAGGCAAGTATGATCATATAAAAATGAGTTGTCAATTGCAGTTCAATAACTTCATGGTTGAATAGTGATTCCTGTAAGAATACAAAGGATATTCATTCATTTACTCATTCTTGCAATCAATATGTACATTCAGAGTCTGAATGTCAGACTCTGTCCTAGGTGCTAGGTATATGGCAATGGACGAAATAGAAAAGCCCCTGACCTCAAGGCATTTACAATAGTGGTGGAGACAGCTGGTAAACAATGACATCTGACAGGGGGCACTGTTTGAGGCAGGGCAGCCAGGGAAGGCCTTTGTACAGGAAGGAACATCTGAGTGAGCTTGAGTATGTTTGGAGCTAATGTTAAGACCTTTTCCTTTTCCTCCTCTTCCTCCTCCTTTTTGTAGTCTGGTTTGCAATCTTGATTTAAACAACAACAACTTCTAAATAGGGAATTTTTTCCTCAAAATTTTCATGGATTTTAGTAAAATGAATCCAAGGTCCCAGCAGCATGTGATGACTTAGGGAGAACAGTGAATCAGCATAAATGGCTGTCTTCTCCCTGAAAGTACGGAGCCCCGAGTATTTGCCTGCCTTCATGAGCTATGGCTTTTGTGTCCTTGTCATCAGGCTCTACCTTGGTGGGCCTACAGTCTCCCTGGGGCCTGGAGGTGCTCCCCTAATTGTCTAATGTCCATTTGCCAGGTTCCTGTCTACACTGTGGCCCTGAGCCTGCCCTCCCATTAGTTTATCTGCCACTTGGAAAAGAAAACAACGACTTTGTGCTGACAGTGGTCATTTCTGTTTCCAATCATGCAGGGGACAGGCGGCACACCCGTGCAGCAGTTAAGGTGGGTGGCAGCCACTGTTTCTTTACTGAGAAAACTTGACTTGTCAGAACTTCACTGAGAGGATGGCTGGCTATTGAAAGTCAGCCCTTGACACAAGGGTTTGTTAAAAAAAAAAGAAGAAAAAGAAAAAGAAAGAAATTTTAAAAAATAATAAGAGGGTGGCTGGGTTGAAAGGAGCCTAGGGCATGACCAGATGAGTCACTGATTCATTCATTGCTTCAACAAATATTTACAGAGCACCTACCTATGTGCCAGGCCCTGGCGATACAGCTGTGGACAAAACAGATTTGGTCTCTACCTTTGAAGGTCTTATGATTAGTGACCCGAATAAGCGTCAGGTCCTGGGGGCTTAGAGCAGGGGACCTGAGGTGGTTGGAGCAGAAGGACCCATGGATGAGTTAAGCCAGTGTGTTTGTGTTTGAAGTCAAGAGGAAGGAGGACCAAGATCAGCTAACAGGGCTACAAGGCAGAGGCTGGATAAAATCCCAGGTAAATGCTCAGGGTCAGAAGCCAGTGGACTGGGAAGGGATTGAGAGTACCATGCGGAGGGCAGTGAAGGGTAAAGCAGTGACTTGCCCAAGGCTTGTTTTTGTTCACCACAAGTGCCTGGTGCAAGCTGTCCAGCTGCCCTCAAAGCTTGGAAAATGCCCGAAGCCTCCACACCAGGTGCAAAGGTTTCCAGGCCTGCTCTGTACTGTCCCTCATGGAGATCTGTGACATCAGGCTCTTGTTCTTGAACAAGAACCAGCGAGTTGAGGTCTTCCCTGCACAAAGCATGTTTCTGGTTTCCCACAGGTGGGACTTGGAGACACTCGTGTTGAGGATGGGGCATTCCAGGCTGCAGTGTCAGAGAACATTACTGCTGCTCTACAAGGGGAGCAGGGCCCAGAGCGGCTCTTCCAGCTGGCCAGGTCTGTGTCCTCCATGCTGGACCAGGAGTGCCAGGGGCTGGGACCCAGACGGCTACAAAGAACGGGCGCCAGACAGAAGGTACTTGAGATGAGCGCTTTTATGCCTTCTGCTGGGGCCCCTGCAGCCTGTATGTAGCTATTCAGGGTGGGGAGCAGTGTTCAGGGATCTGTGAAGAAGCCTTTGGTGTCTGCTAAGCTGTTGACATTATTACCTTGCCCTTTTTTGGTCCTTTCAGTAAGTGACAGAAAAGAAGGCTGTCTCTGCTCAGCCTCATGGAGTCATGGGCTCCTGGAGTGGGAGGGGACTTGAGTATTGCTCCAGTCCTTCCTATTGAAGACGATGGTACTGAGGCCAGAGGGGAAAAGTGACCTGGCTGCAGTCACAAGGTTAATGGCTTGGAGTTGGACTTAGATGCTGTCCTAACTCTGTCACTTACCATATATATTATCACAAGCTGGTGACTGAATTTCCCTGAGCCTCAGTTTCCCAAGTCTGGAAAATGGAGATAATAGTATTTTCCTAATAAGGTTATAGTGAGAGTTAAATAAGAATTAAATTCACTGTAACTATAGGTTGAACCATATGAAATTGCCCACATCCAATCACTTTTAATCCACCAAATGGCCACTTCATGTGTTATAAACTAATGTTATAAATAACTATTGCAGAACGTATGATTACTTCTGCTCCCAGTGCATGGTACGTGAATATGAATATGTATTCACAGGCACGCAACATGTCTGCACCACACACAGCATCACACATACACGGTGGGCATGGAGAAGGGAAGAAAGATCTCTCTGGTTCCCTGAAAGGTTTTCATGAAAGTACTTGGCAGAGTGCAGGACACACGATAAGAACTTTTAATACAGAGGAGTGGTGGTTGTCAAAGTAATTAAGTACGGAGAAGTAACTATCATTTTTTGAGCACACACTATGTGCTGTCAGGCCCTGAATTGGGGCTTTAAGGGTGTGTAACCCCCATTAAAACCCTCCAAAGTACATGGCTAGGTCCCCATTTACGTTAGAGTAGAAGAGACAGGGTAAGAATTTTAGTAGCTTGCCCAGGTCCCCATTTATAGTAGGGGGCGAAGGTGGTTCGAACCCAGGTTGGCTTTTCCCCCACCCACCTCCAGCCCCCCCAGCCCTCTCACCCAGCCCTTGGCTTCACGTTAGAGCCCCCACATACAGACGTACCCCCGCCTGGTTCTTGGTTGTATTCACTCAGAGCATTAGCTGTGGCACATTTCCCTTCGGATGTCCTTCGGTCCCTGAGCACACTGATCACATAGGACAGCAGCAGCTCCACCTGAAGTGACCAGAACCCAAAGGGAGAGCTCTGTGAGAAGAGGGCTGCCTGGTAGGAGCGGTGGCTTTGGAAGAATGAAGCAGTCAACCCACAGTGACCTGACAGGGAGGACACTGGGACAATAACTTCTAGCTCTTTTTCTTCCTGCCCTCCGTTCTCCCGCCAAGTGAATCCATCGGCCAGAGGATCAGGGGCCAGTGACATCTGCACATAGACTGCCTCCGAGGTGGTGACGAGGGTGGTAGAAGATCTACAGAGGCAAACATGAGATGGACCATTTTCTGAGATTCCCTTCCAGAGCATTCTAACAAGAGTCCCCTTGAATACTGGCCTATTCTTTCCTCTATCCAAGCCACAGCCTGTATACACCCTGAGCTAATGGCAGACACACAAAAATCTGCAGCTGCCGTAAAAACTGTTGGATGGTTGGACTGAGCAAGCTGGGACTAGCAGGCCGTGAGAAGGGTTGTTCATTTGCATCTGTGCGATTCCAAATGGTTTCCACTAGCCATGTCCAGCTACTTACATTTAAGTTAAAATGAAATAGCCCTGGCTGGGCAGCTAAGTTGGTTGGAGCGTCATCCCAATGCGCCAAGGTTGTGCATTCCATCCCTGGTCAGGGCACATACAAGAATCAACAAGTGAATGCATGAATAAGTGGAACAACAAATTGATGGGGGGGGGGGGTTCCTTCTCTCCCCCTTCCTCTCTCTCTCTCAAATCAGTAAATAAAAATCAAAATAAATTAAATTAAAATGAAGCAAAGTTAAAAATTCAGTTCTCCAGTGGTATTGGCCACATTTCAAAGGCTTAACCATCACATTTGGTGAGTGGCTACTTCACTGGACTGTACATTGAAGATATTTCTTTCAATGCAGAAAGTTCTGTGGGGCAGTGCTGAAATGATATTCTTAGTTTGTCTGTGCTGCTGCCAAATCCAGCCCCTGGCCAGCCCCTCATTAGGGCTTTGTGGCTTAGAAAGCACACTCCTCAGAAGCCCCAGAAGGCTTCAGTGGTTGGTGGGAGTCAGTGGATGAGGAGGAGGCATCCTGGTCCCCAATCACTCCAAAGGCACACAGGGACGTAAACCTGCCACAAGGTCTGCCATCCACACTGGGCCAGCAAAGCGATGTGATTCCTGAATACCATGCCATTCTGGTCACAAGTGCCACACTGAGATGTTACTTGTTTTGAAATGATGCCACATTTTACAGACTTAATTTGAAGATTTGGAGAAAGCTGAGAAATTCTGTATTAGTGTCCTATGGCTGCTGTAACAAATTACCAGAAATTTAGTGGCTTAAAACAACACAAATGTATTATCTCACAGTGCTGGAGGCCAGAAGTTTGAGAGGAGTCTCACTGGGCTATGGTCAAGGTGTTGGCAGGGCTCTGTACTGCCTGGAGACCCAGGGAAGAATCCTCCCTTTGCATTTTCCAGCTTCTAGAAGTTGCCTACATTCCTCTCACCATCTTCAAAGCCAGGAGTTTAATGTCTTCAAATCCTTCCCCTGCTCCCTCTCCACCACTCCCTTTCTCCCTCTCCACCACTTCTGCCTCCGTCAACTCTGACTCTCCTCCCTCCCTCTTACAAAGACCCCTGTGATCACACTGGTTTCACCCCATTAATGTGGGACACTCCATCTCAGAATCCTTAACTTAATCAAATCTCCAAAAAAATTTTGCCGGTCCCTTTTGCCATGTGAGATAACATATTCATAGGTCTCAGGGATTAGGATGTGGACATCTTTGGGAAGCCATTATTCTGTCCACCATACATTCTATGAGGCAAACAAAGGTCTGTGGGCTTTGAAAAACCCCAGAGGAGTCTGGTCCCTTGCTCTGACCCTAAATCTTTCTAAAACTGTTTCATCAAACCACTGGAATTACATTTCCTCTCCTTATCTTCCTCCCTCTGTACCAAGATCAGAGAACTTGTGCTAGGGTCACTGTCTGCAGTCACTACCACCCTGGGGGACATGCAGAGGGTGCAGGAGCTGGCCACGGTGCTGAGAGAGGTGACCCATCACAGTGAGGAGCTCACGCCCTTGGCCCAGGTGAGTGGTTTCCGGCTGCTGAGCCAAGCCATGCGACATGTACCTCTATGGTGTCTGACGACTCACCCCAGCACAGGCAGCCAAGACTTCCACCATCTCTTTCCAAAAGCCCTACAAGGCTGGTGCTAGGGCAGGAAAAGTGCTCTGTGTCTCCTTCTGGGTGTGACAGTCTGTGTGCTTACACATCACACACTCTGCCAGTAAACTTAACTAATTATTGGGTGGTTAAGTGTGTGTCCAGACAATGCTACTACTGACCACCCATGTCTCCCACTCCAGTGCACAGCAGCCTGACGCCCAGCCGCCAGCTCTAGCCTTTCTTTCATCTCTGACATCTGTCCCCCCCAACCCCTGCATACTCTGCCTCCCACATGGAGGCTTAAACATGCCAGGGGATTGATGCTGTGGTCAGTGATGAATTGGCTGGGGCACATATACCCCAGCTTCCCCACCCCTCCTGGTGGGTAACTCCCACCCATCCATCTATTCATTCATTCATCTGTCTAGTCAGTGAATGTTTACTGAAAGCCGACTATGTTCTGAGCATTCTGCAAGGCACTCTGGGAAGGATCCCAAGATGGACTAGGCTACTCTACTAAAGGACATTGTAGGGAGGGAACACCAGCCTAAAGTTGGTGATACAGGCAGCTGATGTGATGGGCCTGGTCCATATTTCCCTACTTTGGGTCCCCACCTTGTTCCCCTCCCTTCTAGCCCCCGTCCCGTGAACCCCAGGCAGGGGCTCATGCTCTTTTTCCTTCCCCTTTGGGTGAGCCCAGTGGGAGGCCAGCTGGTCTCTGCAGCATGCCAGTGAGGCCCTGTTGGCAGTGAGTGCCAAGGCCCACCATGAGGACCAGAGGCGCCAGGCAGCCACCAGGGACCTCTTTCAGGCTGTGGGCAGCATGCTAGAAGCTTCCCTGAGGGACAGACTCGAAGAGCCTTCGGAGGCCAATGGCAGCCAGGTAGGTGTCCCAGCCCAGAGGCAGACTTCACACCTCCCATGTGCCCAGCTCACACCAGCATTTCTAGATGGATCTTTCACCACATCTTGCAGATGAGGAAACTGAGGCATAGAAATTAAAGTCCTTTCTAGGGAGCTGAAGGGAGGTTCCAGAGACCATAGCTTCTGGGAGGCAGTGTGGTATAGCAGGCCGGGAGCAAGCTCTGGCAGGAGGCAGGCTGAGTTTGAATCCTGCCTCTATCGCTTACATGTAACTGCCTCACAGAATTCCTTGTCTGAAGATGAAAAGGGTTCATGTAAGTCAAGTGTTAGAAGTTTTACACATGCTTACTCTTCGTTCCCCCACTTAATGGCATCCCATTGTGGTCTCTGCCTCACCCAGTTCCTGCCAAAGGTCCCATACCAGCCTGTGACCAGAGGTAATACATAGAGACAGGGCTCTCTTGTTCTATCTTCTCCCTCTTCCCTCTCTAATCTCTCTTTCCTCTCTCTTATCTTCCTCTTCTCTCTCTGTCTTCCTTCTCCTCCCTCTCTCCTCTCTTTTCTCTCTCCCCTTTCTGTACACCCCTGCTTTCTTTCCCAGGTGGCCACAGTGCCCCAGCTGCTCAGGGTTGTGGAGCATGTACAGTCTGCCCTCCTGCTGGGGACACTGCCCAGGGGCCTTCCAGCCACACTGGCCACACCCTCCATCTCTGTGTACACAAACAGGTAACTGGCTGTACTGTGGGCCCCCAGGAAAGCCTATCCCCTGATCTGGCTTGTTCCATACCCACATCCCAAGACCCTGTGACAGGCAGAGCCCAGGAGACCAGCCTTGGAGGTGGGAGAAGCGATGGGACTTAGAAGTGAGAAGGGCTTTTCACTGAGAGATGTCTCTGCATTGGGTTGTCCTCTTGGGTCATGGAGGTGGTATCCCAAAGCAGCATGCCAATCAGAGCGAGGTTTTGAAACCAGGTCCCCAATGTAACCAGATGGGACAAGGCCAAAGGCTGTAAAAATGGAGCTGGGAGCCTGTGGCATCAGAAGTCAAATAGGCAGGGGAGATAAGCCCAGACAAATGTCCACATCAAAGCTCATTTATTCAACCAACGAAATATGTACTGACCACCAGTATATTCCAGACACTGTTCTAGATATTGGGGGTATAGCAGTAAACAAAGCTGGCTGTAGCCCTGTCCTCATGGGGCCTCCAACCTGGGGTAGGGGTATCGCCTGCCTTGCGTACTGCTACTGACACAAACAGGCGGAACCATATCAGGGGGTCAAAAGGTAGCAGCCTATTCTGATGGTAACACAGTCCTCCCTATAGTGCAATGGAGGGTCAGATATTCCTCTGACACAGACTTTCTCCTTCCTCCTGGCACCTCTGTTCTCACCTCATGGCCAGAATTCAGCCCCAGAGTTTGCAAGGCTCCTCTGTGCACGTTGCTGCTGCCGGCTCTGCGACCTTCACCCTGCCTGCTGCCTCCTCCCTTGGCTCCTTGGAGGATGCTCGGGAGCCTGTGGACATAAGGGTAACAACAGTAATAACCTGCTTGGGAATAGCCCTTCACGATCAATCTACAAAGCCCTTACACAGCATTTGCTCAGTTCTGTTGATTGATAACAGCCCTGTCAATTACATAGTATCATGATGCCCATTGGACAGATGAGGTTCCACGACTTGCTCAAGGCCACAAGCAAAAGTGGGAGAGCTGGGATTCAGACCCAGACCTTCTGACTCCCAACCCGAGTTCATTCCATAACTAGGAAATAGCAAACCCAGGGCTCTTTCCCATTCCCAAATTAGTGCCCATATGACTCTTTGCTCCTTGCACCCCAGTGAAAGCGAACAAACTTCTCTCTCTTAGAGACTTGTTAGCTTTGCCAGAAGAAAGACTCAGACTGTTTTACAGTCTAGTAACTGCTCAGCTGCAGCCAGTCTGATTGGGTTCTCTAGGCCCAGCTCTCAGAAGCTATAGCCCTGACGTGTAGACACACACCAGGGAAACCAGCATTAGCTCAAGGCAGGGTCCCAGTTTACCCCCAAAGGCAAGGCCTACTTGTCCATCCTCCCTTAGGAAACCTCATGACTTCACAGAGGGACCTCTTTACCTTCCAGCCTTGGGGCACCTGGGCCAAAGCTCCCTGTTCTTGGTTTCAGATGACGAGTTTCCCAAAGAGCCCTTTCCCAGCCCGAAGGCACTTTGACGTCAGTGGAACTGTCGGCGGCCTCTCTCTGACCAGCCCTAGTGGACAGCTCATGCCCATGCAGAATCTGTCGGAGAACGTTGAGGTAGATGTTGGGGGTGCTGTCAGAATTCAGGTGGCCCTTCTGTCTTCTTCAGCTGGGTTGGGACTAAAAGTTGGTTGGCTATGAAAGAATACATATTAAGGAGGAGAATTATTAAAAAATGATCCTATCTTAAACATTGTATTTTAACTTAAAACTATAAAAGTACATCATTATAAATTTTGGGTATGCAACTAAAGAGTTTCTTTAAATCTGTTGTTAGAATTTTAATCATCTTCATTACATAACACAGCCTCTGAAAGGTCCAGTTAGATTTTCTTTACAGTTAATGAAAGATGTAAGCACACCACAGTGCCACATGAGTTCAGATTCTTTGCAGAATTTAATGATCTTTTTCTAATCCTTTACGGTTTTTGCATCAATGACTAATTCAATAACAATTTTTAGCAACTCATCTTTATTATCTTCTCAAAACACTCAACTTAAGTTTTTATGTAAATCATTCTTTTCACACTCCTACTTTGTCACTGTGTGAAATACATGATTAAAATTGACCTTTAGAGTCACGAGCACAAGGGACTTGGGCATAAGCAGGTCAGAAGCAACTGCTCAGCAGTGAGCATGTGCCTTGCCTGGTAGGAGAGAGCTGCCAGGATTACTGCAGAGATGTTATGAGTTGGGTTCTTTAGAGGCAGGAGTTGAGAAAGAATTTTCAGTGCAAGATGCTTCCTAGAGATCAAATACCTGAGAAGAGCAAAGAAAGAAAACAGGACTGGGCAGAAGTCAGTAATGACAGAAGCCTCTAATCCAGATCGCACACAGCCTCAGTCAGTCCAGAGGGAACTCTGCAGCAAGTATGAGCCATCCGGGTTCTATTAATTGTGTTTGTCATTTTCTGTATCTTATGTTGTTTTGACATCTTAAAAACCTTGCTGGTGACGAGAGACTGTCCCTCCCAGGGCCGGCCAGTCCTTAGAGATAGCAAAGGGCTCGTGCCTTTCACAGGCACACCAGCTGATCCTGAGTCTCTACCCAGCCATCCCCTTTATCTAACGCTCACATACCAGGCCAGTACTCAACCTTAATCAAAGTCACCCCAGGGCCAGGTACCAGGCAATTAGAGACCCCCTGTGTAGCCTAAGCCAGCCAGAATTATTCAAACTGGTCAATCCTAAATTGTTTACTCTGTCCTGCATTTCTTCTGTTTGGAAACCCCCATAAAGGCCATGGCTTGGGCTCTCCATCTCCATGTCAGCTTCTGCCTCCCGACCTGGCACTTCCCCTGTGGCCCTGTGTGGCATGGCAGGTCCCCTCTCCCAGGAAATGCACGTAACGAATTCTTATTTAAATGGCATTGACCTTTCATGTCATTACTCAGTCACTTCCATAAATGAAAATCCCATTGAGACAAGAGTATCCTGCATCAGGCCAATATGTCTGGACCTTATATCCTCCTCCTTGCTCAGGCACTGAATGCAGGTGGCCCTAGGAAGGGAGGCCCCGAGGACAGGTGAGTCTGCAGCTAGGACAGACCCTGAAAGACCTGGGAGCTGGAGCCTGTCTACTGACTACACTCCTTGGGATTGGGCAGCAGGTCCTTCCTGGAAGGCAGAGACAGGCAGTACATTGCTGCCTCTACCATGGAGGGCTACCAGGAGTAAACAGTGTACAATGGGCATACATCAGTCTGCTTTAAAAAGGGAATGGAGAGTATTCGTTAATCTGCAGAGCTGATTAAATGGGGAGAGGTTATGAGAAGTTCTGATGTAAGAATGATAACAGAGTAATAGCAACTACTGTTGAGTATTATTGTGTATCTGGCACTTGGCTAAACATTTTATGTGCAGTATCATTTTTAATACTCTCAATGAGTCTAGAGTCTATGTGTCCTATGGATGACAAGAAACTGAGGCTCAGAGTGGTTTGTTAATTGGCCAGAGGTCCCAGAACTAATATAGGGTAGAGTCAAGAACCAAACAGAGATCTCTCTGCCTCTACAACCTGTGTTCTAACTTACACATACTTGCTCAACACTTTCATCAACACCACCACTAGTTCACAGGGCACCTTTGTGTGAGTTAGAAAAAGCCTCTGCTCTTTTTGTGCAGACACAGCCCTGAGCTGGGGTGCACAGCTTGATGACCATGGTAAGTTGAATAAAGACCCCAAGATGTCCATGTTCTCATCCCTGAGCCTATGAATATGTCAAAAGGGACTTTGCAGATGTGACTTAAGGACCTGGAGTTATAGAGATGATCCTGGATTATCTAGGTGGGACCAATGTCATTACAAGGTCCTTATAAATAGGAGGCAGAAGGGGAGTTGACTCCAGAAGAGAGGAAGGCAATTTGATTACAAAAGCAAGAGGGCAAGGTGATGGGAAGAAGGAGCTATGAACCAAGGAATGTAGGTGGCCTTCAGAAGTGGGAAAAGGCGAGAAGTAACTTCTCCCAAAGAGCCACTAGAAGGAACCAGCCCTGCTGACTTTAGCCCTGTGAAACTGATTTTGAACTTCTGGCCTCCAGAACTACGAGATAAATTTGTGTTGGTTCAAGCCACCGAGTATGTGGTCACTTGTTACAGGAGCTCTAGGAAACTAATAGAATGAGCAAAGCACAGAGTGGATTCCAGTTCCCCAGGTGCTCACCCTGCCCAGCTCTGAATAGCAGCCCCGATGCTAACTGGCATTCCCATCTGGTACACCCCTGATTTGGTTGTTTCTGATGACAGATCCTGCTGCCCCGGCTTCCAGAAGGATGCAGCAAGCCAACTGTGTTGAATCTGACCAGGCCTGAAGCTCTGTGGGTGAACCTGACTTCAGTGGGTGCAGCTTTGGGGATCCAGCTGCACTGGAGACCTGATATCCCACTCACACTCAGCCTGGGCTATGGCTACCGCCCAAACGAGACCAGCTACGATGCCAAAGCTCACCTTCCACCAATGGCTGCTCCAGGTAGTCACATCATCCGGTCAGCTCCTCAAGCTGCTTCCTGGGAATGTGACCAGCTCAAAACTTGAGAATCAGAAGCCATCGGGGGGCGGGGAACCACCTGCTACATTAAGCACTTATTTTTGTTGTTAGTGTTATTACTATTATTATTAATAGGTGAGCACTAACTGTATGCCCTGAACAGGCAGACAAGCACTTACAGAACTGACCTCATTGTAACCCTCACAACAACTCTCAGGGATAGGGACTATTGACATCTCCACGTTCCAGATAAGAACAGAGAGGTTAAGTAACTGGTCCCAAGTCACACATTCAAGAAGGGACAGAATCAGAATTTGAGCCCTTGTCTGTCTGACTTGACAGCCATGCACTGTACACTAACCAGGGAGAGCCTCTTCCATGTTCTTGGTCTCCAGAGGAGAGGGTACTCCTAAGACACTCAGGAGACCACCAGGGCCAGCTTCCCTGTGAAGTCACCTCAGTCTCCCAAGGCTTCAGGCTGACCCTGAGCCCCCTTCCCTGCAGATGGGCTGTCCACATGGATCCTGAGCCCAGAGGACCTGCATTTCAGAGAAGGTGTCTACTATCTGACTGTGATCCCCGAGTCTGACCTGGAGCTGACCCCTGGCAGAGACCTCACAGTTGGCATCACCACCTTCCTTTCCCACTGTGTGTTTTGGGATGAGGTCCAGAGGACTTGGGACAACTCTGGGTGCCAGGTAAGGAGAGGGAAGCGAAGATGACACAGCAGCTTGCGTGGGTGTGTCCCGCTCCTTTAGGGTCCTGTTTTAGTGCCTCTGGTGCTCCATCTTCAGCCCTCCCTGGGCCTCTGCACGTGTGCCTGGAACCCAACACCCACTTAGTGAAGTTAACCCCCTCCTCAGATCCCACCTGAAGTGTCACCTCTCCCAGAAACTCTCAATGCCCTGGTTTGGCCAGACGTCCTACAGTGAACTCACAGCACACAGGCCCGCCTCCTCTGTACACTAAGCAGGTGGTAGTTCTACACCCACTTAGGAGACCACTGAAAGATGTCTGTTCCCTCAGCGCACTAGGAGTCGCTTGGGACAGGAACAACGTGCTTTGCTCACCATTAGGAACAAATGACCACTGAACGAATAGACAAATGACTGGGAAGCCCTGCTGACTCTGGGTTGCTGAGAGGGCCAGGGAGTCATTTCCAAGGAAATGAACTCCCAGCTGAACCCTTTATTCTATGCCAGGTGCTGTGTCCCATGCTTTCTTTTGTTCTCTCATCAAATCTTCACATTAATCCTCTAATAGAGTTGGTATTCACATTTTACAGGTGGTAAAACAAAGGCTCAGGAAATTCAACTAACTTGCCCCAAATCCCTCACCTAGTAGGTAGAGGACTGGGGACTCAAACACAGGTCTGTTTCCGGAGAATAAGCCTTGGCAATATGGGCACTGATTCTCCGGAGCCCAGCCCAGTCTCACTGGGCCCCTGGATGGTGCATGGCTCTATTAATTGCAATTAAATCCTTGTCTTAGGTCAGCTCAGCTCTTCCCCCAAGGAGGAAGAAACTGTGACAGTGTCCTGGCAGTAGACATCGGCTTTGAGGCTATCAGAAGTCATCTCTGTGTCTTCAGGGTACCCCATTCCCCTTCCCCTTGCCATTGTGCATGCTGTTCTCTCCCTGGAACTTTACCTACAGCAGCTGGTAAATTCCCATTCACCCTTCAATCTCCCACTCCAATGCCTCCTCCCTTGGGGAGCTTCTCAGATGTCTGCAGTCTCCCTCTATTGGATTCCCCAGCACTTCACACCTTCCTCAAGAACAGCAACCTCCATATCCAGGTGAAATTTATCGCACATCTGTCTCTACCTACGGGACTATAAATACCTTCCTTCATTTATTTTACAAATAGTCACCATGTGCCAGACCAACTGGTGGGAATATAGAGGTGAGGAAAGCCAGTGAGCTCTCAGTCTAGCAGAGGACACAGATAAAGAGCAAATGGCACACACATCAAACGATGGCAGCAAAACATAGTACAAAAAGCCAGGTTGCAGCAGAGTCATGCAAGGGGACTCAGAGACAAGCTCCTTCCACTCTTGTTTGTATTGCAGCTGGAGCTTCCGTATCAGCTCCCACCCTGGCTTCTAGCTGCCACACAAAGGGAGTTCCCCAAAGCTCCAGGAAGAGACGAGGGTGCACTGAGATGTCCAAGGCATAGCAGGTTCCCTGCAGTTGCAGCACAGGCCAACAAGACCCTAAGTGTGTTGTGACCTTCTACAGTCCAAGCTCTCAGAAGCTGTCTGATCCCCATGTGGCTGGTGGAGTGCAGGCTGCCCTCAGATGCCCAAGGCTAAGAAAGTGGGGTGGTGTAGGGGTGGGCAGCATGGGCCCTGACATTAGACAGACTTGGGTCCAATCCCACTTCATCAATTCTGGCAAGGTGACCTGGGGCTAGTCGCCCCCCCTCTTGGAGCTTTCCCATCTGAAAATGAGCATAAAGGATACTGATAGTTGGGGTGCGGTGTCTGGCATGCAGTGAGCACTCCATAGGTTAAAGTGATTGCTATTTTAGCCAGTCCAAGCATAGAGAAGACAAAACTGTCTATAAAATGGAAATCAAGGAAACAATGAACATGGAATTCAGCATGGTGGTTGGGTCGGGGGAAACATGGGAACAGGCTGGGGAAGGACCACTTTACTAACTGTAAGTGATCAGAAAGTGCCTAGCTTTTCACTAGAGTCATGGGTTCTCAGGGGCTTATTATGTTAGTAAAAATATACACCTACTAATGCATCCGTAACATACATGAATGTGGAATGTACAAAGGTTATATGTGGACGTGTTCACAGATGGAAAATGATATTAATCCAATAATGTGTACAAAGTATGATATAGATATAATGAGATCACTGAGGACCATAAATAAGTAAATGGGATAATCGAGTTTGCCTGGAAAATCACCCCTGAATTCTCTAAATAGCTAAAGAAAGTTCCAGATCTGTGGACTATAGACTTTGCCATGGGATAAAGGCAGAATTATTGCAAGGGGTCTGAGAACCATATTCTCACTCGCATCTTTTCTCAAAGGATACTAAAGGCACAGCTAGTGTTGCAAGGGATGCACAGAATAATTTCCAATGTTCAAAGAAGGCCTCATGCTGGAAGAGGCTGAGAAGCTGCTGTCCCCTCCCACCTGCCCATCAAGGTCTTGTGAAAACCCAGGAGGGCAAAGATCTTAAGACATAAATCAAATCTGGTCCCAAGGCTCTCGGCACTGAGGTGGTCTTGTTACTGGCACCTGCTTGGGTTTCTTCTCTGAAACTGGCCCCGCCCTTCTGGGTGTGCCAAGTGTTCCCAGAAGCCCCACAGCTGCATGCCAAATGCTGGCCGGGATTGGGAAACAGTGAGAAAAACAACAGAGCAAACACCAGACTAGGACCTATGTGAAATCCATCAATAAACAGTCGGTGCCATGCCTGTGGGGAGGGGTCAGCCTTTGCTAGGTGGCTCATTTAAGGGAAAGGGGGCCCTGGCTGGCTGGCTCAGTGAGTTAGAGGGTTGTCCTGATATGCCAAGGTTGTGAGTTTGAGCCCCAGTCAGGGCACTTACAAGAATCAACCAATAAATGCATAAACAAGTGGAACAACAAATTTGTTGGGAACCGCCCTGACTGGTATCAGAGGCTGAAACCCCCGCCTAGGCTAAAGCTAAGGGAACACCCTTGGAACTGTGAGCCAGCAAGGAGACAAAAGCTTGTCTTCCTGGCAGGAATGCTGCTTCTGCTGTTTTATTCATAACTGAACCCCAAAAAGCTTGGTCGGTTAGCCAAAGACGGGTAAGATTCCCCACGGGGGAACGACCTAAGATAGGCACGATCACTTTGGGAGGCCCCCCCAAAAGAAGGACTTGGGGGGCTGCAGCAAAAGGGGGTGATGGACCCTCGCTCCTCGGCTCTGACATAGCCTGAGTTCTCAGCGTCTGGGAGAAAACTTCCTTGTCTCTCGGTTGCCTTAGTTCCCTTGCTCCACCTAAGCCTGAAACAATGACAGGGTGGTGCAGCTCTGTACTGAGAAGTGCGGATTCCCCAGGGTGATCAGGCCTAAGAAAGAATATGTAAATTACTGTGAAACCTTCTTTGTTTAGAATGCTCTCAGTTGAATGAGAAGGGTCTTAGGAGGAAGTTATTTTGTTCCTCAGTCTTACAGCTCTTTGACCCCCAACTCAATAGACCAGCAGAGTTCTTTGTTTTCTATAGTTCCTTACTTCCCCCTAATGAGTACTGTACTTTACCTGAATTATTATGCAGAATGAGCCCAATAAAAGCAGGTATGGACTGTAAATCGGGGCTCTCCTCACTAGAAGGTGTGGCCATTTCGTCCCTACTTCTCCACAGAAACTAGTTTGTCTCTGTGCATGTTTTTTCTCGCGTGTTTATCGTCGAGCCATCCACAGCGTTGCGTGGTCACTGCTGGCCGGTGACCCACGCGCAACACAAATTGATGTTTCTCTCTCTCTCAAAACTCAAAAAATAAAAACTATTAAGGGAAAGGGGACATGTTTGATATACAACAGGTTCCTCTTTACCAGGCATCGAGCAGATAAGAACTTTCTGTGTGCCAGTGTTTTCTGCTCCCTTTCACCTTATTGCGGGGTTGAATTAAATCTTATTTACCCACAAAATAGCCCTGGGGGCAGATTTCAAGCTGGCCGAGGACTCTAGGGAAGGCCTGTTCCTAAGCGCAGGCTATAAATTAAGAGTGCAACTGGGGTTCCTGCCCTTGCCCTTTCCTGTCTCCCTGCCCCCAGCCTCATTGTCCCACACCTCATGGGCCTGCTTGCCCAAGCTCCATCCACATGCCCTGCCCCCCAGAGCCACATCAGGCCACTCTCGTGTCCAGGAGTGGGCATGCCAGTGGCCAGTCCACTACAATCTGATGATTTTGAGGAATAGGTCTATGCAGGCCCTGGAAACAGGGAGTTCTGAGGTTCTGGGTCCCCAGACCATGATTTAGAAGTGGGAGGCTAGGGTGAGGCAAACAAGGCATCTGGAGTACAAGATTTGGGGAGGGGCTCATTCTCAGGGTTACCCAAGGCCTTGCCCTAGTCCTGGCAGGGTGGTATGTACTGTAGTGGGAGTGTCTCCTCAGCCCCAACTCCTCACCCTGTATAGAGGGACCCAGCCCAAGTACAAGCCCAGGACAAGGGCTCTGGGTGCCTGGGTCTAAGGGGGAATCAAGTTTCTGGAATACGTTCCTGGTGCCAGCTTAGAATTAAACTTTTGCCCTTCCCTTTTCTTTGCATGGTTCTCCCAGTCTCAGTCTTCTTTTGCTCTTCAGTGTGAAATGGGAGCTGATCATCTTATGCTTGCCCAGGTCCAAGGGGGATCCCGGGACTCAGAACTTTCAGTATGAAAAGCAGGAAAGTCCCTGACAAACAGAGATGAACTGGTCACTCTGGATGTCCTCTCAGCACCTAGCCCATTGCCTGGTCCAGAATTAGCATTCAACAAATAGCTGTACAGTAAATGAGCATCAGGTGGGACAACAGGCTGTAATGATGTACACCAAGGTGTGGTGTGGTTGGTTGTGCAGGGTGGGGGACACAAGGGACTTTAGCTTTACCTGCAATACTCACCTAAGAAAGTCAAAGCAGACCGACCAGATGGACACTTGCCCTTTGAGAGTGAAGTGTGCAAAGATAATATTCCCCCCATTTTAAAATTATGTTTTAATTAAATTTAAAAATCCAAATGGAATCCTGAAGCTGGTCACACAACAGGCTCTCCGGTCCTTCCCTAGGACAGTGCCCACTCCTCATCGTTACCCCCAGGCTCGGGCAATTCAGGGGTGTGCTTGTATTTCTACCAGGGCTCCTTTGCGGTTGCAGGTGGGGCCACGGACCACCCTGTCCCAGACACACTGCCTCTGCAACCACCTGACCTTCTTTGGAAGCACATTCTTGGTGATGCCCAATGCCATAGATGTCCGTCAGACCAGGGAGCTCTTTGCCACCTTCGAGGACAACCCCGTGGTCGTGACCACCGTGGGCTGTCTCTGCGTGGCCTCCGTGCTGGTGGTGATCTGGGCAAGGAGGAAGGATGCTCAGGATCAGGCCAAGGTGAGATTGGATGGTCCTGGGGAATGGGAGGGAGGAGCAGGTGTGAGCCCTTGTGGGAGCTCCAGGGAATGGAGCCCAGATGGGGAGCCAAAGGCTAGTTGCAAATCTAGGCCTTGGCCCCCGGAGTCATCTTAGCCAAGATGGCCCTCTAGCCTCTTCATCTGTAAAAATGTCCTTTTTAATCACATTATCACAAAGATTATAATACTATTTATTGAGGACTTACTTTATGCTAGGCTCCAAGACCACCCTCAAGTACAATGACTTGTTAGGAAGACTCACAGAACTCAGAAAAGCTGTTATACTCATGATTATGGCTTACTACAGTGAAAGGATACAAATCAAAATCATCAAAGGGAAGAGGCCACAAGAGATCAGGTGAGAGCTTCCACTTGTCCTTTCCCAGTGGAGTCCTATGAGCAGATTTACCATTATTTCTCATAGCAATGACATGTGACAATATATGCAAAATACCGCCACCAAGAAAAGCTCACCTGAGCTTTGGTGTCTAGAGTTTAATTGGAGGCCAGTGACATAGGTGTGGAGTGGCCACATGACTGACTTTCATTATAGTGTCCAGCAAACCACATCCACTCCCTCAGGAGTCAAACAAGGCCCACAGCCCTCACCGTAAGTCACACTGTCAGCACAGATGACCTGCTGTGGCCCGGGACTCCAGGTAGTCAAAGGCACTCTTATAATGCTGGATTTTCTGAGGACTTACAGGTTATCTTTCAGGAACTGGCCAAGAGCCAGTCCTTTCTTTAAAAGGTGCAGGGTTTGGACAACCTAAGCTTGTTGCGTTCACCCTTTACTGCACAATACCTGAATTATCTTACAGGGGAGGCATCCAACGATCAGAGAGCACAATTAACTGGAGGAAAGCCACCCTCCTGGGAGCCAGAACTCAAACCCAGAGCTGCCTGACAATAAGACAGGTCTGAGGACAGAAACAAGATCAAATGACAAACTACAACAAAGTTCTGATTACTTTTCCAATAATATGCTCCCCATCTGACACATAATGAATCTTCAATAAATATTTGTGAGTATCTGAGTGAGCACATAAATTGATGCAAGTATGCAGTCACAAAGCTCTGAAACATTCTCCATCCTGTCCTCCCAACACACACCACACCTCTCCGATGTTAAGATGATATGAAACTTAAGATAAATAGTTGCAGCATTTATAGTGCTGACTTTGACTCACCCAAGGGATTAAACATTAATACTTTAAGTGCCTCAGCTGTAGGTTGGTTCCCACAAAGCAGACTCTGATGGAGTTGAGCATACAAGGTGTTTTTCAAGGAGTGTCTGGGATCAGCCCACGGGAAGGGAGGGAAGGAGACAGGAAGAACAGAGGGAGAAGCGGAGCTGGAATGCAGCCTGCTGACAGCCCAGCCAGCCCCACGGAGAACTCCGGAGCTCCCAGAGTTGGGTTGAGATGCCCAAGTCTTGATCACACCCAGGCACCACATCAATCTGCCATTGGACGTTGGCCTCCCCAGGAGGGTGCACGACCTCAACAGAGGTGGCTCTTGCCTCCCAGACAACAGCAACTTGGCAACCAGGACAACAAGCCTTCGATCGACAGGAGATCTGGGTGCCTCATCACAGAGCCCCCTGCAGCCTCTGGCCAACTCCAGCTTTTTAAAATATTTTCATTTTTTGCTTAACTACCTTAACATTCATTCATTCTTTTTAAATTCCCTTAGGGGCACAATATGGCTATCAATGCTATGAGAAATTATACAGAAACAGAGTTTGTATCCTTCACCAGATCAAACAGCAAACATTCTCAGCTCAATAGCAAGTTCATTTCCAATTTGACTACTTTGGGTCATATTTAATAACAAATGCATCTTGTATTTTTATTTTATTTTTAAAAGATTTTATTTATTTTTAGAGTGGGGAGAAGGGAGGGAGAAAGAGAGGGAGAGAAACACTGATGTGCGAGAGAAACATCAATCTGTTGCCTTTCACATGCACCTGACCAGGAACCTGGCCCGCAGCTCAGGCATGTGCCCTGCCCAGGAATTGAACCTGCGACTTTTTTTGTGTCTCTGGCTGGTGCTCAATCCACAGAGCCACACCAGCCAGGGCTCTACTTTTATTTTACAAGTTCTAGTTTTTACTTGTTCTCACCCGATGGAATGAATAAACAGCACACATAATTTTTCTTTCATCCTTTGATTGTCATGAATACCCAGCTCACTCTTGGCCACTGGGCAGTGGATAAACCCACTGAGCAGAGCCCTCCTAACTCAATCCTTCTGTCCAGGTGAAAGTCACAGTGCTAGAAGACAATGATCCCTTTGCCCAGTACCACTACCTGGTGACAGTCTACACTGGACACCGCAGAGGGGCAGCTACTTCCTCAAAGGTACCTGACCATGCAAGATCCCCCAGTCAGTCAGCATGTCCAACCCAGCAAAGTGTTTGCCAGTTCATTGTTGTGTTATTTTAGCACAGTGGGTTTGGTGCTGCAGGGTTTTTATAATTTCTTGCTTTTTGGTTTTTTTTTAATAATCTTTTTTTAAGATTTTACTTATTTATTTTAGAGAGAGGAGAAGGGAAGGAGAAAGAGAGGGAGAGAAACATCAATGTGTGGTTGCACTCCCTTCTGGGAACCTGGCCTGCAACCCAGGCATGTGCCCTGACTGGGAATCGAACCGGCAATGCTTTGGTTGGCAGCCTCGTGCTCAGTCCACTGGGTTTGTTTGTTTGTTTGTTTTTAAGAGGAAAGAATCCTTATGTCAAACAGAATATCACCCTAAGCCCCAATATTTTTTTTTAAAAAAGGAGTTAATGGGGAGTTGGGGTCTAGCCTAATGCCACTTGTCATCTCCCTTATTCCCATCAGGAATAACTCAGTTAGTTGGTTACCTGCATGCAAGTTTTGCTCACATGTGAAGAACAGTTAGTAAATTGATCAGTACATAAAGGAAAAGTAGAATTTATGAGAGAGGTGAAAAATGAAAGAGGAAAAAATGCCCACCATTTGAAAACAATGAGTCTTCATTTACATTTTTTAGGTAAACTGGTCAGCTGGCATCTAGCTAAGAGGTTGAACTGAGCCATCTGTCTTTGAACAGGCTGGCTAGAGGCAGTAAAGAAATGATTTCATTTATTTATGTGTTCTCTGAAATCCTTGACCATTTAGCTGTGGGGCGTACAGCAGGTTGTCTCCACAAGGCCTCGGCGTCTTCAGCTAAGTCTGCCCTGCACCACATCCTGCATCGGAACGCATATTCCTTGCAGCAACCTCCATGGTTCCTTTACTGAAACTGAGGGCTCCAAGGAACACAGTTTAAGAACCACTGCCATTTTGTATACTCTTCTGGAAAAACCTCCATTGTTTAAAAAAAAAAGACATTAGGCTTTATTAGAGCAGAGCATTTATTGGTTTACTTTCTTATTTTTTAATCTTGTTATTTTTATTTATGTACATATTTGTGTTATTTTTAGAAGTTGCTTTATTTTTATTTATTGCTGTGTCTTATGTCTTCAACCAGGTGACAAAAACAGAGTAAGTGCCAATAACTACTTGTTAAATAAATGTAGGAATCAATTTCATCCATCTAAGGAAACAGCCATCTCACTTCTGTTTGACACTGAAGAATTACCCTGAAGAGGCCATTTCTCTTCCTGGACAGTTGTCACATTTCAATCTGATATTGTTTTAGTTTGATTTCCCCTAGCATAGTGGTTCTTGGCTAGGGGCGATGCTGCCCTGGGCGGACAGGTGGTAATACTGGAGGCATTTTTGGTTGTCAGCAATTTGGGAGATGCTACTAGTATCTAGTGGGTAGAGGCCATGGATGCTGCTAAGCATCATACAATGCACAGAACAGCACTCGAAGCAAGAAATTATCCAGCCTAGAATGTCTATAGTGGAGAAATGCTCTTGTAGAAGCAGACTCTGAAACAAGGATTCAAGTATAAGTAGCTGGCTTGAGACGGGATCCTAGGATGCCCCAGTAGGGAAATGGGAAGCAGACAGGGAAGGGAAGAAACCAACAAAGAGTGTATTGTTAACCTGTTCCCCTTCCGGGAAACTAGAGCCTAATCCCACTTAGGGACTCTGGAAAACAGTAAGAAATGTGGGCTTCAGCATCATTCCAGTAGAGGGCTGAGAGAGCTGGGGTGCTTATGCACCAATCCCATTGGTCACTGATGGAGGCTGACTTGCAGTGTCATTCATTATCTGGCACTTTCTGGCCTGCTACTCTAACAGCCAACTGAACGACTGGGGAAAGAGACACAGCTGCCAGCAACTGCATGAGAGCTCAGGGAGTGCTGCAGTGATGATGCTGAGTGTTGTCAGCGGAGTAGAGGTAGCATCTACGGCAGCTCTTTTTAGCTCAGAAAGTCATGCCCATTAGCATCACCTGGATAGCTTCAGAAAACACAGACTATTGGGCCCTGTTCCAATATTCTTACCTGGTGGGTGTGGAGCAGGACCTGGGAATATGTATTTTCAACATAGTGGGTCCTCGTTCATTCATGTCTCAGTGCCAGGCCCTCTTGCAGACACTGGGATCATAATTGGTAAGGGGGGAACCAGTTTCTGCTCTACAGCCCTTATAAATAAATATATGGGAAGTTTGAAAAGGCTACCAGGAAGCATTTTATGAGTAAAACTCATCTTGAAGTCATGAATGCAGATAGTGTCACCCCAAATCTTCATACAACTAAAAAATAACCAGGCAGGTCCAAGATGGGAGGGGAGGAGAGGAGAGGGAAAAAGGGCTATGCTTTGTTGATTTTCTTTGTTGTTGTTGTTGTTGTTGTTGTTTTTGACACTTCCAATGAAATACAGCCAGGGGGCTTGGTTACCATGTGGTGTTGGTCACTCCTCATCTCTGGATTTCAGGTGACTATCACCCTATATGGTCTGGATGGAGAGAGTGAGCCCCACCACCTGTCAGACTCTGATATCCCAGTTTTTGAACGTGGAGGAGTGGATGTCTTCTTACTCTCCACCCTGTTCCCTCTGGGAGAACTGAGGAGCCTGCGGCTGTGGCATGACAACTCAAGGGACCAGCCATCCCGGTGAGTCAAGGGTGAACAAACCACGACAATCTACTAAGCCCTAGGCTAAGGGTGGACATTGTGCATATGCTGCCCTGCTGATCCTCACAAGCCTCTGCAAGACACATAGAATGGATCTCTATTTCACAGATAAGGAAACTGAGGGTCAGAGAGAACCACCAGTCACAAGTTGAAATTGTATCTAGGAGAGAAACTAGAAGTTGCAGCCCTGGGTCCAGTGTAGCTCCACCCTTGGTACTTTTGCAGCATTGACCTATCATTTAACCCCTTGTTTCACTATCTGTAAAAGGAGGACAAGTGCCTATCATGAAGAAAAACCCTGCCCCAATAAGAGGAGACTAAAGGAGACACTGAGCTGATTCTCTGGTAGAAGAAGGTGCTGCTGCTGAACAATAAGCTAAGGTCATCTTCACAATGACTCTCAGGGACAAGTGCTGTTATCCTCGTTTAGGTGGGAAAATCTAAGCTCAGAGAAGATGAGTGACTTGTGCAAAGTCACAGAACTGGCGAGCTCAGAGCAAAGACTCCTCCCCATTCTGCTGAGATCAAAGCTAGTGGCCCAGATGAGTGGTTTCCAGCCTAACCACCCATCAGCAGCTGGCAGCTTTAGAAAAATACAGCATTTATATTGATGTCTTTGATTTACCTAAGGGATTAAACATTAATACTTTAAGTGCTTCAGCTGCAGGGTGGTTTGAAGCAGACTGCGTTGGAGTTGAGCGTGCAGGGCATTTATCAAGGAGTTCTGGGGTCAGCCTCTGGGATGGGAGAGAAGGAAGGAAGCAGGATGAGCATAGGGAGAAGAGTTTCAGTGCAACCCAATAATAGCCTAACCCCCAGCCCAGGAAGCTCTGAAGCTGTCCTGAGTTGGGTTGAAATGCCCAGATCTTGGTCACACCCAGGCACTGCACCCACCAGTCAATGGATGTCAGCCTCCCCAGGAGGGTGTGTGACCTTAAAAGATGTGGTTCTGGCATGCCTGACAGGGCTATCCTCCCAGAAATGAGAAAATGCATGTTAAGAGCCTCCTGATATAATCCCCATTATGTAGTAATGCTCAATAAAGAGCAGCTACTGAGATCATCACTATTCTTATTGGCTGTAAGGCAACAGGGGAATTGGCTGCTTCTGGATCTGACATCCAAGCAGAAGCAAGATGATTTCATTTCTTCCCCAGGCTTCAAACACCTAACTTGAAGTCCTGAGTCCCAGATCGATGGTAGGCTCATTCTCTGGGTAGCAGCCTGCAGGAGGATCAAATTTTGTGTACTTAAGTCTGCACCTCCCTGAACACACACATTTAGACAACTTGGCTTTCCTCACTTGTATCAGGATGCTGGCCCTGCACTTGCTGCCCCGTGTCGAGGTTAAAGGTTTCAGAATACACCCTCTTGCAGCATGTCCGTGAAAACATGGCAGCCTTCAACAGCTGAGCTCCCCACATGAGGCCAAATTCACCCACTGATCAGGGCATTTTGACCAAGGCACCAAGAACAGTGCAGAAAATAGTTTCTCTTTATAAGAGCTCTTGTTTTGGGCTCAGGTTTGCAAAGATGTCACCTTTGTGGTGTTCAAAGAAGACTTATCCCCTGACCTTGTCCTCAAAAGTGTGTGTCCTTTCTCCAGGTATGTAAGCTGCGTGCTGGTGCATGACCTAGTAATGGACCAGAAGTGGTATTCCCTCTGCAACTCATGGCTATCCATCGATGTTGGAGACTGTCCTTGACAAAGTATTTCCAGTGGCCACAGAGCAGGACAGGAAACAATTCAGGTACTTTTTTTTCCATTTTAATCAACTACTCTTTACTTTTTCTTTCATTTCTAGGGAAGCTGCATTATAATCCAGTCACAGCCAAATAAAAACACATTTCAGCCCTATCAGGGCTGGGTAGCTTTGAGGGTGTGACAATCAGTTTTTCTTGTTGGGACTGAAAGGCCCTGGAGGGACCTGGACCCTCCAAGACAGAATCTTCAAGGTGGTGAAAATGGTTGAAATGGGTATGCATACTTCCTTATGAATGTCACAGAATAATATTTTTGTATGTGTGAGCAGTCTGATTTGAATGGTGATTCAATACCTGGTCATTTGGGGTTTCTCCTTCATGTTATTTTACACTAGTTGCATTTTTCAGCACTTGTCTAACTTGGCTTTACTTCCTTCCACGTCTGTCTCCAAACACATACATGCAAGCACAAATGTACATACACATATAACACCATAGATTGCTGTTTCTTTTATCTCCTTTAAAATATATTGCCTTGTTTCTTTAATGATATAATATGAACATGAACATCCTTCCAGAAGAGTATGTTTAGATCAAACTTTTCCATATTGGCTGCATAATGTTCCATAGAGTGAATGTACCATAACTTTTTTAACCATTCTCTTATCAATGGACATTAAATCTGTCTTCAATATTTAAAAATCAAGAGACTTCACTGAAAACATGGCAAGTATGGAAATGCTGAGCCAGTATTCCTACATGATACCCAATGCTGAAGCTGACTGACTAGTCTTCCTCTTACAGGGACCATATGCTCTCCAGTTTACCACAGTCCTCACCATTCCCTATTACATGACCTCTAACCCACTTCACTCATTTACTTGATTTATTTACATCTATCTGGGCCTCCTTAAGCATTTGAATTTGTGACCTCTACTTTAAATGACTTCTGAGGTAGGTTTTTTAAAAAAATCTGTTTCCAGTGCATTTACTAAGTCTGACATTTCCTCCCAGCTGCCACTGTGAGCAGCAGTTCAACCTCCAAGGTAGAAAAAGTCTGAATCAGAGAGACTTGGACCCCAAGAGATACAACAAAGACATGAGATGGACTGCAAAGCCCCATATGCCCACTATTGACTTGCTGCATGACCTTGGATAAGTCCCTCACATCTCCAGGTCTCAGCTTCCACATCTGAAAAAGGAGTTGTTCAGTGTGTCTACTCCAAAAGGGACCTGTGCAGGTCCCATGAAATGATGTATAATATGCTTAGTACAGTGAGTGGCTCGGAGTAAAAGCCCAGTTATAGGAGCAGATACTATCCTCCAATTGTATCAAAATGTGTGATGCCTGAAAACTAGACAAGGAGCTCTCCAAAGGTGGGGCAGTGACATTCCTCTGTGAATCCCTGGGGCCCAAGCAGAGCACCTGGCATGCAGCACCAGGATCACAAATACTTGTTAGATGAATAGAACAGTCATGTGGACAATCACTGTTGTTGGCAACTGACCTCCCTCTATAAAGAGTACCTTTACTCTGAGTTCAAGCCACTCACACACCCCAGAGTGACAGTCTAAGTATTGTACAACCTTGGAGAGTGGTGGCACTGGGCCATATGAACAGAGCCAGCTGGGAATATCAGCTCAGCACACTCTCAGGGAGACCAGTCTTCACTCATTCCCATCGCCTGAATGCCCATCCCTCTCTCTGGGCCCTTGAAGAGCTGCTGTGGTCAAACTATACTGTATTCATAGAGATACAATACGGATTAAGGAGAATGTGGTATCATTTTCAGGGCCCTGTCTTGTCAATTTTTATTCTCTCAAACTGAGTCTGAACCCAGAACCTGGAATTTTTCACCACTATCTTTTAATGCTCTAATTATAACAAATTTAATGTCATAGTTATATTATTACATTAAAACTATAACAAAAGTAATAATTGCTAACACTGATGAACACTCACCTATATACTACCTACTTAGCTAAATGCTTTCCAAAAATTGTAACTTGTAATTCTTTCAACAATCTGGTGAGGCAGATTCTGTTATTACCCCATTTTACAGATGAGTAAATTGAGGTGCAAGGAGTAAAGTGACTTGCCTGAGGTCACACAGCTAGTAAGTGGGCAGTCTAGGATTCCAACTCACTCTGTCCAGAGTCCCCATTGTTAACTCTAAGTGATTCTGCCATGAGGCTGTATTATTTTTACAACAGAAAATAGATGATAAATCTTAGAAACAAACCCCACCCTCTCATCCCAAGATTGTTCCAAAGACACCAGTCTTCTCCCACTCCCATCTCCTTACATGCCTGTCCCCCTCTCCCTGCCTGTCCACAGACACCTGTTTTTCATGAAGACCTCCATGGGCTTCCAGGACGGACACATTTGGTATTCTGTCTTCAGCTGCTCGGCCTGGAGCAACTTCACCCGCGTCCAGAGGGTGTCCTGCTGCTTCTCCCTGCTCCTTTGCACCATGCTGACCAGCATCATGTTCTGGGGGGTCCCCAAGGACCCAGCTGAGCAAAAAATGGACTTGGGTAATTCCCACTGTCATGGCAGTTAGGGCTAGTGGCTGGTGGACCTGAGCTGTCACTGTCCCAGAAACGCCACGCAATTCCCGAGCTCCCAAGACCACTCTTGGTTTCAGTAATTCACTAGAAGGGCTCACAGAAGTCAGGAACACCATTATACTCGTACTTATTACGGAGAAAGAAAATACAGACTAAACCAGGAAAGGGAAGCGGTACATGGGGCAGGGTCCAGGAAGGACCAACTGTGGAGCTCCCAGTTTTCTCCTCCCAGTGGAATGGTGGACAGTGCTCACTCCTGATAAGGATGTGCGATAATACACACAGAGTACTGCCATTCAGGATGCTTGCCCAAGCCTTGGTGTCCAGAGTTTTTATCAGGGCTTGCTCACATACACGAGGCTGACCCCCTGTACGGCTGACCAAAGCCTCCAGCCCCAGCAGAGGTTGAGGTGATACCATGTGGCCAAGGTCCCCACCATAAATCACACCATTAGCTTAGACTATACAGTGCGGCCCAACATCCCCTATAAACAAAGCTGTACCTACAAGGCACGACACTCCAAGGGCTTAGAGGCCACTTCTCTCAGGAGCCGCTCAAGGGCTAAACCTCTCCTTGGGCAAGATTAATCCTTACTGCACAGCCACCTCCACTGACCCTTTCCCTCCCTCTGCCCCAGGTAAAATTGAATTCACTTGGCAGGAAGTGGTGATTGGACTGGAGAGCTCTCTCCTCATGTTCCCCATCAACCTCCTGATCGTTCAGGTCTTTTGAAACACCCGTCCTTGGGTCACTAAGAAGCAGAACACTGGGAAATGGGACAGGGGGTCTCTCAGCCCAGCTCCCTCACCACAGCCCATGGAGAATGGCCTTCTGACACCTGAAGCAGTGACCAAAGTATGTCCTCAACCTTGGTGGTATGGGAGGTACTCCAGCCTAGGCAGAAGTGGGGGTGAGGACTAAGACTTGGGGCCTGACAACCCCATGTTGTCTCATAGCAACAGCCATCAAGATTCATCAGCTGCACACACGCACATGCATACATGCATGTGCACCTACACATGTATGCATGCACACACCACAGAAACACACATACCTACAAATATGTACATGCATACAGATACACACATGTACACACACCCACATACCCTCACAAGCATGCACACACATAAATTTACAAATGTTTACACACACACACAAACACCTACTGTACACATGCATACATACACACTTTTGGGTTGCCTACTATGTACAAAATGTTATACCTTTATTATAGACCACAGACTGGAAGCCTGTAGAAGGGACTGCACTGATGCACTCAATAAGCATTTATTGAGCACCTACTATGTGCTATATTCTGAGGAATACAGCCTGGAGTGCATCAGTTCAAATCCTAGGAGAGGGATTTTATAGGTGACAGATGGAAGCTCAGGATGGCCCAGCATCATGTCTCAGTGGGCAGAGCTGGGACTCAAACCCAGATTGTCTAACCCCAAGGTGAATGCTACTGACCACGTGGCTGGCCCCTTACCTGTAGCTTATACCCCCTTACCCTACCTGATTTGATTTGCAGGATATGTGGAGACTTGTCAGATCCCTGTTTAAAGCTCTAAAGGTGCCATCCCCTGCCTTGGGCTGGGACTTGATGGACATCAACCAACTTCTGGCCTTGCTGGAAGATGTCATCTGTCTGCAGAATGTGGCAGGGCAGACATTCTGGGAAGAAGCCAAAGAGAGAGAGGACCCATTAACATTCACTCCGGGGTCAGTAGAAGTGAAAAGTAAGTCCTGATGTTTCTGTGCTGACAGGGGGCATGTTGGAGCCAGATGGAGACAGGACTGAGGGCATGTCTATATCACTAAGGGGTCAAAAAGTCCTACCACAGTCTCTCTCACCAGCCATCGGTCCAACCACTTGCCACTGTCTCTCAGTACCATAGGCACCCTGCTCTCCTCCTTGCAAGGTCACGCTGCCTGCCCACTAAAGGCCTTCACACGTGCTGGTCCTTTAATCTAGAATGTTCTTTCTCCTCTCCTCATTTGGCTAACTCCTACTAAGCCTATGGTCTGGGTTTAAGCATCCCTTCCTCAGAGGAGTACTCCAGGTCCCAGCCCACAACTGGGTTTCCAGCCACATGATCTTTAGCCCCAAAGCTTCTCTTACATTGTTTTCACACTGCCTTTTGCCAAATTACGAATTGTGTGAAGCATTCTTTAACGTCTGCACCATCCTTCCTTGCACATGAGCTATGTGAGGTGGGAGCCATCTGACCATCTTGTTTCTGCTGATTCCCCAGTGGCTGGCTCCACGCCACACATAGAAAGCATGCAACAAACATGTGTGGGATGACCTCACCATAAGAGATCCCTATGGAATGCACTGCAAAGAGGCATGTCCTTTTTCTGTGTTTGGTTAAAATGAGCATCGGCCAGCCTGATAACTTGGGCCACTTGAAAGGACCGTGTCTGGGCACTGGCTCTGCCGTTAATGAGCTGTGTAGCCTCGGACAAATTAATTCAGTTCTCTGTGATTTAGTGTCTTTTTCTATAAAGTACTCGGGTGATGCAAAGTCAAACCAGATCCATTTCCCAATGTGTGGGGCAGGACACAGATGATGCATAGGGCAATAGAATACATTAGAGAACATTGAATCCCTGAATGAAAAAGTTATTCCTTTTCCATTCTCTTCCAGTCCTTCTAATTAAGGCAAGGAAAAGGTCTTGGTTTGGTACTATTGTGTCTTTAGCACTTGCTAATCTCTGTTTGGCAGAGACATAGCAGGCCTCAGCCCCAGAGCCTTATGAGACAATATTCACGTAGCATGTGGTAACATGGTTTCATTTTTATTAAGTTCTTTATACTTAATAAATACATAGCACATTATTCTGCTATATGTATGGCACATTATTCTGGTTTGAATTAGTGTCTGACTCTCCTCTTGCCCCTTTCCTGTCCATCTTCCACCCAGATCAATGCTGCCAGGGTTTACACAGGCTGTCTCATAGAACTACAGACCGCCAACAGTTCTACATCTGTGCTGTCCAAAATGACAGCCATTCACCACAGGTGATTGTTTGAATTAAAATTAATTAAAATAATGGAAATATGGATCCACCTAGCTCATTGGCTTATTGCATGGACTGAATTAGATCATAAGACACACGCAACACTTAGACCGCAGCCTGACACAAAGCAGGTATTTAGTAATTGGTGTTATGACTGGGAGTGATGACATCTTTCAGAGACATTGTCAGAACACTTGCAACAGGAAGGCTCTTGATGCTAGACCCATCAGCTGAAGCTTCAGTGAGGGGATCCCAAGTCAGGAGGGCTTGGGAGGCGGCTTGGGTCAGAAGGAGGAGGAGCCGATGTCCTAGGCCTTTACCAACATCTAGTCTGAGGCAGCCATAGCCTTTTTCACTTTCACTTCTCACTGGTGATTGGATAAGAATCCTGGGGTGTGGGTGCCTCAGGGCCCTTAATGGCCCAGGAGAATGTGCCCCCGAGTGCCAGCCTCCCAGCTCAGGGTCCAGGGACCCAGTCCTGGCCGGTTCTGCCCAGCGAGGTCAGATTTCCTTTGGAATGCACAGGAAATAATAGAAATGTTGAAATTTTTTTTGCAATAAATATGTATTATTCTTTTAAAGAAAAAAAAGAAAAAAGAGATGAAAGAAAAGAAAATCAAACAAAAAACAACTTTAACAAATATTTTTAGGAAGCTGAAATTTGAACAAACCATTTAGAGAGATAATAGGGTGAAACTTGAGCACTGACTAAATATTTGATGTTATTAAGGGAGTATCATGAATCATTTTAAAGATTAATAATGACATCCTGGTTATTGTTTTTAAAGAGACCTTACCTTTACCCTGGCCTGGTGGCTCAGTTGGTTGGAGCATTGTCCCATACATCAAAAGCCTGCGGGTCTGATTGCCAGTTAGGGCACATGCCTAGGTTGCGGGTTAAGTCCCTGGTCGTGCAGGAGGCAACATATCAATGTTTCTCTCTCATATTGCTGTCTGTCTCTCTCTCAAATCAATAGACATATTCTCAGGTGAGGATTAAAAAGAGAGAGGGGGAGACCCTTCTATAGAAGCATATTACAATATTTAGAGATGTGACATGAGGCTTGAAATTTGCTTGTAAATAATCCACACGGAGACAGTCGAAGAAGTACAGGTGAAACAGGAATGGCCACGAACTGGTAATTTTGAGCAGTAGATATGTGCAGTTCATCTCATCATTCTCTCTACTTTTGTAACTTAAAAATTTTTCATATTTAAAAAAAGTTAAAAACAAAGGATTAAGACTGACCATCTTTGGCACTAGGCGAACCTGGGTTCAAATTCAAATCTTGTGAATATTAAAATATTTGCAGATGGGCCCTGGCTGGTGTGGCTCAGAGGATAGAGTGCTGATCTGTAAAGCCAAAGGTCACCGGTTCGATTCCCAGTCAGGGCATAAGCCTGAGTTGTGGGCCAGGTCCCCAGTAGGGGGAATGGGGTACACTCTAAAGGCAACCACACATTGATGTTTCTCTTTCTTCTTCTCTTCCCCTCTCTCTAAAAATAAATAATTTTTTTAAAAAAATAAAATATTTGCAGATGAGATAACACTGTGCCTGACATTTGCTTTAAGGTACTTCAGAAAAAGAAAAAGTTGGGGGTAGAGTGAAACAAGATTGCAAAATATTGGTAACTGCTACAGCAGGGTGATAGCTACATTATTTTCTCCTCTTCTGTTTATGTGTAAGGGAACTTTGAAAATGCCCTTGATAACACCCTAAATGGGGAACACTCAAATCCTAACTGGCCAAATGAGCCTAGTACCTTACCCCATCTTTCTGGACCTCAGTTTTCCTGTGGCTTGGCACATAGTAAGTGCTCAATGTAAAAAAGTCATTACTAACACTATTGTTTTATTTTACATTATTTTTTATTGTAGTTTTCCCTTTACCATTTATCCCTGCCATACCCTCTTCCACATCCACCCACCCAGCACTATTGTTTTTCTTGCAGGGAGTCTGCTCTGTCACCCAGCACCAGGGGATGCTCTTTCTCTCCATTGTCTGCCAGAAAAAACGCAATGCCTGACGCGTGAGGTGGGCCAAAGTGACCCTTGGAAGAACAGTGTGTACAGGCAGTGTCTCTACTTTCAACTGGAGCATGTGGAACAAGAGCTGCGGCTGGTGGGTCCTGGGGGCTTCCCCCATTGCCAGAGCCAGGCCCGGGCCCTCAGGCAGCTGCAGACCCTGAAGCGCTCCCTAAGGGGGCATCTGGACACTCTACCACCTCCAGCATACACCAGGTAACTTATTTCCCTGGATGGTGAGTGGGCACCTGCCCCACCCCAGCCTGGGGCCTGTGGGGAGAGGGCATCCAAGTAACCTTGGAAGGATGCTCACCTTGATCTCCCCAGGCAGAAAAGATTCAGGATTCCTGCACAAAATCTGAAACAAGGGCTTTGAACAAGAAGGCATTTGTAGCTCTTTGTAAAGCATTTTGCAGTTCATAACCATTTTAAGTGGGATGTTTCCTAGCTGTGAGCCCATGGACAAGTCCTTCCACCTCTCTGAGACACAGTTTCCTCATCTGTAAAATGGAATAATAATGCCTGTCTCCTGATTCGAACTTAAAACAAAATATGTTTTTTAAGATAACCAGTGAAATTTGTGTAGGGGAGAAATTTTTTCCTCTACCCTTCAAGGTTCTTCTGGCTGGACAGATAATCAAATTAACATGAGACAGATTAGCAGGGGGGAAACAAATTAAGGTTTTGGGTTTCATTTTTCACATTAAAACTTTTTTTATTTATTGACTTGAGAGAGAGAGGAAAGGAGAGACAGCGAGAAACATTGATTTGTTGTCCCACTTATTTGTGCACTCATCGGTTGCTTCTTGTGTGTGCCCTCACCCAGGATCAAACCTGCAACTTGGTGTATGGAGACAGAGCTCTAGCCAAGCTACCCAGCCAGGGCCAAATGAAGTTTTATTAACATGTATATCACCTGTTTACCTGGGAGAAACCCAGCCAAACTAAGTAACTCACCAAAATGGCAGAAGCATCACTTTAAATCCCACCTTTGGCTTAAGACAAAAGGTGTTATCTTTTGGGGTGTCAGCTATGGGGTCCACCAAGAAAAGCCCAGTGAACAAGAGTCATACTGTTATGCAGATTTAAGTCCTTCCTTCTCCAGTGATAAGTTTCTAGAGACTTACATATCCACCCGTTCCTGGTACAGTGAGGAAAACACCCTTACAAAATGGAGATTTTCCTTAACTTCTACTTGGTTTTGAAAGCTTCTTCCTCATCTGCTCTTTCTTTAAAAATAACCACCTACAATAATCAATATCCCCAAAAGAAGTGTATTTTGGCAAACTCTGGGCAAACTCTGTTGCCCTTTATTTAAATACAGATAGGTTATTGATGGCATTAAAGAATTATTCTTAATTTTGTTAAGTGTGACAACAGCACTGTACTTCAGTAAGAAAATGACCATCATTGAGAAATATTCTGAAGTAATGAAGGATAATTTTATATTATGTCTGGAGTTTAACTTTAAATAGCCCAGTCAAAAAAAAAGGTGGGGACAGAAGAAATAAATATGACAAGATGGTAATGGTTGTTAAAACTAGTTGATGGGAATTCCTTGTACTTGCCATTTTTGTATGAAGGAATTTTCATAATAAAAACTTCAAAAAAATTATATAGTACCAGCCTTCGAGGCTTTCCATGAGGAATAATGGAGCAAATCTGTGTAAAGCACTTCACATGGGGACTGGCTCCTAGTAAGCACTGAATGAATGTGACTTCAACAGAATACATGTAAGCGTTAACCTAAAGTAAAAGGCTAAAGTGAGAGGTAACAAGCTGTTACTTGAGATCCCAAACAATATTTCAGGAAGCACTGATTTAGGCAGAAACCCAAATAGTGTTCCCATTAGGAGGTGAAGGCAAGGGGAATGTGTAAGAAAGGGAAGGGGAATAATTACAGGAATAGCAGAAATATCCATGGGTGTTAATAAGTTAAGAAAGGCATCTTTGTAGATGCAGATAAAATAACACAGTGATGCCAATTCTAAACAATGTCTTTAATTTTCATGCCAGTAGTCTTAATGTCTGCTTTCCTGTTTGTTTGCAAACAGTTGTTTGTAATACAATGCTGCTTTACTTTAGGCCCAGTACAAAGGTTGTTTTGCCCTCTTTTAACATTCTAAAGGCTTGAGGAGTGTGATGTTTGAGGCAGTTCCTCTGGGAGGGCCACTCCCACTCAGTTTGGGAGTGGCTCAGTTTACATACTAAACTGATAAGAACATACTGCACTTGGTCTTAGCCAGAAGGCCAAGAAGTGATGGGTTTATATTATTTTTTACAATATGTATACAGAATAGAACATAGAATAGCCCTTTGAAGTGGGTACAAGATATAGAGGAGGAATCTGAGGATTTGAGAGGTTAAGGAGCTTGACCAAGCTAAGGACCTTAGCTTAGCCAAGGTCCCTCAGCTGATGGGCTGCAGTGGGATTTGAACTGATTCTGGACTATATCCCCTTTCCATTACAGCTCCCTGAGAGCAAGCAAGCCCCCTCGGGGCCTTCCCTGGTGGTGTGTCCTGGTGGGCTGGCTCCTGGTGGCAGCTACCAGCGGTGTGGCAGCCTTCTTCACCATACTATACGGCCTGCACTATGGACGGACCAGCTCTCTCAAGTGGCTCATCTCCATGGCCATCTCCTTTGTGGAGAGTGTGTTTGTCACCCAGCCTCTGAAGGTCAGGATCCTGGATGTGGCTGCCCTTCTCCCCTCTGCCCTTACTTTCTCTCCTGCCAGCTGCCCTGTCCTTACTTTAAGCTGTTCATTCATCTATCCATTCAACACACTTACATGGTACACCACCTCCGTGCAGGTCCCAGGGCAGGGGCAATAATGAAGATAAAGACCATGATGACCCAAGCTCTTGGACGCTCACTCTGGGCCAGGCTTGCTGGTTGGATGAGATGCTGCCATTTCATCATCACAATCACACTCAGGGAGAACCTTGCCTCCATTTTACAGATGAGAAAACCTGAAGTTAAGAAGTTAAGGTCATAAACATCCTGCCCTAGACTACACTTGTAAACAGGAATAATACAAAATTTCCTCAATTCTAAGGCGGTTTTAATTGTAAAACAGACCAGCAATTTATCAGAACTTGACATTTGGATAAAAGCTTCCAGTCACTAAATGTGTGCAACAATTGGAAGATACACTCCTATTTCTGAAATGTAACTACTGTTAGAGTGGAAGAAATACTGAGCCCCAGACTGGAGTTCTGGGTCACAGCTTTCCCTAGGAAAAAAATCAGCTGGCAGGAATACTGTGTCTGGGGTAGGGGGCTGGGGGTGGGGGGTGGGGGATGGGTAAGCTGCATAATGGAGGGATGTTTTCAGTGAATCTTTATGTCAATGAGACTCACCAAATCCCCTACCCTCATCTACCCTTTGGTCCTCTGTCCTGTCCTGAACAGCCCTTTTCAGAAGACTTCAGCAATTCCTGACACCTCCCACAACCTAGTCTGAGAATTTTAGGAACAGAGTCCTGGGCTTTTTTGTTCCCAACCAAGCCATAAAATCCAATTATACTTGCACACTGCAGGCACTGTGGGGGAGGAAGAAAACTCGTGTCTACCCTCAAGGTTCTTTCAGTTGGTCTAACAGTTAAATCTACATGAGATAGATGAACACAGAAAATAACCAGATTTTATACATATATATGCATGGGAACCTGGTATACATGCAGGAGTCAGAGAACCCCCATACACGAGAGGTTCAAAGACAGAAAGGGAAAATGAGGTATACATGACATTCTGAGCTAAGGATCATCTTGGTCCTTCAGCGGAGAGGAAAGTCATTACAGAAAGATGAGCAGATGTTCAGTAATTAGTTTACCCTGCCTTACAAATAGTCCATAAAAAGTTATTTCCAGTAATAACTCTTATTATGAGCAAGGCCCCTAATTTAAATTATTTAAGAAAGAGGTAAAATTTTATCATTGAGTTTGCAGGGTCTTGATTCTCTCAGTTCAAAATAACTCACATGTCAAAGAGAATTATTGGAGGCCTGTTCTGAACCCTTACAGCAGAGGCAGTAAAAGGAAGCTAATCACTTAATACAGGAAGAAAAGGAGGGACTGGAAGAGTAACTTCACCGCACTGGAGGTGCAAGCCAGGTGCACGCAAGCCCAGGCCCTCACCCTCCATACACATGTACCCTCTCTGCGGAGGAGGGCGGGTTCCCACCTGACCTCCCCAGAGTGTGGCTCCTGTGCCTGGGACACAGATGTGGCCTCAATCCAGCCCCATCTCAGACCGGGAGTTGATACAGAGATTTCAGCTTGGGTTTGGGGTTCACAGTGGGTATTTTTCCAGGTGCTGGGGTTTGCTGCTTTCTTTGCACTGGTCTTAAAGAGCATGGAGGATGAAGAGGAGTTTATGGCCCCTCTCCTGGGACATCTGTCCAGCCCAGGTAATGGTGCCCAGATGGAGGCAGGGACAGGGAATCTGATAAAGCTGAGAAAGCCTTGGAGAGCCCAGCCACTGGGGTGGGTGGTCCTGGCCTCAGGCCTTTGCTCCCCATCAAGACTTCTCCCCTGACTGGTGAACCATCCCCAAACCATCCAGAAACAAGTGACTCCTTCATTGTGTCTTGAACTATCTTATTCCTTCTCTACCTGGGCCTTTCTCTCTGATACCTAAGCATGATAGGAGGCACCTCAGGGCCATGCTCTGTGTTCACTGTCCTTCTCTGTATAATCCCAGTCAAGCAACTTTTTTTCTGCAAAGCTCAGATCCTGGGTCTTTAGAATGAAGACCAAAAGGAGGAATGAGCTTGTGGGTGGGCTACAGAGTCACGGTAAGGTAGAGTTCTAGGACAAGAGTCTGCAAACTATATATAACCAGGGGGCCAAATCTAGCCCACCACTTATTTTTGTACATAGTTTTACTGAAATCTAGTCAAGATGAGCCCTGTTGCAGGAGCCCAATGACCACCCCCCTCCCCCGAACCGGATTTCTCACTGCCCAACCAAAACCCCTGAGGGTGCTGACAATAAGAGAATTATAAAAACAAACATGCAAACAGAACAGAATCAACGTTCTAATAGTCTATGCAGAGAACTTGACCTCCAGGGAAAATAAAACAGGAACTAGCAAAAGTCCATGTATCTACATCATTATGCGGTATAGTTATTACCTCCACACGGGCCTGTATTCTTCCACTCTAAATTAGGGTTTTGGTTTTGCAGATCCTAAGGCCCATTAAAATCTTCTTCCCCAAGACAAGAGTAATTTTTCTCCAAGGAGAGGCTGGCCTCCAGACTAATTAAATATTCATTAAGTCATTCCTTTGGCAATTATTCAGGAAGTACTTGCTTTGTGCTAAGCAGTGTGATGGCCTGGGAACATAATTTACATAAATTCGACTCATAATGTATAATTCATAGATTTTAGTAATTTATAGAATTGTGCAGCTATCACCACAGTTCAGATTTGGAATAACTTCATCACCCTGTAAGGTCCCTCGTGCCCATTTGGAGTCAAACCCTGCTCCCACCCCAGCCCCAGGCAACATGGCACTGACTGGCTGGAGCAGGCTGCTGCCCTTGGAATTGACAGCCCATTTGGGGAGACACATTAAATAATTAAATGCATAAATAGACACATATGTGAATTGTGATGAGAACTGGGTGTGGGTGGACGGACAGTGCAGACCTCTCAGCTGAGGTGGTACCTAAACTGGCTCTTTGAGGTTGGGGGCAGGGAGGGACTGCTCACTGGGAATGTGCAAAGGCCCTGAGGTGCAACACAGCTTGTCGTTTCATAACAATAACATGACAGTGTGGCCAAGGCTTGGGGAAATGAGGGGAGAACGGTTCAAGAGGAGGGCAGATAGGTGAATGGGGAGCAGGTCGTGCAGGACCTTGTAGGATCCAGGTCAATGCTGGGGCTTTGAAGTGTTTTAAATAGGAGAGTGGCATGGTCTGTTTGTGATTTTAGAAAGATTACCATGGCTGCTCTTAGAGGTCAGAGGTATTAGGTCAAAAGTGGAAGTGGGGAGACCAGTAGGAAGAATATCACAATGGTCCAGACAAGAGATGACATGTACTGGTGGTGGAGGTGAACAAAGGGCATGGATTCAAAAGATAGTTGGGTTACTACACCCCTAGCAGAATGGCTAACATGAAAAAAAGTGATAAGACCAAATGCTGATGAGGATGTGGAAAAACTGGGGCATTCATACATTGCTGGTGGTAATGTAAAACAATAGAGCCACTCTGGGAAACAGTTTGGCAGTTCTTTTCAAATTTAAAAATGGACTTACCATATGTCCCAGGATTTTCACTCTTGGGCATTTATCCCAGAGAAATGAAGACTTACTTTCATGCAGGAACCTATACACAAATGTTCACAGTAGCTTCATTTGTAATAACCAAAAGATATTTGGCCACTCCTAAGAAGCTACCCAAGAGATATGAAAATGTACATCCACACAAATGCCTGTACTTGGATGTTCATAGCAGCATTATTCATATTAGCCAAAACTAGACACAATCTCAACATCCATCAGTGGGTGAATAGAAAAGCCCTAAGTATATCTATACAATGAAATACTACTCAATGATAAAAAGGAACTGCTCATATATACATACAACAATATGGATGAACTCCAAAACATGCTAACTGAAAGATGCCAGACACAAGAAACTATGTATGTATGACTCCATTTATGTGAAATGGAGAGAAAGGGAAAACCTACAGACACAGAATGCAAACTAATGGGGCTGAGCGTGGAAATAGAGTGAAAGTGGGGACTAACTGCAGTGGGACATGAGGGAACTTTTTGGGGTGATGAAAATGTCCTAAAATTGGGTTGTTCTAAATTCACTATAAATTTACTAAAATCATTGTGTTATAGACTTCCATTGGGTGAATTCATGAACATCATAACTCAAAAATGTGGTCTGAAAAAGAAGATACTGGGATTAAATGTGACAGGACTTTGAAATATTAGTTACCCTCATCCTTCCACCCCTCAAAGTTTTGGAAATGTTGGGATCAGTCTTGGAGTCCAGGAACACAAGGCAGGCAGCACCAGGAGTCAGTGACCCTTCTGGGAGGGGAAGGTATTTGTTTTCAGTACCAGGGGAGTCCCCCACATGCAGAAGGGACTAAATTCTGGGCATGGGAACAGCATGGGCAGAGCCCAGAGGGCAGTGTTGGGAAACGGCCCCCACAGAGGAGGAACTGTGAATCCTGGTTGCACCTGGCTGCAAATGTAGAGCCTGGTTCCACTGCCCATGGGGGTAACTGTCCTTGTGTCCTTGCTTTCACAGACCCCTCTTCCTTGTTCTGAGAACGGAGAGACAGCAAAAAGGATGTCTACCAGCCACCTCTGGCCACCAACATTGAAAAGATGAAAACCACTCACCTCAAGGAACAGAAAGCTTTTGCCCTAATCAGAGAAATCTCGGGTAGGCAGCAAGATTATCCATGCTTCTCCCCTATATTTAAAATCCTTCAAAAAAAAATCCTTCGATGGCCCTAAGGATCAAATTCAAACCCCCTACACCACCCACACCAGGTCACCTCTCTCAGCCACTTGTGCCCTGAACTCCAGTGACACAAGATTCTACAGCTTCTGGGACAAAGTGCCCATTCCTGACCCCTGTCCTTTGCCCGGGCTGTTCCATCTAGTCTGCTGGAATGTGCTTATTCCACTTCTTTACCTTTTCTTCTGGTGAAGTCCTCTGACTTATTTTATTCTCAGCCCAAAGGCTATGTATGTCCTCACAGAGGCTTCCCCTGGCCCTCTGGCCAACAGCTTTCAAGCCTCCATGTGTCTGGGTCTCCGCTCCCCACAACAGATTTGGGTATGGACGGTTGTTTTTGGAGGGGATCTTGGCAAACTTTGGTAGGGAAGGGGAAAATGTAGGGGTAGAGAAGAAAGCCAGTGAAAAGTGGGGTGGTGAGTGGGTTCCATGTGCACAACTGAGGTTCAGTCCTGCTGGGGACCTCCACAGGAGCATGTAGTACACACCCCCACGTTGTCATCCACCAGGTCACTGGTGAAGTCTGCTCCTGAGGAGAGCACTGACCTTGCAGCACTCCTAGCCTGCCTTCCCACTGGCTGAGCATGATCCTGGCCAGAGCTGAAGGACTTGTGCAAGGGGAGCAGCATGTGCACAATGAAGAGTTCCAAGGGGTGTGGGCAGAGTCGTGAGAAGTCACCCCAGGGAGGGATTTCCATAATGCAGATCCCCAGGCCCAGAGCCCAGAGAGTCTGATTCAGTGAGGTTCCAAATTCCCCACATGTTCCTGATGTCCAGCCTGCTGAACTAAATCTTTGTATCTTTTGGGGTCCTTACACCTGTCTTCTACAAAACAGGTGAGCTCCATGAGGGCAGGGAGCACATCTGTCATCTTCATCGCTCTATCCTCAGCATCATAATGTGGCAGATGCCCCATTTTCTAAAAATTCTATTTAAGAAACACTTATATAACATGAACTTGCACATGCACTGCTTTAAGAGCTTTGTAAATACTAATTTATTGACTCCCTCATCATAACCCTGTGTAATGGAATTATTACCCCCATTTCACAGATGACGAGAGTGAGACATAGAGGGGTTAAATCACTTGGGAAGGGCACATGGGTAGGAAGTGACAAAGCCAGGATTTGAATTAGGCAGGAGGTTCACAGTCTGTGAGCTCTATTTCTTTCTGCTGCCTCTACAAAAATCAGTCCCACTGTCACCAGAGGAGCAAATACTTGGTCCATAAAACCTCAATTGTTTTGATCCCATGCACCATTCTGTTTCCTGCCCCGAGCTTGGTGGGAGTTGAGGAATCGCCTGACCAGGGGCTCTGCTTCCTTTCCCAGTGTACCTGGGCTTCCTGTGGATGCTGCTGCTGGTGGCCTATGGGCAGAGGGACCCCAGTGCCTACCACCTCAACAGACACCTCAAGCACAGCTTCACTCAAGGCTTTTCGGCTGTCCTGGGCTTCCAGGAGTTCTTTATGTGGGCCAACACCACACTTGTGAGAAACCTGTACAGTTATCACCCAGGTACTGTCCCCTTGCCACAGGATATGTCAGCCACCTGATGCACCCTTCTTTCTAGGAACAGGTGTGAGTCTCAGTAAACATCAGCCTTATAGAGAACCAATAACCATAGAACCATATGCTTTAAAGGAGAAACATTCAGAAGACTGTGTGTATACAGAGGGGCCCTAACACTCTCTTGATGCAGAGTGGAGAACTTCCTGAATGAGAAATAACTGAGCATGAATTGGCCAGGCAGAAATGGTGTACCAGGCAGAAGAGACAAAATGAGGAAAGACAAGCCTGAAACACCATGGCACTTTCTTGGAACTATGAAGTGTTGAGGGTGGCTACAGGTAGGAGTTGAATATCAGTGAGCATCAAAACAGAAGAGAAAAACAAGGGCCAGATCATAAAAGATCTCAAAGTTTTCTTTGAGTTCTTATTTTATGCTCAAGGAAATGAGGAGTCATTGATGTAATGACTCATACATGAAGGAGTTACACAATCTAACTTGTAGTATAATCAAACTTCCAGAAGGATCATTCTGGAATTGTGGGAGTTGGAGTAGAGTGTTGGTGTGTTAGTAGGCTGGGGAGAAATAATGGGACTGATGCAGAGATGAGGGGCACAAGAGGTGGAGATACAGGGATAGATGTAGACAACAATGAAGAGGTAGAATTGTTGGCCTTATTGACCATTAGGATGAAGGCATTGAGGGAAGGGGTACAGATGTTCTCCAGGTTGATGTCTGGGTGGTGAGGGTGCCATTGCCTAAGAGAAGTGTACAGAAAGTAGACCAGGTCCCCGGTGGGGAGATGGTAATGTAGCTTGTATTGGCCATGAACTTCTCTTGGCTGTTTCTACAATGGGTGCACTGAAATTTATGTTAGCATTCAGGCCAGGGAGCTTTGAATGTGTTAAGATAATTTTGCTTACTTGATTTACCCACCTGTTTTTGATCATCAGGCTTCATCACTGATGGGAACTCCAAACTGGTTGGCAGTGCCCAGATTCGTCAAGTGAGAGTCCGAGAAAACTCTTGCCCTCTTGCCACATGGTTGCAAACTTCTCTCGATGGGTGCCACGCACCGTATTCCCTAGATGTTGAAGACTTGTCAGACTATGGGGAAGGCTGGAATACTAGAGCCAGTGCAGGCATGAGGTGCTCACACTCACACAAAGCTGTCCACTAGGCAAGTGAGAAGTGGTTGTGGCTTAACCTTACCAAGCATCATGCAGGGTCTGAAGCTTTACCCTAACAGCTAATGAGCCTGCTAGTGTTTCAGGGATGGTGGCAGAAGACAGGAGTCTCCTGGGGTAGAGACAAATGGCTTTATTACAACAAAAGCAGTAGCAAAGCTTCATGGTGGTTTGAGTCAGTTCCCTACCAATGACCATGATAGATGCTTGCATGTGCAGTGAGTTGCAGGATGAAGGGGCAACAGTGAGCTTGGAAGTGTTCACAACTTTATAGTGGCAGAAGCCTGCTGTTTGTCCAAAGAAAGATGCCACCTCATCCCTCAAGGTTGCCCACTGCAAACACAGCCCTGATAAATGGCCTGGGTGAAGCCCAGCCAGCTGGAATGCCCAGCACAGAGACACTCAGGGCCCTGAAGACTGCCTCTCCCACACACTCTAGAGTCAGAGAGCTCTAGGTTTGAAACCCTGTCATTGCTCCTATTAGCTGAGTAGCCCCAGGCAAATTAGTGGGTCATGTGAACCCCAGTCTGCCATCGCATTATTACAACACTGAGGTTGTTTATGGTGGCAGGGTCCCTGCCTACAGCACAGGTAACAAACCCCTAAGAGAACTGCAGGGGTCCTCTGAGATTAAGGACAGGCCAAGAAGAGTCTATTTCAGAAAAAGGTCTTTTCCTGCCACTTGGAATAGCTGATACTCTCTCCTTCCTTCAATGTACCAAGCAAGATGCAGACCCACAGCAGTATGGCATATTTTTAAATAGTCTCATTGTTATTGCTCTAAGTAATAAAAGCTATTATTACCATGCACTCATGCACACACCCACTCCATTTTCTCGTCACAATGATCCTGGCGCTCGTGTTAACACCACTGTAGATGAGGAAACTGAGGCCTGGAGAAGTTATTTGCTTACGGTCTTTCTACTGCACCAGCAGGCAGATCTCTAGAAACTGGTCCCAAGAGGGACATCGCGGCTGCAGCTGCTGCCTGCCCAAGCCACCGATATTTTATGTGGCTCCTCTAACACCATGGTCCTCAAACTTTAAAAAGCATCATAACCCCTTAAAGGGCTCATCAAAGCACAGATCCCCAGGCCCCATACCCACTGTTTCTGATGCAAGAGGTCAGGGTGGGGACTGAGAACAATCATTTCTAACAAGTTTCCAAATGATGCCAATGCTGCCAGTCTGGGGACCCCACTTTGGGAACCTCTACTCTGCAGCCAGGAGACCATTGGCACTAACACATTGTGCCATGATAAGTGAAACTGTGTGACCACTCCCGGGAGTGGCCCCAAAGCCCTGGGAGAAGTTTCAACAGGAAGCCCTGGCCTCCTCCCTGGAGCTAGGGCAGAAATGCCCTAAATGCTCTTCTTCCCACAGAATTCTCCAGTATCTCTTTGACAACACCTGGCTGGACCGCCTGACCAGAGCCGTGTTTGTGGAGTTTACTGTCTACAACGCCACCGTCAACCTGTTCTGCATCATCACTCTGACCCTAGAGACCAGTGCCCTGGGTGAGCACCTGCCTGTGAACCCAGCTGCAGAGTTCCAGAAGATAAATCCTCCTCCCCTCCCTCTGGGCTATGGCCTAGCTGTCCCAGTGTGGGAGCTCCAGAGCAAATGGTGGTTTGGGAAATTCAGGGAGGGGGGTGATGGTTATCCCTGGACACCCAAAGGCAAAGCTTCAGGGTTATTCCATGCCCCCACCCCACCCCTTCTCTTGCCATATCTCCCAAGTTGTCCTAAGAGAACCCAGTTGGGGTCTGAAAGCAGTTCACATCCCTGAGCTTCCTACTCTGCTAGTGGTGGGAACTGGCAGTGAGAGGTCTAGGAAGGCGGTGATCTGGTAACAATAGATTGTATGTAAAACAATAGATAGTATCTCAATCTATAGTATGAAGTATATTTTACATCATAATCCAACACACAAATCTATACACCTGGGATAGAAGCTTCAAAAGTATTTCCTTCAGCTACATGATACATGGATATTTTTACATCCTATTCTAGTCCTTTTCCCCCTTCCCCCACCTTTCACTCTCTTTTAATGCTAATCACAGTTTATTGAAAACTCTGATGAAAGGTCTCTTCAGCTAATAATCAATTTGCCTAAAACTCAATCACATCTCCTTTAAAAGTTAAACATTTTCAAAATATGTTTTACTTTTATTAAAAAAAATTGTAATGTTTGTAGTTTTTTAAAAACATCAGAACTATGAAAAGGTCTTCCATTATCATTATTATATCACTTTCCGTTATCATTCCCCATTGTCAAAAGTTCCTTTCTAATTCTTTTCAGGAGCTTATCTGTATCTCTTGTTCTCCTCTTTCTTTTTGTCATCTTTTTGGCTTTTTAAGGACTACTTAAACAATTGTCCCCAAACACACCTGATTCCATTATGTGTTTCTACAAATATAAAGCATGGGATAGGTTTGGGGTCTGGTTGATTTAGCATCCACTGATGTCAGGAAGGACTCAGGTTGTTTGCCGTTCTCCATTCTGCTATTCTTGGGGTTGGCTTTGTTTTTGTAGGAAGGAGCCTTATTAGTCAGATTGGGTTTTTTAATCATTATTAAAAGATCATTTTAATACAAAGTAAGAAAAACACACAAATGGATAAAAGATGATTCCAAAGATGGTTGAAGTTTAGGCATATTTGTCAATAGACGAATAGATCCTCAGTGAACAGTCTCTGGATGAAATGGCTTTACGTGAGCCAGTCTGAAGTAAACTGGTGTTAAGTGGGTGGGTGTGCTTTGGCTGGAGGCCACGAAGTGCACAAATGGCAAGCACCAAATGCAGAGGGTAGGGGGCGGGTTTTCCACCGCAGCTGCCTTTGTCCCTTCTGATCTGTCCATTCCCTTTGACATCCATTAATTGTCCTCATTCAGTCACTTGGGTCTGTGGGTCTGAAGGACCTTTAACTTCTCTTTTGGCCCTGGCCAGCCTCCAAAGGGCTTGAGCTTGAGCCATCCCACCGATGACTTGTGTTCAGAGGCGGTGGGTCTGAATGGGAAATCATGGATCAGGGGAACAGGACAGGGTGGGGGTGGTGGCCAAAGAAATGCACTCTGCTTCCCAGGAACCTTTTTTGCACACTCGGACCTGCAGAGCCTGTGCCTGTATCCCTTCGCTGACAGCTGGCACCCCTTTGTGGTGACGGCAGAGGTCATCTACTTCCTGTTCCTCCTCTACTACATGATTGTGCAGGTGAGGAGTGGACAGTAGCCCCATGGGCAAGGGATAGAGATGGCACTGCACCTATTCTCTCTCCCTCCCCTACACTCTTCCCTGGGGTGGGGTCTGAAGGAAGGGGGAGGAAAATGTTCTGCTTACCTGTTTGTCATGGCAACCTTTGGGGGCCCTTCTGCTGGTCCTGAGGGCTAACCTAGTTCAGGGACCCAACTTTGCCATTTCAGAGAAACTAAGGACTCAGAGGGTGGTCCTTCCTGGGTGGGGAGGAAAGAGGAGTAAAGCTCCCGTTTCCCCTGAACTGTGACCTTCCAAAAATGTTGGAGGTGGAGATTCTCCATAGCTGGGGGTTCACTGAACTTAGATTGGGTGGGGGTTCTTAGTACTTTTGTTCTCGCTGTGGTCCTGAGAATCAGGACACATCTCCCTTGCTACCTTTTCCACTATGTTGCATGATGAAGGTGCAGATGTATATATGATGGTGGTCTGAGGATGCTGCGAACACACCCAAAACATATTAGATATTCTTTTCCAAAAATGGAAACCATATACCCAAAAGGGGCATCTTAGCCACCTGCCCCCATTCCCTGCTCCAACAACCACAGCAATGACTTTAAAGTAAGAAAGATAGTTTGAGGGCTTACTATGAGGCAGGCTACAAACCTTAGGTGGTTTTTCTCCTTTAGCAACACCAGGAGAAAAGTCCTTTTGGATCCATTTCAGAGTAGGAAGCTAAGTCCAGAGATGTGAAGTAATTTACCCAATATCAGAGCTGAACACCGAGAGTCTGACCCCAGATCTTGACACTAAGCCTCGATGCCACAACCTCAGCCTCAGACACCGGCAACATGGTCTCGAGCATCCAATTCAAACTCAACAGCCAACAGTTACCAAATAGCAACTTAAGTACTAGAATTTCTCTAAGAACATCAAAGGAGGCCCATTCACCACCTCTCTGAGGCCCACTCCTCTCCTCTAGATTGCCCTCACACTCTGCCTGCAGCTGTTTCAGGAAGCCTCTCTCCAAAACCCCTACATCTTTCTCAAATCTTTAAACTGCTAAGTGAGCAGTTTAAAAACAATTTCCTCTCGATCTATCCCTTCAGAATGGAGGTAAATTTAGCCTCTTATCAGGCAAATACCAGTCCTTCCTCTGTAGAAGTAGGAAGGGGAGGGAATGGAACAGACAATAGGAGATTCTCTTGAGTAGAAGGGAAAGAAGGAATGGGAGGGAGGTGGAGAACAGGCACAGGAGAATTCTTTTTGACCTGTGACACCTGGGAATATAGTGTCATAAACAAAGTCTCCTGCCAATCCAGGAAACCTCTCCACAAAGGTAGAAAAAAATTACTTAAATTTATTCATTTTGAACTTTTATATGTACAAGTTGTATGTAAAATACAATTTACCATTTTAGCCATTTAAAATGTGCAGTTCAGTGGCATTAAGTACATTCACATCATTGTGTAAGTATCACCCCATCCATCTCCAGAACTTTTCTCCTCTTGCAAAACTGAAATTGTACCCATTCAGTAATAATGCCAACCTTTCCTCTAAGAAAACAACTTTTAATATTGAAAAAAACATTAGACCAGCCTGTGATATGCAGTCCAGGCAATCCTCTAGACAGAAAAAATCTCACCCTTGAATATCATCACGCAGATACAGTCCGTTACATACATACACATCCTTAAAATAACGGTGAAAGGGTCAGGCCAGTTTCCCAACCCCCAGACTGCTCATGACCCAGGCAGGCCAGTTTTTGAAACTGCTGGACTGCCCATGACTCAGTTATCCCAACTCAATTGATAGCCTGAGGCTTAATCAAAGCTCTCTGCCACCTCGCACAGTAGACATCTGACACTAGCCATAATGGTCAGTGGTCAGACTCACCTTCCTGTACCTGAGAACAGCCTGGGCCCTTTACCTAACCCATTGTCCTGGCTCACATCCTGAAACCCTGAGGCAACTGCCCAGAAGAACAAGAGGTTAGCCCCTCCCCTAACCCCCCATAAACCACACGCTTTCTCTTTTAAAAACCCCATTCTTGCCTCCCCCCACCCCCGGGGCTGCAGTCTGTCCAGACTCAGCCCACCTATAAATGCAGCATCAAATAAAGGCACTTGGATCAGATAATCTGGCTCCTCCCACCTCTATCTCTCGTGTATTTCTAACAAAAGGCTGAATAATCCTTAAGAGGCATTATAGCACCATTTGTTCTACTAGTCCATACTGAACTCACCTGGTTATTGAGGTGGCCATCTGAGTTTGCTAACTGCCTTTATGAAAAGGAAAACTAAACTTCACCTTTGTTTGCAATAGGAGGTAGTTTTGCAACTGGGAGCCAGGTACTTGCCCTAAGCTGAGCTCCTATGCTCTCAAGGAAAGCAGGAGATGGCGGTGCTATTTTCTTTGATGATTACATTTCAAAGAGATGGCTTCCAGTCCTTGAGAAAAACAGTCCTGAGTTGTAAAACTGGCAAGAGGCTTGCTTAGCTTTTAAATAGATTTACACATATCTCAAAGAGACAGAGAAAGAATTCACAATTACAAGTTTTCTTTAGTAAATGCCCTATGGTGGAGGGAATGTCTTTTCCCTTCCCCTCTTTTTTTTTGCATCACAGAGAATTAAATGTCTGTCTTATTAGATACTGCAAATCCTTATTAGATACTGCAACTGTCTGTCTTATTAGATAGATACTGCAAAGCTCAGATTATAGGGTCTGGGCATATAGTTAGGGAGAGGCCTCCAGCACTCCGCATGTGGGGCCAAGGCTTTGAGAAACCTCCAAGGATCCAGAAAACCCCTCCCAGAGTGTCATTCTGGGTGGTGCAGGGAGCTACCCTGGGGGTGAAGACAGGGGATGGGCACAGTTCTGGCCACAGCCTTTGCTGGAATCTATGGCTCCTTTCACAGGGCAAGCTCATGAGAAAGCAGAAGTGGCACTATTTCCACAGCAAATGGAACCTTCTGGACCTGGCCATCATCCTGGCCAGCTGGAGTGCCCTGGTGGTGTTTGTGAAGAGGGCCATCCTAGCGGAGTGAGACATACAACGGTACTGGAAGCACGAGGAGTAAGTGGCTCTGCCTCAGCCCCAGGTCACACCACTGGCCCTGCTTCCTCCAGCTGTGTGTGGCTCAGGGGTCAAAGAAGGCTTTTGAAATCTTGTTGATGCTCAGAGAATGAAGGGTCACTTGAAAAAATAACTATAGCTATCATTTAGATTTGGGCTTGTGGTCTGAAGCATATGCAATTGGAGAGCAGTCTAAGACAAAATAAAACCGTACCTTTTGCAAATCTTACCAAAACAAAGGACCAAGTGACACTCTGTTAAGGTCCTTCCCAGACTTTTGGGCAGGGTTTTTGCAAGTATTAGTGTCATCAACCTGCTTCTGCTACCATTTACCAAGTGTCCACTCTGTGCTAGGAAGGATGCGCTAACCAATCAGATCCTCATGAATACCGATGGAGGTAAATGTTATCATTACCCCATTTTACAAATAAAGCACTTGAGGCTCAGAGAGGTAATGTGACTTCCCCAAGGCCACACAGCTAAAAAGTAGCAGAGAAGTAATTTAAACCTAGCTTGTGTGTCTCCAGGATCCCAGTTTTTACTTTGAACCACTGTTTCTTGACTCACTGATTCTATAGATACAGCTAACATTTATTGAGTTATCTCTATGCTGTACATAGTCATACAGACACCGCGTCGGGGTCACTAGATGCCACTTCCTCCCATCTGAGTGAATGTCCCTACTGCCCTTACATTTGAAGGTGATGAAAATGCTACCCAGTTGCTGTGCTAAGTGAGAGCCTAACAAATTTTAACTGCATCGTGTCATTTGACTTTGAAAGCCACTGGGATGAAGAAGTATACTATCTCTATTTTACAGATAAGGACAGAGTGTTGGCACAAGGTCAGAGAGCTAGTGATATAGTGGCACACTGGTGGTGGAAGAATGGCAGTTAGAATCCAGGTTCTTCCCCATCCCACCCTGCCCTTCACTCCCCTGTCATGCCTCTGCACTCTGAATTCATTCCTAACGTTGGTGTGTCATTAAAAATGGTATAGGTCTATATCTAATGACATGGGGTGGGGGGGAGATTATAGAACAAAATTATATGATTGCAAATTTGTAAAAACACTTCATATTCATATATAATTCCCTACTGAAAGCTATTCTTTTACCTAATCTCCTACCTTCAAGAATCTTTCTGCCCCAGCTAGCGTGGTTCAGTTGGTTGGAGCATTGTCCTGTAGACCAGAAGGTCACAGGTTCAATTTCTGGTCAGAGCACATACCCAGGTTGTGGGTTTGATCCTTGGCCAGGGTACATACAAGAAAGCAACTGATAGATGTTTCTCTCTCTCACCCCTCCCTTCCTCTCTCACAAAAAAAGCAATGAAAAAATGTATTTGGGTGAAGATAAAAACAAAAAAAAGTGTTTTTTAAAAGAATCTCCCTTTTTTAGCACACTGAAGCTACTGGTAAAGATGGTTGCTTCCTCCTTTGGCTTCTGCCACACCTTTCCCCTGCCTCTTTTAAAATACCCAACCTTCTTTCATGTCATTTAATTGTTCATATATGTGGAAATAATAACCATGTAAGCCCTCCTTTATGATGGCAATTAGCACAGTCCTCTTGAGCCTGAAAAGATTCCTCCTCTGTCATTCTCCCATATCTCTGCAGCCATTAAACAAGACTGCTAGGGAATGGCCCCAAGAACTTTCCTGCTGAGGCCCCATGACCACCATCACCATCATCATCCTTATCATAACCATCATCCTCACCATCACCATCATCACCTAGCTGGGGGGTTGGGACAACCTCTCTCCCAGACCTGTTGCAGGAAGCGATGACCTCTGAGATAAACTGTCTAATCCTACACACTGGGCTGAACTGAGTCCAAACACAGTATGGCGAAGTTGTTCACACTCTCTGAGACCCAGTCTCCCCTTTTGGTCTCAAAGGGGGATCAGTTTCAGTGAGACAGCAGCCGCCGATGCTGCCCTTGGTTACATCATTGCCTTCTTGGTACTGCTCTCCACGGTGAAACTCTGGCATCTGCTCAGGTTGAACCCCCAGATGAACATGATCACGTCAGCTCTGCGCCGTGCCTGGGGGGACATTTCGGGCTTTGCCATCATCATCCTTATCATGCTCCTGGCTTACTCCATTGCGGTGAGTGGCTCCTTTGGGAATACCTCAGGGTGGTTCTCCTCGGAAGCTAAGGCTTCTCAGTGTTGGGAGGCTGGGGATTAGGGTTACAGGAACCCTGGAAACCTGAGGGAGATGGTGGGTCTTCTGAGTCTGGGTGCTTTCAGCTGGGAGCTCATGAACTCATCACTCCAAATGGAGACCTCAGTTGGGTGAGAGTGAAGAGGTATTGTCTCAAGACTGAAAGGGTCAACTATCTCCAGCAAAGAATTCCTTTCTGTCTCTAGATCCTGCCTGGATATACCAGTTCTCCTGCATTCCCAGCAGCTCAGGCATGCACAGAGCACGCCTTCTGTGCGGGGGGATGTGGAGATTAGGAGATGAGTTGGGCAGCCCCTGTCCTTGGGCTGGGGCAGCAATGGGGAAGTAAGGATGGACATATCTGCAGGCCATGTCGATGCTCGATGCCCTACACATGAGGCACAGCCAACCCCCATTTCATTCAGCTCCTTAACACTGACAGCAGTTTTTAAATCACATCTTTTGTGTCTGAAACAAAAAATTGCACTATTAACATTTTTATATCAAGTAATGTGAGAAACAAAAACCCTTTGACACATCCCAATCTCCATCTAAATATGCCTCCCATCCTCTCCTATATACTCTTTCTGTAACAGTCAAACTTAATATTTGGTTGGAAACTCCGTTCCTACAAAACCCTCTTTGATGCGGCAGAAACGATGATCAGCCTTCAGCTAGGAATCTTCAACTACGAGGAGGTAATGTGGGAAGGTCAGAGGACATGGACCCTGCCACCTACACCAAGCCTTTACAAAAGTTAGAAAAAGTAGTCCCCTCAAATGCATCCCTATTGGATATCACCCCTTTGGTCCATGGCCTGGCAAGTGCAGGGCAACTATGGACAGATAAAAAGGAGCCCCTTTCCTCCAGGCAGACAGCCCCACCCCAGGGCCCACAGCTCACCCTGGGAACCCCGGCTTACAGAGGAACATCAATCAGGTATTGGCTACTCTGGAGAGGACTGTGCTAAGGGGTCCCCAGAAGGGGATGCTCCTGGCCAGAGCCAGAAATGGTGCCCATATTTGGAAATGGCAGCAGTGAGGGGCGGGGGCACTGCCCTCTCCCTCTCCCGGCAGTCTGAGAGCAATGCCTGTACTGTCAGCCCCCAGGCAGAAGAGGACCTTCCTGGCCCCAGGCTCTGCCTAACTCTGAGGATCAGCTTTCCCTCTGAGGGTGCCTCGTGGGGGAAGGTAGCCAACAGGAAAAAGGATCCCCCAAAGATGACTCTGGATTTCTCCCTAACAGGTCCTGGACTATAGCCCAGTGCTCGGCTCCCTTCTAATTGGGTCCTGCATTGTTTTCATGACATTTGTTGTGCTGAATCTATTTATCTCTGTCATCTTGGTGGCCTTTAGTGAAGAGCAAAAATACTATCAGGTGAATCCCTTTGGACTATTTTTCAACAGCCACTGACCTTGAAATAGAAAAAGGCTGGATGAGCAGCGTTAGACATTAGGGAAACTTGAGAGACGATCATAGCCTAAAGCCTTCATTTCATGGGAGGAGAAACTGAGGGCCCAAAGAAGGAAATTATTTCACCAAGATCACAAGCAAATGAAGTTCACACTGGAATTGGGTCTCCTGCATTCCAGTGTGGGACTCTGTTCATTACTCCAGTGATTTTCAGCTCTGACTGCACATTAGAATCAGCTGGGGCATTTGGAAATGACTACTGCTGCACCTGAGACCCACAAACACAGAACCTCTGGGTGAAGGATGCAGGCGTGGGCATTTCTGAAGTCTCCTGTGTGATTTTAATAGGCAGCCGAGGTTGAGACCCATTAAAAATAATCAAAGATGATAATTGAGGTAATAAAAACGTGAATACTTCATGACATGATCATTCTCTATTCAGAGAACTGCAAAATGGGTGGAAGGCAGGAAGTTTTTATAGGATAAAGAATTTAAAAAAACAAGGGAGAGAAAAATACAAAATTTTGGATTGGCTGGGGCTACACAGTCAATCTTGTCTGGGGAAGAAGGAAAAAGAAATAAGTACAGATAGAGCCCTGAGGTGGCTTGGCACCTGGGGACTGGCTGACTGAACGTACTGGTTTCTGGTCAAGGGGAGCATTTGCAGAGACACAAAAGTTATCTAAGTTTCCGTTTCCCGACATGGCACCCTAGGCAGGAGCGGCTCCACTTTGAGCCTAGAAATTTACTTCAACAAGTTACCTGGTGACTTTGGTTTAAATTTTGAGAAACTGCCAAACTGTTTTCCCAGGCAGCTACTCCATTTCACATTCCCAACAGCAATGCATGAGAGGCTGTGTACATAAATTCCTACCCACCTCTGATGGGGTGGTGGAGGAATTGTCATTTTCATCAGAGGGGAAGGAGGAACCCCCCTAGTGATAAAGAGAGGAGCACGCACCCTTGGGTTTCCCCGAAGGAGGTGAAAGCAACTCTGATGAGCAAGGTGACTTGGACAGGGACCGAGTTTCACAATAAGACCGTGGTTTCCCCTTAAAAAGAAATGCCCAAAGAGGATGTACTGGTGTCTATATCTGTTGTATGGTTCTCTCTCCCTCTGCAGCTGTCGGAGGAAGGAGAGATTGTTGATTTGCTGCTGGTGAAAATACTCAGTTTCCTGGGCATTAAATGTAAAAGACAGGAGCCTGGAAGCTGCAGCGAGCAGCCTGAGTTGCTGTTAGAAGCCCAGCCCCCTCTATCTGCACCAGCTGCGCTCCAGGTTTAAGCTGTTCATCATATTTGATCCTCTGTGGAGTCCGCAGACAGCCAGAGCCTCGGGCCTACACTTAACCAGTGATTCTGTACTCGCTCCAAGTCAGCGTTTTCCGTGTCCATCGATGTCAGCAAGGCTGGCAAGTAAAAAGACTAATAAAACTATGTATGTATGTACACGTACAATTGCCACTACTGTGATACTGTTTCAAATGTATTTCCTTCTAGAAATAAAACAAATAGCCTGGAATTCAAGAAAAAATCTTTTCTGCAGACTAATTATTTCACCTTTTTGGTCAGTCAGGGGTTGCCTTTGAATGATTCTCTAACAGTTCAGGGTTTCTCAAACTGTGTCCGAGAGATGCTAATAACCATCATATTAATTTGCTAGGGCAGCCAGAACAAAGTACCACAAACTGGGTAACTTAAAACAACAGAAATTTATTGTCTCACAGTTCTGGAGGATAAAAGATTAAAATTAAGGTGTCAACAGGGCCACGCTCCCTCGGAAGGCTCCACAGAGGAATCTTCTCTCTTAGCTTCTAGCGTTCGCCAGCAACCCTTGTCGTTCCCAGTTCATAGATGCATCACTCGAACGTCCGCCTCTGCTGTCACATGGTCTCCCCTGTGTGTCTTTCTCTGTCTCTCTTTTCCTCTTCTTATAAGGATACTAGTCAGAGTGGACTAAGGGCTCATCCTAGTCCATTACGGCTTCGCCTTCATTAATGGCATGTGCAACAGTTCCTAGTTCCAGTTTGGTCACATTCTGAGGTACTGGGGGTTAGGATTTCAATGTATCTCTGTAGGGGACACAATTCAACCTGTAACAGGTGTCACAGCCCCCAAAATGTTTGTGGATCAAATAAACGTGGGAAACACTGGACTATACAAGGCTGTACAAATTCTTTAGCATCGGAATTGTCAGAGCTTTTAGCATGCTAACTGTGCATTGTGAATCTCCTGGGATGAGATGAGCATGAGCGACAAAGTATGTAATGATTCCCAAACCCCTTTGGCCAGGGCACCCAGTACTGTAGCACCTCAATAGGGCAAAGTATCATCCTTAGATGATACTTTGAGAGCTGTTGATCTATACCAGTGGTTCTCAACATTGGCTGCATGCTAGGATCCCTAGACTTCATCCCTAAATATCAGAGTCTCTGGGCTGGGGCCCTGGTGTCAATACTTTTTTTAAGCCCCCCCCCCGCCCCCCAGGTGATTCCGGAGTGCAGTCAGACTCCATAACCAAGCTCTAAAGTCTGAGAACCACAGGTCTAGATAATGAAAGGCGTCCAGAGGTCTGTGTGGAGTGCACCATTCCCCTCACTCATGCTGGGGAAGCACCTCAGACATCCTCTGCAGTTTACCCTCACACACCCATTGTGGCGGACGCTCTAGGTTGTCTGTCCCAAATCCATTTTCTGCTTTCCTCCTTGCTATGAGAATCCTGACAGTTTCAGGTAACCATCTGCCCTTCCCCTGCATACTCCTGGGAAGGTGACCCTCTAACCACCTCAAGGTAAAATCTGATTTGTCCTAGTAATGGTAATTCATTTATCTTGACGGTGAGTGGTTTAGTGTGAACCTGCCCCAGTCTGGCCAGTGAAAAATGAGAGGTCTGTAGGACACTTTCAGGAAAGGCCTGCTTGCTAATAAAAAGAGACACAGAGAGTGCTCTTATGCTGCTGGACATTGGCTGGTCTGAGCAAGACCCCTGGAACTTTGGCAGCTACCTCGAGACTACAGGGAACAATCTGAAAATGGCAGAGCAGTAAGATGAACGGAACGTGCACGCTTGATGAGGTCTGCAAAAGCTGACTGAATCAAGCCTGGAGCTAAACTACTGCCAGCCTTTATCTGGGTGAGAGCTTAAATGTCTTTTTATGATGGTTGAATCAGAATCCCACCCTGCTACCCTGACAATCAAAACCTAGAGAGCCACGTAACATGCAACATACATAAAACCACATAATATGCAATATAATAAAACCTTCCATTATCTTCTATCCATACAAAAGCCCACAGCCATTGTTCATTATGTCAGGTATGGACATAAGCTCTCTATGCAGAGATGCTCATCAAACAACCCATACAAGGTGTACACATCCCCCGATAAACAGAAATCTACCCAGATACATACAAAACAGTCTGTTTTAAAATGGAAGTTGGGAGCAGTTGTACATTCTTCATTTCTCTTTCTCATCTTTCCCATCTACTCTCCACTTCTGTACTGACTGTGAAGTTAAACTTTCTGAGCCTCCGGTTCCTCATCTATGAAATGAATTTAATACCCACCAGAAAGGGGTTTGGAAAGGATGGAAGAGAGAATGTTTGCAGAGTTCCAGGCACATTGCAAGGGCTCAAAAAAAAATGACTATTATTTGCTCAGGTGAACATGGAGCACATTCTGGGTACAGCCCTGGCACAGTACCGCGCAGATGCGCCAACAACCCCAACTTTATAAATGGGGCAGAAGTTCAGTGTAATTACAGATGGGCCTTCCAAACACACGCTGCAAGGTGCTTGAAGTGTTTTTCACCCCGTGTTTCTTCACTGGTTCATGCCCATCCACAAAATCTGTCTTTCCCAGAACTTAATTATTATCTGTCCGTGTGAATGGGGACATGTCCTCTGCTTTTCTCAGAAGACCCTGGTTCAGACCATGCTAGGTCTGAACTCTCCGCTTTTCCTTTGCTTTTTTTTTTTGAGATGGAGAAAGATGAAGAGAGTTGGTAGAGACAGGAAAAAAGAGGGAGAGGAGGATGGAGAGAAACAAGGAGAAGAAGAGGCAGAGGGATACAGGGAGGGAGGGGGAGAGGGAGAAAGAGTGGGGGGAAAGGCAGAGGGAGAAGGGGGAAGAGAGAAGAAGGGAGAGGGAGAAGAGAGGGGGGAGAAATAAGGAGAGTGAGAGACAGAAGGAGAGAGGAAGAGGGAAAGGGAGATTGAAAGGGAGAGAGTGGAAGAAAAAGTTAGAGGGAGAAGGAAAAGGGGAAAAAAAGGAGATAGGGAGAGAGAAGGAGAAAGGTAGCAAAAAGGAAAGTGAGAGGGAGACAGAGAGGTTGAGAGAGGCAGAGAAGAGAGGGAGAGAGGGCAGGGAGTGAAGGGAGAAAGAGAAAGAAAGGGGGAGACGGAGGGGGAGAGAAGGGAATGGGAGAGAAAGGAACAGGAAGAGGAAAAGGGAGAGGGTGAGAGAGAGGGAGAGTGGAAAAGAGGGAGAAAGAGAGGGAGGAGAGGGAGGTAAAGAGGCAGAGTGAGGGAAGAGTGGGAAGTGAGGGAGAGGGAGAGGGAAATGATGAGGGAGAGAATTAGAGGGAGAGATGAAGAGAGAGGGACAGAGAAAGGGGGAGAGTGAGCAGGGGAGGAGTGGAAAAGGGAGATAGATGGAGAAAGAGACAGACAGGGAGAGGGGGAGAGAGTAAGAAAACAAGAGAGATGGAAAGTAAGGGAGATGGGAAGAGAGAGAGAGGTAGGAGAGGTATGAGAGGGAGAGATGGGGAGAGGGAGAGTGAAGAAGAGAGGTGGAGAGGGAGGGAGGGAGAGAGGGGAGTGGGAGATGGACAAGGAAAGAGGAAGAGAAAAATAGGCAGAGGGAGAGCCAGAAAGGCAGAATGAGCTATAAAGAGAGAAGGAAAGGGAATTAGAGGAAGAAAGGGAGAGGGAGAGAGAGGGAGAGGAAGGAATGGGACAGGGAGGAAGAGGAAGAAAAAGGGAGATGGAGAGAGATGAAGGAAGAAATAGAAAGGGGGAGAGAGGGAGAGGATAAGGGAGGAAGGAAGAAAAGCTGGGAGAAGAGAAAGTGACAGGAACATGTAGAGAAAGGAAAAGAGAGAGAGAGGGAGATGGGGAGAGGGAGAGGCAGAGGGATACAGAAGAGAGAGCAAGAGACAATGGGTGAGACGGGCCAGTAGCCAGAAGTACAATAGGGGAACTGAAACAGACAGGGCCAAGCAGTTTGCAGCCATTAAGTAAATCGAAAAATCCTATCTTCCCTAACCAAGGACACTTAAAGAATAAATAGTCTACACTCTTCCTCCACAACCAGAGTGTAAAGAGCTTCATTCACAAATCCAATTAGTGCCATTAGTGCCAACCACGCCCAAGGACAGATGAAGATAAGGGAATTAATCTCATTTCGGGGAGTCAGCATAAAGCTGATGAATATTCTATTGAGACTCTCCCCTAAACTTCAAAACCCTCAGAAGGATGGTCCCAGGGCATGCTCTCTTTTGGGAGCATGCCCATGCCTTTCTTCTCTCGCAGGTTTGCATCAACCATACTCTAAAGATCCCCCCTCAAGACTTGCAACCAGGGGGCAATGAGTAGCAGCTTGCTCTGGGCTAACCCCCAGAACCTGCTGCTAAGGTCTCTTATCTCTGACTTTCCAATGAGCCAAAACAGTCCCACCTAGGCTCATTTCTTTCCTATAACATTTCTAGAGAACCAAAGCTCTCTCCTTTTGCTTTTTTGACCCTAAGCCCTCCTTTGTTTCACTGTCCCCAGCTTTAACAAATGTACTCTCACAATCTCCTGGACTGATCTTGTGAAATCTTTCCTGCGTAAAGTGAAGAACCCACATACTACAGGCCTCTGGAGACAGGCCAGCTCTGAGCCTGGTTCCTATCCAGTAGTAATGAAGGAATAAAGAGGGAGGGAGACAAAGGAAGAGAGGGAGAGAGGGAGAGAGTGAGTAAGGGAGAGAGAGGGAGAATGGGAGAGGGCGGGGCAGAGGAGAGCAGGAGAGTTATAGGGAGAGGGGTTGAAAGAGGGGGAGAGGTAGAGTGAGGAAAAGAGATGGAAAGAGAGGGTGAGAGAGGCAGGGGGAGAGGGAGAGAAAGGGAGGAAAGGTGAGAAAGTATGGGTGAGGGAGAATTTAAAGAAGGAAGAGAGAGCGAGAAGAATAAGGAGAAAGAAGACAGAGAGGGAGAAGTTAAAGGCGATGCAGAGAAGGAAAAGGAGAGGAGGAGAGGGAGAAAGAGAAAGGGAGAGAGGAGAGGTTGAGAGGGCGATGGAAAAGGGGAGAGGGAAAGGGTGAGGAAGAGAGGGAGGAAAAAAGATCGAGAGAGAGGAGGAGAGGTAGTAGGAGAGCAGAGGGAGGAAGGGAGAGGGGGAAAAGGATAGGAAGGGAGAGGGAAAGGAAGGAAGAGGGAGATGAGATGGATGAGATGGAGAGAAGAAAAGAGAGACAGAAGAGATGGGGGAAGAGAGGGAGAGAGAGGAGGAGAGAGGCGGAGAAGGTAGGGAGAAAGGGAGAGTGGGAGACAGAGGAAGAAGAGGGAGAGAGGAAGGAGAGTGGGCAAGAAAGGTAGACAGAGAGAAAGAGAGGGAGGGGGAGAGAGGGAGAGACAACTCTGCCTTTTGATTGATCTGCATTAACGGGCTCTATCTACTCCTGTTTCCGCCAAGACGCCAATCCTCATCTTTTGGCAAGTCTTGAGTTTCATGATTCTGTCGTTCCCTGTTTGGGGACCCTGACCTTTTTAGGCTCTGTAAAGTAATAGAGGGTTCCTGGATTGTTTCCTATACTTCAAAAAGTCAGAAACTGCATTTGCGCCTTGGCCAATGTCCAAAAACCACCTTCTGCTGGAATGATTCTGTTTGGACCTCACTAGGATCACACTCTGCGCGACCTTAACCCTCCGTAGCAGGGCGAGGCTGCATCCTAACAGGATTGGGAGCACCCAGCATTCCCCGGGACCCCTGGGTCCAAAGGCAAGGGAAGGTACTGGCTCAGCAGAGCCATCCCGCAGCCCCTCTCACCGTCCAGCCCGGTTGCAAACCCCAGAGTTTCAGATCCATCAGTTAACCTCGCCTAGAAACCGCGCCCGGAGGCGTAGTCCCACCCATCTAAGGGTGGCCCAGTCCCTACCACTAGCAGCCCAGCTCCGCCCCGACAAATCCCCACCCCTCATCTGCTGCCCCTTCCGGGCTTTAGGACCTTCCACGCCCCTCTGGAACGTCACCACATCCGAGCTCCGCCCCCTGTCCTTTAGGCCCCGCCCCCAATTTCTGCCACGCTCAGGTCCGGGACCGCCCCTACTCCGCCCCCACCGGCCCGGGTGGCGGAGGAGTTGTGCCGCGACCCTCGGACTCCAATAAAAATGGCGCTCCGAGCGGCGCGGAGCGTGCGGGCCGCGGCCTGCAGTCTGCGAGCTGCGTCGGCTCCCCCTGTGCCTTGCGTGCCGCGGCCCTGGGGCCTAAGGGCCAGCGCCGTCCGGACGCTGCACAGCGGCCCCAGTCTGCTCTCCGGTAAGCTTGGGTGGGCACGTGGAGCAAGCCGGGGTGCCTGGGGGCGGGGGTTGGGGGCTGGGACACTTCCCTCCTCGCTTTCTTACCTTGAGTCCCCGCTGGGGACCGCCGGGATCTAACCTGGCGACCCCTGAACACACTTCTTTTATCACCGGGATCTCTAATTGTGTGACCCCAGCTCCCCTCCGCAAGTGGCGTGGACGCCGCCGCAGCCTTTGTGCTGCGGGTTTGGGAGCCGTGGCAAGAGGCCTGGAGCACGCGCGGTCGCCGCGTCCCGGCTCTTTCTGGCTGGAGCGTCAGCCTCTGGCTACTGGAGAATCCCACAAGTGGCGCTGAGCTTCTTCGTGACCTTAGAGATTATCTCGATTTGTGGGTATCGTGGACCCTGTAAGTGGAGACAAATAATAGGTTTTAGGTTGCTCCACGGACCATCACTGACACCTTCGAAGTAAAATTAAACACTGGGTCTGGATTTTTACTAGGTAAAATGAGAAGAAAACTTTCAGTTTCCCTCAAGAGAAAAGTGGAAATAATTCTACCTCACAGAGTGTCTGGGAGGATGAAATGATACAATGTAACTATTGTACATATAGCCTGACACATAATAAGTACTTGATATTATCAAGTACATAAGTTGATAAATGTTACTTAAGTTTCAGCTCATAGAATCAAGTAAACAGTAAAAAAGTTGACTGATATTAATATTCAGGGTCTGACAGAAGTAACGTCTGTGTGAGTGTAGTTGGTAGGGTAATAATATGGGTGTAATTGTTTATAGTTTTAATTTGAACATTTCACCTAAAATGCCATATGGTGTGCTTGAGTGTGATACTGTCATGTTACAGAATTACATGCTTGTGATTTTGTAAGAAAAGGCTGGGGCGTTACTTGTGCCAGGCCCTGTATTTTTATGTGACCAGTGACTTTGAAGGAAGGAAAATACAAACTTCATAAATTACTCAAAACGCCTAATTTTGAGACCAAAAGCTGTTTTTCAAAGCTCAGTAAGAAAGTAATTATTAACCTAATCTCCTGTCCACTTTTTTTTCTGTTGGGCCAAGGGTTAAAGAATTGTACTAATCATTGTTTTTAGCTTAAATAGCATAGCCTAGAAACAGACTTAAATGGACTTCATGTCAGGTGAACCGAGTGCATTCAGTTTAGTAATGTTGTTGTCTCTTCATCTAAACCAGGGGTGTCAAACTCATTTTCACCAGGGGCCACATCAGCCTCGCAGTTGCCTTCAAAGGGCCGAGGTAATTTTAGGACTCTATAAATGTAACTACTCAACTCCTTTAACTCCTGTTAGAATTGAAATTACATTGGGCCCTTTGAAGGCAACCACAAAACTGATGTGGCCCCCATCGGCCCCCCTGGTGAGTTTGACACTCCTGCTCTAAACTTTGGTTGCTCAGTTGCTAATTTGAATGTGAGAGCAATCTTATTCTTAAGATTATCTTTACAATTAGGTAAAATGGCAAGGCCAAAATCAGGACAATAATCTACCTCAGAGAAAAGTCATGTATTTATAGTTCTCCAGCCCTTTAAAAGGTATATTAGATTTAAACTTCCAGTTCTAGAGTTGTAAGAGAATAATAGGGAGAATTAAGAGTTGTTGCCAATAACTCTGTACTGAATATTTTGCTCAGAGTCCCCTTACTTAAATATCACTTCACTGCAACTTGATAAATGTTTACAATATGTCAAGCACTGTGTTTAGAACTGGGAATACAAATGAAATAAACTCTGATCTTGCTTGTGTTGTACTTACAGTCTACTTGCTGGGGGAGATTGACAAATGGGCTGTATCTGTAGCACAGTAAGTGCTATGAGTGTGTTTAGGGGTCAGAGTGGGAGGAGAGGAGTGCAGAGTGCTATGGGAGCATGCTCAATGGCCCAGGAACCCAGGCCTGAAGGGCGAGACAAGGCTTCTGGCAGGAAAGAGCTTCTAAGAAGCACTATGAAATGGTCAAGGCAAGGCAAAAGGCAGTGACAATGTTGCCATCAGAACACTGAGTACAAACCTTAAACTTTTTTTATATTGATTCTAGAGAGGGAGGGAAGGGGAAAGAATGAATCAAAAATGTGAGAGAATCATTACCACTTGCATGCCGGACCTGGGACCAAACCTGCAAACTCAGGCATGTGCCCTGATCTAGTATCAAACCTGCAACCTTTCGGTTTGCGCAAGACTGTGAAGGATGATGTCCAACCAACTGAGCCACGTGGGCCAGGGCCAAACCTTCAATTTTTAATGGAAAAATCAGATTGATCTGAAGCATTCAGTTATTTGAAGTGGAATGAAGTAAAGCAAATTTCTTTGTGACAAATTTTGCAACTTCTTCCACTGACGAGTGTAAAATGAAAGCTTTTTATTGATTGGGGAAAAACAACATAGTAAGATATGCTGTATTTACATTCTGTTGCGTATCAGAACTGTGTGATCAAAGTAGTTAAGTGCTGTTTTAAGCACAACTGTCTTTGGGTAAGGGGAAAGGGTAAACCAGCAAGGCTGGTTTATATACTTTAAAACCATATTGGAATTAGTGAACCATTTTCCAATTAACTTCTGATACATTATTTTTGGAAAAATAGTTCACTTTGGAAAGATTATATATATACATTTATATATATATATATAAAAGATAGCATATGCTTTTTAGAAAGTACTTATTCCTTAAAGCAAGTACTTTTAACATTAAATCCTAAATAATTTCTTTTCACATCTCTTGAACTTTGGTCAGTCTTCCGTCCAGGAATCCTTGAATAATAGTCTGACCATGTCTTTGAGAGAAGCAGCTCATAAAGCCAAGGGCTAACCTGTCCAATGAGTGTTCAGCAGAGCTTGATGTTCCACCAGTAAATGGCTTAGCTCTGAGGTGACAGTTGAGTTCTGATCTTGTAGCTTGCTTCTTTAAATGGTGGTAGCCTCTTTCTTCCAGGGCAGGCCTGAATTCCATTAAAATGGAATTTTAAGAACTTGTTCAAATTATATTGTACCAGGTCGGTTTCATTCCTGTAAATTCCACTTTTATAACCAAGTTGCAGTGAAGCTCTCATAGGTCAGCTCTGAAGAGGCAAGTTATTATTTTTTAGGTTAAATAATGTATAAGCATCTGTGCTCATCCCAGAAACCTCATCACTCCGTATCTGTCTTCAGAGAGACAGACTTTATCTGCAGGACAGACCAGTTAGTATATAAGTATACATTTGAAATGTCCTCCAGAATTTTTTGTGTGATTTAGGCTAAGTAACGTTAGAGCAGATGATCAAACCTCCAGAAGATGCACATGGTGTTCATGTCAAGCCGTCTTTGAGTAATACCTCTGTTGAGATGTGCCACCTTTTCACATGATCTGTTTTCTCCTGGGCAGTGTACTATTGAAAGGCAGCGTCAGTAGGTCAGACGCAATTACTGGGGAAGTTTTGCCTTTTGACAGCATTGATATGAAAAGTGCTTTTTAAGAAGTGATGCTACTGCTTTTCTGAAATATTGGTCTTCTATTTTAGTGCGTAAATTCACAGAGAAACATGAATGGATAACAACAGAAAATGGTATTGGAACAGTGGGAATCAGCAATTTTGCACAGGTATTGGATTGTCTTGAAATAGTTAAAACAGTCTGCTCTCACCTAAATTGGATTGCCTCTGCCTTTTAAAATTTGTTTATTCTGCCATTAGTCTGGGCTCTTTACAGGCCCTGAGAAAAAAACATCAATCATACTCAAGAAAGAAATGTGTTTGTTTCATTTTGGGGCAATTAAGGAAGGAAGCAGGAAAGGAAGAGTAAGTACAAGGGCAGAGAGTTGTCAGTGTTTTGAGGATACAGTGATATGCACATGACCAGGGGAGCATGAAGAGGGGAAACCTAGACTGGCACAGATTACACAGAGGGGAAACCATTTGTTTGTCCAACTTCTCTGTTAACTCTCCTGTCCCCATTGATCCCATATTTGAAATACTGTGTAAAACAGGGGTGTCAAACTCATTTTCACCGGGGGCCACATCAGCCTCATGGTTGCCTTCAAAGGGCTGAATGTAGAACTCCTTGCCCCTAGTTAAGTAGTAATTACATTTATACAGTCCTAAAATTACATTCGGCCCTTTGAAGGCAACTGTGAAGCTGATGTGACCCCTGGTGAAAATGTGTTTGACACCCCTGGTGTAAAAGAAAGCAAGCCAAGTAGCAGAACAGGTCAGTGATTTTTCAACTGGATCTCTGGGAAGTGGGGCACTAGAGGGAAAGAGGATTTAACTGATGGAAATATGATATTCTTTAGAAATGTTGGAATATCAGGTATTAAGAGTCAGTGACAACTGCATCTTCATTGGCAAATCTGTGTACCTACTGAAGCCCAGTATAAGGTGCTTTGTGAGGTATTGTGTGTGTTGTCCTCACCTCCTGGAGCTTATCTATGTGTGTAATCACTTACATGGAAAATGACATGCAAAGCATTACATGATGGATAATAATGTGAGTGGTACAGGGTGTGGTAACCCTCACCTGATAGATCATTTCCTATTGGAGTCAAGATCTTCAAGGAGGACAAAGGCATGAAGACTATGATTTTCAGAGTCAATGGGTAGGATTTCAGCAAAGGCAGTAGGAAAAAGGCCTAAGGAAAACTGCAGAGGTGAAAAAGCACAAAGTGTATTTGTTTTTACGGGAGATAGTCTTTTCGGGGACATATGGTTTGTAATGGGGGTCACTACTGCTTGTGGGAAATCTAGCTACATGGCCTGTTTTCTTGCAAGTCCTGAGGTAAGAATAGTTTTGTGTTTTAAGAGTTATAAGAAAAAAAATTGGCCCATCAAGTGTAAAATGTGTACTACTATCTGAAATTATAAGGGATTTGGTGTTTGGCTTATTCCTATTTACTTAGAGGTTTAATTTGATTTCTTAGAGGTTTTTTGTTTTGTTTTGTTTTTAGGAAGCTTTGGGAGATGTCGTTTACTGTAGTCTGCCTGAAATTGGGACAAAATTGAACAAACAAGGTGAGTGTTTTTCTCATCTTGGATGTTATGATTCATGCCATGATCATCTTTACCTAATAACTTTCATGCACCCAAGATCAATTACAGTGCTTTTTCTCAAGTGAAGGAAAACTTAAAAGTAGATTAGTCAATAGGGATTTATACCTTATACAAGCAGTATGGACATAGGTGAATACAGGATTGGCCAAGTGGCTCAGTGGCTCAGTGAAGGTCATCAAGGACAGCACCTCATTTGGTACTTTTCTGCCTCAGTGTGTCATACACAGGTCACAAAATGGCAGCAAAATCTTACGAGCATCACCTTCTCAAACGAGTGTCGAAAAGAAGGACAGGAGGTCTTTTTTTGTTCTCTTGTATCTCATTAGCCAGATCTGGGTTACATTGGCCATCCCTAACTGTAAGGGATGATGGCAAAGGGAGTAATGAACATGTGTAGATATACAATGGAGGGTAAAAAGTAGAGAGAAATGGCTCTTAGCACCATCACTCCCCACTCCACACACTCATATTGTTGCAGTGTAATATAATTGAGGTCTATTCAGTTTATAAAGTAAAATCTACTTTTCTTTGGAGGCAGTAAGAATATGGGCTTTGAAGGGTCAGAACCTGGTTTTTAAGCCTGGTCCACAACATATCAGCTGTGATTTTGGGAAAAATGCTTAATCTAGGTATCATCTATAAATTAGGATGATAATAATATTACCTACATTGTAGTTGTCAGTATTAAATGAAATTTAGCATAATGTCTGACATAGATTAGTGCTTGATAAATGTTAGCCAGTAGTACCACCTATATTTATTCACGGATTCCTTGACATATGGAAGACAGCCCTACAGAATTTAATTATTTTCTAAGTATCTTTGACAGTATTGGCCATGTCTTCTTACATTTAAACTTTTCCAGCATTTATTTTACTTGAACTTTTTCTGCTTTCTGTCTCTCAATTTCCTGGCTGGTCAAATCCCTCTTTATGAAGGTCTTCCTAGAGATCATTTCTGATGTAAAAAACCTTGTGATTAATGAGCTTTTTTTCCTGTACATCAAAACACCATTCTTGTTTTCTTTTTTAAAATTATATTTTATTGATTATGCTATTACAGTTGTCCTGATTTTTTCTCCTTTGCCTCCTTCCACCCAACAACCCTTACTCCCACAGGCAATCCCACCACCATTGTTCATGTCCATGGGTCATTTGTATGTAAGTTCTTTGTCTACTCCATTTCCTATACTCCACATCCCCATGGCTGTTCTGTAACTACCTATTTGTACTTCTTAATCCCCTCACCTCTTCTCCCATTCTCCCCTTCCCTTCTTCCAACTGGCAATCATGTTGTAACTAACTTCTTTTCTCTTGCTGCTTTTAAGAGTCTGTCTGTCTTTAACCTTTGGCCTTTTAATTATGATGTGCCTTGGAGTGGGCCTCCTTGCATCCATCATAATTGGGACCCTGTGCTTCCCTGGACTTTTATGTCTACTTCCTTCAATTTGGGAAGTTTTCTTTCACTGTTTTTTCAGATAGATTTCCAGTTTCATGCTCTTTCTCTTCTCTTTTTCTTCTGGCACCCCTGTGATGCAAATGTTGGACTTCTTGAAGTCCCAGAGGCTGTTTATACCATCCTCATTTTTTTAAATTATTTTTTCTTCTTGGTATTCTGAGTGGTGGTTTTTTGCTTCCTTGTGTCCCAGATCATTGATTTGTCAGCTTCATCCCCTCCACTGTTGGTTCCCTGTAAATTGTTCTTATTTCAATTAGTGCATCCTTCATTTCTGACTGGGTCTTTTTTATGCTGCTGAGGTCATCACTAAGTTCCTTGAGCATTCTTATAACCAGTGTTTTGAACTCTGCATCTGATAGATTGCTTATCTCCACTTTAGCTCTTTTTCTGAAGTTTTTATGTGTTCTTTCATTTGGGCTGTTTATCTCTTCCTTTTGGCAGCCTCCCTGTGTTTGTTTCTATGTATTGGGTAGAGCTGCTTTGACTCTGTGTCTTGGTAGTGTGGCCTAATGTAGTAGGTGTCCTGTAGGGTCCAGTGGCACAGCATCCCCTATCATCCAAGCTGGGTACTTGAGGAGCACCCTTCGTGTGGGCTCAGTACCTTCTCCTCTTGTAGTTGAGCCTTGGTTGCTGTTGGAAGATCAATGGGAGGGATTTATTCAGGCCAGTCAGCTGCAAGGACTGGCTGGGACCACTGACCACAAGCCTCTACCCTCTGTGGTGAATCAACTGTGCAGGGGCAGGGAGGTGGTGCTCCAGCATGGTCTGTAGCTGTCCACTGGGTGTGTTGGCCCTGGGGTTTCCTGGGTGGTGCAGGCCAAGGTCAGCCCCCACCTGTGTTTTGCCAGGGGCTACCCTGCCTGAGCTGTAAAGCAACCTGAGATGGTTGCTACTTGTGCTAAGCTTGGAGATTCCCAGCTGGAGCCAAACTGTGAATCTACTATGGCTGCTGCTAGGGCTCACTGAAGCCAGCTGTTGTTTGATAGGATGTAGGAGCCAACACCAGCCATTCTTATGAAAAGCAGCTTAGATGCGCCCATAAGTTCGGTGGGGTGGAGCCTCTGTGGATATCCAAGGTCAGTCAAACAGCGAAAGCCCGGTTGAGGGAGTCTCAGATATGGAACCAGCTTGCTGGCTCTGTGGGGGGAGGGTTTAGAAAAGGGATACAGTGACCCCTGCAATAGGTGAAAATCCATGAAGTAGCGGCGTTATATCTATTTTATTATTTATATATATTTTAAGGCTTTATAAACCCTTCTCACACTCCTATAAACCTTTCCCACACTCCTATAAACACTTCATATGCTCTTAAACACTTTCTACACTCTTAAACCTACATAGTTTTAACAACATATAAAATTCTATATGGGTATTTACCAGTGAAGTATACAGTTGTCCCTCACTATATCGCGGTTCACTTATTGCAGCTTCACTGTATCGCGGGTTTTAGAAAACCATGACTTATTGACAAGTCTTGGATATAGCGAAGGATGACTGTAATTGGCCTCTGCTTGCCTTGATGCCAGTGACTTCAGTTTCTCCCTGTGTACTACTGGTGCCTTTAAAACTGCTACCCCGGTGCTGGTGCTCAGAGAGTGTGAGTCTGAGTAGGTGTCTGTGTGTGGGTTCTTTAAGAGGAAATGCTTGGGGCACCAGAAATTTTTTCCACTGACTCAATCCCCACTGGTTTTTGCAGGTAGTTGTGGGGACTTTCTTCCTGGCACTGGAACCCTGGGCTGGGGGACCTGGTGTGGGGCTGGGACTCCTTGCTCCTGAGATATCCCTCCCAAATATTTACCCACATGGGTGTGGGACCAGTCCATTCTGTGTCTGCGCCCCTCCTACCAGTCTGGGTAGATGAGATTTAATTCCATAGTTGTCAGACTTCCCATTCAGCTCAATTTCTGTCATTCCTGAGTGATGGTTGTTTTATATTTTAGTTGTAATATTTGATGTGGCTGTGCGAAGAGGCTAGCCATGTCTGCCTACACTGCCATCTTGTTTGGAAGTCTTGTTTTCTTTCCTCATGTCCTTTTATATACTGTGTACCCACTCTGCTACTCTCAAGCAGGAGATTATAAGTTTCTGAACATCTCTCTTTTTTACTATCTTTATTAAGACCTTTTTTATTTTTTTTTAAGATTTTATTTATTTAGAGAGAAGGGGAAGGAGAAAGAGGGAGAGGAACTTCAATATTTGGTTACTTCTCATGCACTCTGTACTGGGGACCTGGCCCACAACCCAGGCATGTGCCCTGACTGGGAATTGAACCTGTGACCCTTTGGTTTGCAGGCTGGCACTTGATCCACTGAGCCACAACACCCAGAGCTTAAGATGTTCTTTTTAAACAAAAGCTAAAGATAATAATCTCCTTCTAAGCATTATTTTAGCTATATCTCAAATAATTTGGTGTGTTGTATTCTCATCATTCACTTTAGATCACTTGATATTATCCTATAGGTGACTAAAACTGTTAATTTTTGCAGCCTTCAAAAAAAAAATTCTGTTCTTTAGCCCTGGCTGGTGTGGCTTAGTTGGTTGGAGCTTCATCCCATAAGCGAAAAGGTTGTGGGTTTGATCCCCAGTCAGGGCGCACACCTAGGTTGAGAGTTCAGTCTGTGGTCAGGGTGCATACAAGAGGCAACCAATCAATGTTTCTCTCTCCCGTTTCCTCTTTCTCTAAAATCAATAAGCAATCTTTGGGTAAAGATTAAAAAAAAAAAACCCACTGTTTTTTAGATTGGTTAATATCAGATGATCTTTCTTCATGTTCACTGACCCTTTCTTCTACTGTATCCAGTTTGTTGTTAATGCTATCCAGTGAATGTTTTATTTCAGATATTATAGTTTCCAGTTCTAAATGTACATTTTAAAATTTCCATTTATTTTTTAATCTTTATTGTGTTTTTCCTCATTACTATTTTGTCCTCTCATAACCCCCAGCTATCACCACCACTGATGGAATTACCAGAAAACCTTTAGGTAGCTATTATAAATATATTGAAAGACTTTTGCAAAGAAATGGAAATAGATGATAGCTGGGAAGGGAGAGATTAGGGGGTGGGAGGGATTGAGCAAAAAGGAAAAAGGACTCATGGACATAGACAACCCTCATTTTCCAGCCACCGTGGCAGCCCCATACTCCACCCTCTGACCCCTCAAACAAATAAGACTGGTTTTCTATTTGTGTTGTAGTTATACTGTGCTATTTGGGTACAGTGGTGTTATCAGGGTACAAATTGTATGAATGAGCTTGCTCAGTTCGAGTCCCTCTTTTCAAGCATTGACTCCCTGTTAGATCACTCTACAGAGCCTTTTGCATGTGCTCCATCTGGGGTTTATAACTGTTATCTGTAGGAGGTTTGGTCTGAGGTACTTTACTGTTACTGTATCTTCATTTTTCTGAGCCATAGCAAATTGAAAGACGGTTGAATTTCACTGAACTCGAGCACATCTGGTATTGGGATACATCACCATTTGTTCACTCTGTCTAGAAGAGATAGGTCTGCTTTATTGAGGATATTTATATTCTTCTCATGCTAGCTGATAGTAGCATGACAAAACCTACAATTTTATTTGTAATTGAAGATGTTTAGAATTTTATCATGATTGTATTAGAAGTCACTACTTTTCCATATTTTGTATTTTTAAGTCATTAATTTGACATTGAATATTTTCTTTTATTTTCTCAATTTAGATGAGTTTGGTGCTTTGGAAAGTGTGAAAGCTGCTAGTGAACTCTATTCTCCTCTAACAGGAGAAGTAACTGAAATTAATGAAGCTCTTGCAGAAAATCCAGGACTTGTCAACAAATCTTGTTATGAAGATGGTGAGTTGTTAAGAATTTTTAAAAGGATTATTGCTGCAGTTAACATTTAATCTAGAGTTTAAAGCAAGATCTAAGTGTCGCAGGTTCGATTCCCAGTCAGGGTACATGCCTGGGTTGCAGGCCATGACCCCCAGCAACTGCACATTGATGTGTCTGTCTCTCTCTCTCCTTCCCTTCCCTCTCTAAAAATAAATACATAAAATCTTAAAAAAAAAAAAAAAGCAAGATCTAGCTGTTAGTGACTTTGCCTTTTTGAGCTTCTTAGTAGTAGAGATGTTCTGCTTTTTTTTTTTTTTAAGATTGATTGATTGATTTCTTTTTAGAGAGAGGGGGAGAAGCATCAATGTGTGAGAGATACATCGATTGGTTGCCTCTCACACTCCCCCAACTTGCAAACTGGCCTGCTACCCAGGCGTGTGCCCTGAGTAGGAATCTAGCCAGTGACCTTTCAATTTACAGAGAGGTGCTCAATCCACTGAGCCACATCAGCCAGGATGAGCTGTTCTGCTTTTAAAAAGAAAAACACAGACTAGCTGAATATCTAAGGTTATGTTTAAAATCTTTGTTGATAAAAGCATTGCCTATTTTACAGGGTTCTTAGTGTCAAACACTTGTCAAGTATTTATCTTTTCAAACAAAGTATTTATATTATGTGATTCAGGTGGTAATAGAATAATACTTCATTAATTTTCAGTTTTTTCACTTAATTTTTCCAGTAACCCATTGAGGTAGGCTACTAATAATTCTCTCCATTTTGTGGATGAAATGAGGCCCCAGAGGGTTTATCTGTTATGGTCATATATCCAACAAATAGCAAAATTAGGATTAGGTTGTAGTTCTCTGTTGCCTGTCACCTAGCCCTTCTAATTCTAATGTCCGCCACATCAGTAGTTAACAGTGTTGGTGTTCCTCTTGTTAATGAAAGCTATACCTGGTCTTGTACGCTTGGATCCCTGTGTAAAGTCTTCAGTGTCCTCTGTCGATACTTACTACGACCTAAGAGTTGTTAATCTATTATAGCAGAATCTATCTAGTTGTAATGTTTTTAATTGTGATATGCAAGAATATTAATTCGAAGGCTAAAATGTGAAGCTCTTTTAACAAGTAAAGAGTTATATACCATTAGGTAAAGAATACTATATCAATTTTGAGGCAGTAGAAAATTTATTTTAAAACAAGTGTTGGCAAGGATGTGGAGAAAAGGGAATCCTGGTGTACTGTTGGTAGGAAGGCAGATGTGGTATAGCCACCATACAAAACAGTATGGAGGCCCCTCAAAAAGTTAATAGTGAAACTACCTTATGACCCAGCAGTTCTACCTCTGGGTATACATCACTAATTCAAAAGAATATATGCACCCCTACATTCATTATGCATTATTTACAACAGTGAAGATATGGAAGCAACTCAAATGCTTATCCACAGACAAGTAGATTAAAAAAATGGTGGTACATATATACAATGGAATATCACTCAGCCATAAAAATGAATGAAATCTTAATTTGTGACAGCATGGATGACCTAGAGGATATTATGTTAAGTGAAATAAGTCATACAGAGAGAGACAAGTATATCATTTTATTTACATATGGGATCTAAAGAACAAAATAAATGAACAAAAAATAGAAACCAACTGATAGATACAGAAAATAGACTGGTGACTTCCAGAGAGGGTGGTGGTGGTTGGAGAGCTGGGTAAGAAGTGAAGAGAACAAGACGTACTAATTGGTAGTTACAAAATGGTCACAGGTATATAAAGTACAACGTAGGTAATACAGTCAATAATATTGTAATAACTATGTATGGTGCCAGGTGGGTACTTGAAATATTGGGGGAATCACTGTATAAAGTATATGATTGTCTAACCACTATGCTGTACATCTGAAACTAATACAAAATAATATTGAATGTAAACTGTAATTTAAAGTTTTTAAAGTATTTTACATTTTGAGTGAATTTGACTTTCACTCTTTAAAAGGTAATTTGTGATACAAGATTTTTTTACTTTGGTTGCAGGTTGGCTGATCAAGATGACATTGAGTAACCCTTCAGAACTAGATGAACTAATGAGTGAAGAAGCATATGAGAAATACATAAAATCTATTGAGGAGTGAAAAATGGAACTCCCCCTAAATAAAGTAGTATGAAACAACTTAATCTAGCATAGTTGTCTTAAATTAATGGTGAATACAATTTTTAAAATAACAATTTGTATTCATACCATGGAAAAACAAACTACAACAATGCTATTGGAAGAAAATGCCCCTTAACTTTCCAATGATCGAAGATAAACACAATTTGCATCTTTTTTTTACAACACCCTGTGATTTTTAAGATAGGCTACAATTATAATATTCAGAACTCCTAAGATCATCTGTGGTGAAATCTAGTTGTCAAAATTATGTATTTCGAAGATAACATTGTTATCTTAAACCTTATATAATATTGTAACTTTCTTAGATCAGTTTCTGGATTTCGGTCAAAATACTTAATGAGCCTTCCATTGGAAATCATTGGCAGTGGAGATAAGTTTTTGTTAGCGTCAGATGACGAACAAAACTATCTTAGTTTAGCAATATAATAAGTTTGCTGGTGCTATTTTTATACAATGAAGCAGCAGCTTTGTGGGAAAACAAAGTTTAATAAAAAAACATTCAACTTAATTAATCTTGATTTTTTTGTTTTGCTGTTAATATTTAGTGACTCTGCTAGTATTTGTGAAAATGCTAATTTTAACTTATGGAAAGTTTTTTTTTTGTTTTGTTTTTTTTTAATGAAATTAAAGCCATAACATGAAAGTCCAAGTAATGTTTCCTTTTAGTTATAAATGTGGTATTTCTTAAGCAAATATAATTGCTTGGTAGTATTAAGTAATTTTTTTAAAAAGATTTTATTTTTAGAGAGGGCAAGGGAGGGAGACATCAATGTGTGGTTGCCTCTCATGCGCCCTTTACTGGGGACTTGGCCCACAACTCAGACATGTGCCCAGACTGGGAATTGAACCTGTGATCATGCCTTTGGTTTGTAGGCTTGCCTCAATCCAGTGAGCCACACCAGCCAGGGCTGGTCATCTTTAATATCATGAAAAAGAAACCAATGACATTGTTTTTCTATCATGCTAAGTTAGAAAAGAGAAAAACAAGGAAAGGTGAAAGTTTGATCACATGGATGGCATCCTTAAGAAAGTTAAACCACATTCAGGTTTCCACTTAAGTAATGGGAATAGAAGTTAAACTTCATGAGTTCACTCACTTAGGGAATGTGCTTTGTAGTTTAAGTGCTTTGTAGCACTTAAGTGAATGTGCTTTGTAGCATATTTAGAGTGCCAAATGGTATTTTAAGCCAACTGTAGTATGCTAACACTTTGAGGGGAGGTATATATACACAGATTTAAATATATGCACACAGCAAGAGCAGACAAACACCTCCATCATTTTCCTTGTTACTAAAGGAAAAGGAAAATATTCAGATTACTCCCTTCTAATGGTGAATAAGCAGGAAATATGAGAACCTAGAGGTGGTAGATAAATAATATATAAATCTTTCCTGCTCCTCAGCAGAAACCATTCTTTATAAGACTGTGCCAATGGGCGTATCACTGGTGAGCTGTATCTTTGCACCCTTATCAAGAAGGTATCCAACAGCCCTGGCTGATGTGGCTCAGTGGATTGAGCACCAGCTTGCAAACCAATGGGTTACTGGTTCGATTCCTAGCCAGGGCACATGCCTCGGTTGCAGGCCAGGTCCCTGAGAGGGGGTGTGTGAGAGACAACCAGTTGATGTCTCTCTCACACATCAATGTTTCTCCCTCCCCATCTCTCTAAAAATAAGTCTTTAAAAAAAAAGTATCTAAGATATCTGGGATAATTATCTGCTTGTTCTTGTAATTATTATTCAAATTAACTAATTTGACTACCTGCTTTAGAAATAAAGAGGGATTAGTAATGACATAGTCATTATTACATAATAATAATTACATAGATTTACTCTTTTGTTTTAAAGGTACTCTCATATATTACCTTTTCTGATGTTCACAATAACCAGAGCTAGACAGGACATATCCAAGGCTACCACCATTTCACAGATAAGGTGGTAGAGGATAAGAGGTTGTTAAAAAGCCTGGCAGTCACAGAATTTTCACATTTTTAAAAAAATCTCATTTCAATCATTGTTCAAATGCAGTTTTCTCCCTTTTAAAATTTTCACATTTTTAAAAAAGATTTTATTTATTTATTTTTAGAGAGGGAAGGGAGGGAGATAGAAACATCAATGTATGGTTGACTGAGAATCAAACCTGCGACACTTTGGTTCGCAGCCTGTGCTCAATCCACTGAGTTACGCCAGCCAGGGCTAGAATTTTCACATTTCCTGGTGCACTCTTCATCAGTTATTTAGCAAATGTTACTGAAAAAAAATTTAAATGGGAATTAGAGCGGGAAAGGATGAGTGTTCTAAAGATGGGAAGCAGAAATGGCCTTTCTAAAGTGAAAGTCCATCAGTGATTGAGTCTAAAACAGATGGGCAGTTTTTCTATCATTCTTCCTCGGAGACAGACTTGCTTGGTCTGTTGCACCCACTCTGGGGTTTTTCAAAGAGCAGAATATTGTGAATGAACTTGCTCTTTCACAATTTAGAATACAGAGCCAATTCAACCCTCATTTCTATTATACTGCTGCCAAAAAAATAGGTGTTGAATGGGGACTAAACTGACAGTTCAATTTCTTACGAGTTCATATTCCTTGTGAATGGTTTTGGTCTTAATAGAGTAGCTTAATAAAGGTTTTGAATATGATTTCAACTTCAAAAAATGGAACAGGTTACTCTGGAAGTGTTAAAAGGATTTCTTAATACCACCTCAAAAAATTTTTTTATCATTCCCCAGATAGCTGACTGTTGACAGTATGTTCCATGAGCACAAACCACTAGAGGGCTCTCTGCATAGGCATGTCAGTGTGAAAAGGAGGCTAGTCAACGCATCTAGTAAGAATTTTTGAATGTTTCTGAATTTCCCCTGTTTTTCTGGGGCTGCTAAAATGTACCACCTACCTTCAGTTTAAAAAATCATGCTAACTATAACTGTGCCCTCATTATTGCTTCACAATCTTACTTCAGACCTAATCACATATTTGCCTTTCTCAGAGAGGGCTCCCACTTTACATCAAGATAAAATCTCTGCTGCAAGGTTTTACTACTGACCACCTACCCGTTATCAGTCTTTTTGCTTTTTCTGTACACCTCCTGATCCCATCTTTCTGTTTTGGAAACATCCCTTTGCCAACTCTGAGATATTGTATCAGAACTACCAATAATCTTGCTTCAAACACACTTGTTCCTTAATGTTTCTGCTCAAGCTATCAGGGCGTTTACCTGCTAGACTTCAGCAGTGATTACTAGTGCACTTAAAACATGCAGGCCCAGTTAGTGTGAAGGAAATTAGTTACCAGATTTTCCAACTGCCACATGCACAATATTTAAGAGAATGTACTTTCCGTCAAGAAGTTTAATACTTAGTAAATCTTAGTTAAGACTGTGGTATGCTTCCCAGAAAGCTACAAAGCTACAACGAAGTAGCTCTAATGACTGGATAACAAATTCTGCTAGTCACATGGTTCCAGATTTTCTGTTTTCAACAGAACTGAAGGAGGATGGAAGCAAACTGTCAACTGCTCATTAATTTTTTTGTTGATCATTACGGGATTTCTGGTGTGGACAGTGGTTTAAAAGAAGAGACTGCTTTTAACAAAATCCCTCTCATGTGCATCTTCATATGGACAAGGTATCTCAGCTTCCATCTATGAAAAAACTGGACTCAAACTAGGGTTGAATTTTTCTCATTCTAATAATAGTATTTACCCACAGATAGATGGAGCATATTCTTAATGTTCACCGACTGAGTGGGAATAAAGGTAATTCTCAATCTGGAAAGATGAACTGTTTTAGCCTTACAGTCTTAAGATAATTTTTAAATTTAACTTTCAAGTTAAACATTTTTGTTGCACAGAGAAATGACAGAGTATTTAATAAAAGTCCCTGACCATAAATATGTTAGAATAAAATTCTGTGGAAGAAGCAGAGTAAGAGTACAATTATCAATTTAAGGAGAAAAAGCAAAAGAAAAACTTCCATTTTTTAGTTTATTCATGTATTTTATTTTTTAAAGATTTTATTTATTTATTTTTAGAGAGAGGGGAAGGGAAGGAGAAAGAGGGAGAGAAAGATCAGTGTGTGGTTGCCTCTCACATACCCCCAACTGAGGACCTGGCCTGCAACCCAGGCATGTGCTGAGACTGGGAATGGAACCAGCGACCCTTTGGTTCTCAGGCCAGCACTCAATCTGCTGAGCCACACCAGCCAGGGCTTATTCATGTATTTTTAAATATATATCGATGAGTGTCAAATTGCCACTAAATTTAGGTTTTTTTCAATACTTTTAAGAATAACTTTAACATTTTAAATGCCAACATTTATGCTACTCTGGATATTACATCCTTGGCTATTATGTAGATTTAGGATTAAAAGTTTAAGTTTCAATAGCAAAAAATGCAATGGGGTATGCAGTTTTGTGTACAATTCTTTTTAGTACCATTCCTTTCAGGCTGTGAAAGCCAAATCATCCAAATATATATATTTTAGGTAAAGAAATATACCTAAAAAAGTAGTCATGTTTTACAAAAGTACTCTGTTCTAAAAGTATTAGAATGTAATATTCTAAGACATTATATAAAATAATCTTTGCATGGACTTTAAAGCCTTTCTAATTATGTTCTGTAAGAAGGCAGTAATACCTATCTTTCCAAATGCCTTTTAGTCAGTGATATAAAGGACTTATATTCTAATATTTTTCTACAACAGAAAATATTCATACTTCTAAAACCAAAAAGCAGAAAGGCTTTGGAATCAGACCTGAGTTGGGTCCAGGCTCTACCATCTAATGCCTAGGCATAGGTTCCCACCCCTGGCTGCACCTCTGGGTGCTCAATAGTTCCTCAGTTCATTTAAGGTCACAAGGCTACTTTTCTTCATTAAAAATGAAACAAAACTCCAGCGCCCACTTCACAGAGTTAAACTGTTAGTTGGCATTGCCAGTGGATTCAAAGCAGTACTGTCCAGTCACATGAGCCAGGCACCGGGAAGTTGAAGACCAATGGATACTACTAAGTTTTTGGCATGCATCCCCTTACAAGTCGTTCTCATGGGGAGGGGAAATTCAGTCAGCTGGCAAAGCTGGGGACATTTTGGTTTGTCACCTCGTGGATGGAGGCCAGGGATGCTGCTAACCATCCTGCAGTGCACACGGCGGCCCCACTTCAGAAAAATTCGGCCCTAGAACGAGAGTCGCTGTGGAGAGGCCCCGGGTGTCTGAGGGGAAGCCAGTCCACAGGGCCATCGCTTTCTAACTCGAGGACCCCGCGGGCATCCAGCCCCCGGTCAACTCCCGTAATTGGTGCTTAAACCTACGCGTTACCTCACAACACCGCCGCACGCGCTCGCAGCCGGCCGGAGCATCCCCACGCACGGCGGAAGGTCTACGCCCGCATAAAGGACCAGGGCAGCGAGTGCCCATTTCGTCAACCAGCGCCGCCTCCCGCGCTCAGGTTTGTGGCGCAAGGCGGGACTACCTCACTTCCGCTGTAAACACCTGCGGGCCCACCCACCGTCCCCGCCTCCAGTGCGTCGTAACCCAGGGCAACTGTCGCCCTCGTCCGGCGCCGGCGAAGACTAAATTGCCTTGGCTTTCCACCTGGAGACTCCAAGTGAGGGTGTGAGTCGTGGCGGCCGCTTCCCAGTCCCCGGAACGAGGCCCAACGCCACTCCACGGGCGGCAGAGGCGGAGGACCTGCCCAACGAGAGGAAGGTGCCCTCCTAGGCGGGGAGGCAAAAGGGACAGGAGGTAGGAAGACAAGCGGGATTGAGGGCGGGGCCTGGAGAGTAGCAGCACGGAGTGGGTGGGGTAGTGGGAGGGGCTGTTGAAAGGGCGGAACCCTGCGGGGGAGAGGCCAATCATGGAACCGGTGGGGCTTGGTGAGGCAAGTAGGGATATTTTGCTGGAGGGGTTAGCTCTTGAAGGTAGAGAAGGCATCTTTTGTGCCTAGGTAAGAACTGCTGGAGGAAGGGGAGGAGGTAGATGAGGAAGAAGGAAGGATCACCGAAGAAGGAGAAGAACCTGTAGGGCAGGGAGGAACTATTAAACTTTAATACTTTAATAGTTGAATGTGTTAAAGGAAAGGGAAGAGACAAGTATGAAGTGCCTAAGTTCCTAGGCCCTAGGAAAGGCAGGTTGGGGTGTGTGTTTGATGACTTGTATTTTCACGTAGACTGTAAACTGTATGAGAGCTGGAAGACAGGCGTTGCTTCACTGTTTTATTCCCAGTGCTAGGCAGCCAAAAGAATGAGTGAATGCAAGTAAGTGGAAAAAGTGGAAGAGTTAGAGTGCCTGGAATAGAAATGGTCTGATTGGAGGAGGAATGGCTGTAGGAGCCACACTCCTAGGAGTCACTCAATGAACAGTCAAAGCTGCTGTGTTCTGTGGGCACATAATAAGGATAAGGCACAGATAATAAACATGGGGAGATAAGATTTATACTTTTGAAAATGTGAACAGTTTGCTCAAGTTGGATGGCACATGTGCTTAACTTGGAGGCAAAGTTTCAACTCCCTGTTGACTTGTGTTCCAAACCTGTGAATTAGATTGAAGTCCTAATGTCATTTTCCTTTAGAAACTATGTTACTAGTGATCAGCTTGCCCAGGCCAATCTTTAAGACCTATTTAACCAGTTTATAGGTGTGAAGCTTAGCTCTGTATTACAAAACGTAGCTCCCACCATGGCTGTTTTTGTTCACTGATATCTTCAACACATAATGATAAGGGTCCCTAGGAACATGCATTCAGAATTCCAAGTGAGGCTGCCAGAAACCCGTCTTTCCCTGGCTGAAATTCTTTAAACGTGAAACTTCCAGGTAGATGGGGGTAGGTGTGGTGATATGGTGTAGAGTCAAGGAAGCGGTAAGGCATTTTGAGGTATTATAACCTGCTTTTGACTTAAACATCATGGGCTTTTTGTTTCTCTTGGCCATCAATATTACCCCCGCTGGTGATTAATTAGGAATGTGTTAACCAGGTGTAGGAATCTAGGGTAAGACATCTGTAGATAGGCAATGACAAATATGTGAAAAATGTGCTACCAACTTCATTATTTGTTCCCTGACAGACATCATTAATCCAATCACAGAACTCTTTCCTGTTGTAGCCAAGTCTTAAGATCCTTTTCAACACAACACACTAGGTAGCAACTACTTGTTTGCAACTGACAATTTGGAACATATTTTTCATCCCTAATGTAGATAATAAATGTAAAAAAAATATTAGACAACAATGTAAATGTAAATTTCTTAACTCTGGGTAATATTCCTTTTTGTTTTCAGTGGGATTATCTAAATAGATGGATCAGGAATCCCATAGATGAAATTTAGAAATGTAGGCCAGATAATTGTATAGTAAGGTTGTATAATTAGTAAACACCCAAGTATCAGGGATACCCACAGGACATTTGTCGTTTATCCTCCCCTCGCCAGCATTTATATTAGAGATTTAGATTAAATTACAGAAGGAATGTCCATTGCATTAATAGAGTCTTAAATTGAGAATGGGAAGAAATGATTAAAAATTATCTAAGAAGGTTGGGATGATGGTCCAAAACCATGAAAAGGATGTTTTAAAAGAATCTATATACATTCGGATGTCTACATTTAGCTGAAGAAAAGAAGAAAAAAATTAAAAGGAAAACAACAGCATGGGTATGGAATTGAGAAGACAGGAATTATTAACATTTCATGTGAAAGAAATCTGGAAGTTCCAGTTGACCTCAAGCTCAGTGTTAATCAAGATTGAGATATAGGGTTAAAAAAATAGCAATCTTTGTTGAATGAATAGTGTAGATTTCAGATCAGAGGGAGTCAGATTTCAAAATAAGCACATTTAACCAGATCAAATTTGAAGTATTGACCTAATTTTCGGGTACTACATTTTAAAGACATTGAGAAGTAACTGTACATTCTTAAGATGAGGGAATTTGAGATTCTTGTCTGAAGAAATGATAGCTGTCTTCAGATATTTTGAGGGCTGTCATGTGTTGCTTTGGGAGGAACACCAGGAGAACTGAGAAGAAACATTTGAAGGCTTGCAGATGTCTTGATTTGAGAACATTCCAATTTTAAAGTTGCCACTGGAATGGAAAAATAGTTTGTAAAATAATGAGCTCTGTTATTAAAATTAAGCATGTCTAAGAACAGTGCCTAACCTCAGGTCATGAAGATTTTCTATGTTTTCCTTTAAAAGTTATATAGCTTTATGACTTTTATTTAGATCTGTGATCCATTTTGAATTAAAAAAATTTTTTGGACTTCCGGCCAAAGTGGAGGTGTAGGTAGACACACTTTGCCTCCTTGCATAACCAAAAGAAGGACAACGACAATTTAAAATAAAAAAAAAACAACCAGAACTGACAGAAAATCAAACTGCATGGAAGTCCAACAACCAAGGAGTTAAAGAAGAAACATTCACCCAGACCAGTAGGAAGGGTGGAGGTGAGCACCTGGGAAGAGAGGACTCGAGGCAAGGTGGTGGCTGGCAGACCTAGCAAGCTGGCGGATTGTGGTGCAGGGTGAGCAAGCCTGGCTGGCAAGGTGGTGGATTGCGGACCGGGTGGTCCCACATTTGCACACAGATAAACCAGGAGAAACAACTGGGGAACGGGATGGACTGTGCAACCCAGGGTTCCAGCACGGGGGAAATAAAGACTCAAACCACTGATTGAAAACACTTGTGGGGGTTGAGGCGGCAGCAGGAGAAACTCCCGGCCTCATAGGACAGTTTGTTGGAGAGACTACAGGGTATTAGAACGTACACAAACCCACCCACCCGGGAATCAGCACCAGAAAGGCCCACTTTGCTTGTGGGAAGCAGGGGAAGTGACTGAAATCCTGCAGACAGCAGAGCAAGCACCATTATTCCCTCTCGGACCCCGCCCCCACATACAGCGTCACAACCCAGTGATGTGATTACCCCGCCCTGGTAAACACCTAAGGCTCCGCCCCTCACTACATAACTGGAGTATCAAGAAAAAAAAAACCCAAACGAAAGAACAGATCAAAGCTCCAGAAGAAACACAAAAGCGACAAAGAGATACTGACCTATCAGATGCACAGTTCAAAACACTGATAATCAGGATGCTCACAAAATTTTTAGATAAAAAAATTGAAGGCTATGCTAAGTTAAAGGAAAATGTATAGGGAACCAATAGTGATGGGAAGGAAACTGGGACTCAAATCAATGGTGTGGACCAGAAGGAAGAAAGAAACATTCAACCAGAAAAAAAATGAAGAAACAAGAATTCAAAAAAATGAGGAGAGGCTTAGGAACCTCCAGGACATCTTTAAACTTTCCAACATCTGAATTATAGGGGTACCAGAAGGAGAAGAAGAGCAACGAGTGGAAAAGTTATTTGAACAAATAATAATGGAGAACTTCCCCTATCTGGCACAGGAAATAGACTTCCAGGAAGTCCAGGAAGCTCAGAGAGTCCCAAAGAAGTTGGATCCAAGGAGGAACACACCAAGGCACATCATAGTTACATTACCCAAGATTAAAATGAAGGAGAGAATCCTAGAAGCAGCAAGAGATAAGGAGACAGTTACCTACAAAGGAGTTCCCATAAGACTGTCAGCTGATTTCTCAAAAGAGACCTTCCAGGCAAGAAGGGGCTGGAAAGAAGTATTCCAAGTCATGAAATGCAAGGACCTACATCCCAGATGACTCTATCTAGCAAAGCTTTCATTTAGAATGGAAGGGAAGATTAAGTGCTTCTCAGATAAGGTCAAGTTAAAGGAGTTCATCATCACCAAGCCCTTATTATATGAAACATTAAAGGGATTTATCTAAGAAAAAGAATATAAAAAATATGAACAGTAAAATGACAGCAAACTCACAATTATCAACAACCACACCTAAAACAAAAGCAAAGTAAGCAAACAACTAGAACAGGAACAGAACCACAGAAATGGAGATCACATGGAGGGTTAGCAACAGGGGAGTGGGAGGAGGAGAGAGGGGGAAAAGGTACAGAGAATAAGTATCATAGATAGTAGATAGAAAATTGACAGGGGGAGGGTAAGAATAGTATGGGAAATGTAGAAGCCAAAGAACTTATATGTACAAGCCAGGGACATGAACTAAAGGGGGGGAATATGGATGGGAGAGGGTGTGCAGGGCAGAGGGGAATGAAGGGGGGGGAAATGGGACAACTGTAATAGAATAATCAAATATATTTAAACAATTTTTTTTTTGCATATGCGTGGCCACTGGTTACCACACTATAGTTGAAAAGACTATCCTTTATTCATTTAATTAATTTTGCATTTTGTCAGAAATCAATTGGCCATGTTCGTGTGGGTATACTTCTGGACTCCCTGTTCTGGCTCATTGATCTATGTGTCTTTTCTATTCACTATTGTCATACTGATAGCTTTCCCTATGGCTTCATGGTGACTTTTAAAATTGGGTAGTGTGATTCCTCCACCTTATACTTAGTTTTAATCATTCTTATAGTCATTATAGTTCCTTTGTATTTCCTAATAAATTTTAAAGTCAGCCGGGCAAGATTGATAAGAAATCCTGCACTAGATTCATATCTTGATATTCAATAGTTACACCTCCAACTTCTTTAAGATTATCTGTTCTTAGGCCTTTATATTTTCATACACATTTTAGAATCCAAAGAAAGGAATAAGTTGTAAGAAAAGAATTTTCTTGTTATAAGCACATAGTCTTATGTTCTGAAGAGCTAGGACTTCCCGTTTCCAGAGGCCCTGGACTCTTTTCAAGAACTGAACATGCCCTCATTTTAGGTAGTGACATTCTTAGCACATAAAGACCCTCTGCTTTGTATGTCACATCAGATAATACCACGCTAGTGCGATACCAAGATATTACTACTGGTCACCAAAATCTGGCTTCCTTTTCCTTCTGGAGATTTAGGAGGAAGTATAATCCCCACTTCTCCTTAAAGTTAGGCAATACCTTGTGACTTGTTCCGGCGATTGACATGGGGACTGAAGTCATATGTTACTTCCAGGCAGAAGCATCTAAGAGTCAGTGTGTGATTCCCCATGTTGGTTATTACAGTTTGCCATGGTTTTCCATTATGGTGTCTCCATTAGTTCAATTCCAGAGTGAGGATAATGTGGAGCAGGGTCTGTAGTATCGCTCAATAGACATGTAGCATGTGTTAGAAATAAACTTTTGTTGTTTTTTATCACTGGGGGGAAAATTAGGAGTGCGTATTATTGCAGCATTGCCTTGCCTATCTACACCAATAGTAGGTAGCTCAGGTTCAGACAGTGACCATGCCAAACTGAAGTGTACTCTGGGAAGGCTGTCGGGGCAACCTTTTCCAAAAAGAACCTGACAGATTGAGCCTTATCTGGGACACACTCAAAACAAAACAAGCCAAAAAAAATCCCAACATTCAGTGTTTTATGGAGATTTAAAAAATCAATTTCTAACTTTACTTTCATTAAAATGATAAAATAACCACTTATCACCTTCTTGATCAAAGAAATTTAAAAAAATACAAAGTCCCTTTCTGTACTAATATGACATCCTTCTGTCTGTCTCTTTTTGTGTCTTCTGCTGTCCTTAGTTTCTCTTCAGCTACTAGCCTTTTGGAAATTTATGTTCTTGGCCAGGTGGTCTCTATTTCACATAGCTTTTTCTTTGGTCAACATGATTTATTTGCAAATAGTAAATATGGTCATTGTTTTCAGTTTACATTGATTTCAGCCCCTCCCACCTCATTTTAACTTTTATTGGACCTCAGTCAACATTTTCTTCTTTGGTTTGAGTCACGTTAATAGCATATGTCACAGAGTTTAAGACCTTCTGGACTACATGTATGTGCCTTCCTGCCTTGTACTCCAAATCCGATTTTCTAGTTACATCTGCAAATGCATTTTCCCATGGTAGCATTTTCACTATGATACTTGTGTTTTCTTAATGTTATTTTCTTGGAAAACATTTGTAAGGATTTTGATTTATGCTTTATACCAGTGATTCTCAAACAGAATCAGGTCGTAAAGCTTGCTGGGCTTCAAGAAGTGGAATAGCATGAGCTCTTGATTTACTGCAAATCTGTAAAGTAGGCATAATTTTACCATCAGAAAGTACAAGTATTATATCAGTGCAGATTTCTGCATTCCAACAGAAAAGTAAAACTATAATTTGTAAGTCACATATCTACTCTTTTAGTTCATCTTTGATTGCTTCTTGTACATTTCTGTTTGTCATCTCTTAAAAGAGATAGAAGACAAGAAAAGCTAGAAGGCAATAAATCTTGAAATCACATTTATAGGAGGAAAACTTAAAATTAAGACTATGCTTCCCACTAACTGATTTTTTTTTTCTCATTAGGAAAAGACCACCAATATTCTGTCTTAGTCGTGGAGCATCTTGATCAGTCTGGTGTGAAGAACACCAGGGTCCTGGAGGAGCACCTAGCAGTCCGGTATGCAGGAATCCAGCCATTTGACTAAGAATAATATGCTTACTGATGCAGAAGTGATTCTTAGTTTTTAGTCATAAGGAGTCGATATAGTTCCCATGACACCCCATTAAATGAGTCAAGTACTTATAAAATGTGTTTATAACTAATATGTAAAGCTCTTCTAATAATGTTTGGCAAATAGTGGGAGCTATGTAACAGTAAGTTTTATTATGAAGTTATTATTGTAACCTTGACTTCTTTTGGCACTTTGTAATATAATGTGACTGGAACCTCTTCTGGTGCCCTCACTGGGTGCAATTCTACTGACTCCAAAATAGGGCTTACTCAATATTGTGTCCTTGGCCTCTGCTCTTGCTCTCTCTAGATATACAGAGATATACAGCTCCAGTCATCCACTAAGATTTCACATATTCTCATGGCATATAAGAAACAGCTGAAGGAAGGCACTGGAGATGGTCAGTCTAAAAGGGAGAAGAGTATATGGAACTTTTTCATAGGGCTGTTGGGAGGCTGAGGCACTGGGCCATCTCTGAGTCAATGATTCTTCAGCCTTTTGTAGTGACAGACTGCGCTGTGACTCTGATGTAGGCCCTTCCCTGAAAAATCATTGACCATCTTCAGAGGCATCATAGACTTTCTTAAGCCCACTCCAGTATGGGAAGGCTTCTCATCACACAGCCTTGCTCTGGAGGGCAAAACGAGGCTCAGGAAGTGGACGATGTTGATGGGGCAGGAAAAGCAGTCTTGGTTCAGTAAAAGGAAGAACTTTCCAACAGAGCAGTAGTTCTCCAACTTTGCTGGATTTTAGAATCATCTGGGTGATTTTAAAAATCCTTATGGCCGGGATGTGCCCCTACCAATTATAATCAGAATCTCTGTGGGTGGGGTCTGGATATTTTCATTTTTTTATAAAGCTCCTCGGATGATTCCAAAGTGCAGCCAAGTTTGAGAACCAGGTAATTAGAGCATTAAATTACTTTGCCATTTGAGCAGCCTCTCTAAGCAGTCTTGTCAATGGAGATACTTTAAGCAAAAAAGCTTTTCTTATTGATTCAAACATTCTAGAGCCACTTAGCCTTTCCTGAACATTATCTATTTCTTTGTTATAATAACCTCAAGTTTAAGGTTATTTATTATTTAATAAGTGGCTTCACTTTTGATTCTCTGCTTTTCCCCTTTCGACCTGTATGTTTATTAGGTCTGTGGAGTTCTGTGGTATAAATGTATTTGTAATTCAGAAAAGAACAAGGTCAGAGTGTATTTATAGGAGCTTTTTTTTGGCCTGGAGAGTGACTTTTCACACACATTTGCTGCAGTTCTTTTGGCCCGGAAGTGAAATTTCATAATATGAGAGGCCAGGCTGATTTGCATAATCTGCCACATCCTTGATCATCTGTTTGTAAATAAAATAACACTCTCAGTTTTTAGTCACTTATGATGTAAGTTTTTCTTTTCAGACCTCATTAATTTCCTCTGATGTCATATTGGAAAAGATCAGGATATCCAAAGATATTTAACCTTCCATAGGTAAATGGAACTTTATTACGATCAAAATATCACTTTAAACCTAAATGAAAAAGCTGAATTGGTAATTGATCAGATACCATTATAAGAAGTTACTTATCTCTGCCTCAGCAGAAAATCACAAGTGTGAGTGTCCAGCAGGGGCCGTGTCGGGGTGTGAGAAAGCAAGCTGTGTGGTCACCAGTGAACCTCTGTCTCATTACAAGTAAGGACTTCCTCAAGGAGGCACTGACTGTTCATCAGCACTCAGCTGGGTCACTGGTGGTCACTGCTTAGGCATTAGAGTCATCTGTGCAGCTCCTGGGGTCCCCAGGAGGACCATCTGTCTGTGGGAAGGTATTATAATCATGCCCTTTTATGTATGAGCGCACGAGAAAGGTCACTCATCTAAGCCTCACACAACTAATAAATAGGATTGGAACCCTGGCTGTTTGGTACTTGAGGTTGTGCTCATAATCAGGATTATAAATTTTCTAACTTTTTGGCTGGATTATAAATGCCAAGTCCCATGTTTTGACTTGGAAAAGCATCAGTTAAGGATAGATATAAAAGTTTCTGTCATCGTCACCGTCACCACCACCACTACTGTCACCATCCCCTACTGTGTTAGTTTCCTAGGGCTACAAAGGACCACAGACTGGGTGGCTTAAACAACAGAAATCTATTATCTCACAGTTCCAGAGGCTCAGTGTCCAAAATCGAGATGTCAGCAGGGCTGATTCCTTCTGAAGACAGTGAGGGAAGGGTCTGTTCCAGGCTTCTTGCCTTTGCTTATATATGGGCATCTTTTTTCTGTGTCTCTTCATATCATATTCCCTCTATGCATGCTTGTGTCCAAATTTCCCCTTTTAAGAAGGACACCAATCATATATGGTGGATTGGGGTGAACCGATTGACTGAGCTTAGACCACATGGTCTACCAGTTTCCTCAGAAGTCTAAGGGTCGCCAAGCTGATATCCAGAGTTGGGAAAGAAAAGAAGAGGCTGGGGTGCCTAAATCACACATGCCCACTGCAGTTCCTTTGTTATTAGCACAATATCATTTGGACATTTTTGGAGTGGAGGGTAGGGATGCTTCAACCTACATTGCTTACTGCTGTCTGTACTCCATCATGGGAATAGAGTCTGAATTAATATCTTCCTCTCCTCTTTTCATCACTTCCAACTTTGGTCTTTAATCATATCCATTAGTCTTTAATTAAAATTAGATTTATCTTTTATAATGACAATAGTTGGCAGTGGATGGTTTTGCAGTATTTCTTCTGAGTCAATTCCTGAATGTGTTAAAGATACTTCACCCAAGTTATTCTTTTTTTTTAAGTCAGTATTAAAAAAACTGAGTTCAGTTTTTCAAACTACAGGAAGAAGATGTTAAAAACTTTAAACAACCATCAGAATAATAACAATAATGGATCTCTGTCAGAAAAATGAGACTGAGATAGAAAATAGTGAAAATAATGAAATTCAAAACATAGAAGAAACAGAATTAACCTATACTTGTCCAGATGGAAGAAGGGAAAAGAATCATGTTTGTTGTCTTCTCAATATCAGTGACATTACGTTTGAACAAGATGAAAAAGCCCGCAAGTTTGTTATCGGAACTGGATGGGAGGAGGCAGTGAGTATCTTCTTGAGTTGGGTCTCTTGCACATCAGTGTTTTGATACAAGCCTTTTTACTTTTTTCAAAAATAGTTACTATTACCAAAAAGCATGTAAACAATGAAATATAGAAACCTTTGGAACACAAGTAAAATATTAATGATGAGGATAGCAGTACCTCTTAGTGAGTATTTATGGCCGCTTGGTATCAGCAAGCACAGTACTAAATGCTTTGTGTGCAACACTTCATTCAACCTCACAATAGTCCTATGCGGCAGGTGTTATGAACAGCCACACTTTTTGGACAGGGATACTGAGGCACCCAGAGGGTAAAATAGTGCAGTGAAGATCACCCTGCCAAGGGCCAAGGTCTTCTGGACTCCAGAACTTAACACCTTAACTACTGTATTAAACTGCCCAAGAAACCTGAGATTTCTGTCCTGTGGTTCTATTCAGAATCCTGTTTAATCTTAAATTGTCCTTAGAATCAAGAATGCAATCCTAAATTTAGAACTATAAGGAAATTTAATCTAAAGTTTCTCAGGTGACACTTGGCAATGTCACAACAGGGGATGCGAGGGAGGAAGTGCTACCGGCATCCAATGGGTTGAGGCCAGGAATGCTGTTCCACATCGTACAATGTCCAGGACAGTGCCCATCACTAGGAATACTCCCTATCAGAGTTCAGGAATACCATACACAGGGTGGTTTAAGCAACAGACAGTTATTTCTCACAGTTCTAGAGGGTGGAAGTCCAAGATGAGGGTGCCAGCACCAGCATGGTTGGGTTCTTGGTGAGGGCCCTCTTCCTGATTATGCCCTTATATGGCCTTCTTTGTGGTGTACAAGCAGAGAGACAGAGAGAGAGATTGAGGTCCCATGACTCTGACTCCTTCTTTTCTTATGACATTGATCCCATCCTGAGGGCCCTGCCCTCTTGACCTCCTCTAATCTCAACTACCTCAAATGCCCCATCTCCAGATACCATATCACACTGGGGATTAGGGCTTCAGCCTAGGAATTTTGGAGGGACACAAACACAGTCCATAACAAGTCCCAAATATTGGTAGTGCCAAAGTTGAGAAACCTCCGTCTACTTGGTTTATTTTATAAATGTGGAAACTGAGGCCAAGACAAGGCCCAGTGGTTCGCCCAGTGGTTCATCCAGGTGCACTTGACAGTTGAAAGAATCACGTCTTCAAGAGCCCTTCTCGAGTACTCTCTGTCCTGTATCACCCCACTGCCACCCTAAGCATTTATGACCTTCCAAACACATACTCCCATGCGTGATAAGTCAGGGCTATAGGCTGTCCTATTTAAGATTTTAAAACTTTCTAAATTGAGAAGGTTCCGTTTACTACTGAAAGTAACTACTTTGAAATATACATCTAAGGGCTGTTGGCATAGACCTACCTTTGCTTATCTTCTCTCCCTCTAGCCCCTCCATGCGGCAGTCTCCCTGCTAGTGGTAAACCAAGCCTGGTACAGCAAAGCCTGGTGCAGGGGACAAGGACAAATAGTTTTGAATTTATTTTTATTTAATAATTCCAAATTTATTTTAATGTACATCTGAAAAACATAGCATGTCAAGATGGCCATTTACAGATACAATTGCTTAGTATTTTACAAATCCTATTGCTAGTATTTCAGATTTTAAAATACTATTGCTTAATATGAGGCCAAAATAGGTATTTAAAATATCAATTCAAATAGGATAGCCAAAATGGGGATGTGGCCAAAATTGGGGTGGCTAGAATGTGGGCAGCTCAGCTGAGATTAACACACTGCTTTTTGCAGGTTCAAGGCTGGGGAAGGATTTCTCCAACTGCCTGCATCTGGCCCAGGAAGAAGCTTAAAAAGGCGAAGGTGGGAGCAAGTGCCAACAGCTGCTTAGTCTGTGTCAGTCTCTCCCAAGGGATCCCTGAGACCAAGCCTCAGTCCGAGGCTGGGAAGTTGGAGTCCAGGGCTCCAGCTGAGGCAGACCCAGAGAGGGATCAAGGCTGCCCCTCCCAGACTCAGAGCCAGGAGCACAAAGACCCCACCACCACCTCCAGGGAGAGTGGCAAGATGTGTTTTCCCTCCTGCAATCAGGGAGAGAAAAAAAATCTGCAAATAAAAGAGTTTATTTGGTGCATGGAAAAGTGGGCCACGCCAGAGACTGTTAGGGCCAAAGGCCCCAGCGGACGTGCCGACAGGGGTCATTCTATCTCAGACTCATGGACTTCCAAGGGCCTTTTAATTCTGCCTCCTCTGAAGGCTTCAGCCCCAACTGGCTTGGGTGTTCTGGGTAAGAAGAGTAAGAACTTTCTCTTGCAACCAGAAGAGAAGGTGCTGCGTGTAGACAAGGATGAGTGTGTGGCTTGTGCATGTGAATTGAAAACAGTTGGCAGGAAAAATGGAAAGAGACCCATTGAGCTGGCCAAGCCCCTTAAGGTCAACTGCAGGCAGCCTTTTCCTCCCGCAGTGGTTGGGACACCCCTAGTGGCCAATCTGGAGAGGGGCTGCCTGCACTGGTCCATCCTGCCTGAGAAAAACCTGCTGTGCCCTCCCCATTGCAACAATGTTTGCTGTCTCACTACCAGGCAGCTTTTGCAGAGAGAGGGAGCGCAAAACTACAAAGCCAAATTCAAAACTAGGGAGCCGAGACCTCCCGTGAACACTCAAAAGTGCGTTCCCAAGGAGGCCAAGCAGGAAAACAGGCACCAAACTTTGGAGACCAATGTGTTCCCAAGACCTCTCTTGCCATCTCTCACAGTGAGCAGAGTTGTTATTCCTGTATCCACTCACAGATTCCTCTGAATTGCCACAATATAATTCCCTGGGCATAAGTACCTTTGAAGCCCGTTCATCCTCTTTCTCTTCTGCCCCTACCCCCTTCTCTTTTCTTCCTTTCCCACATCTCCCCTCCCCTTCTCTTTTCTCATTCCTTTTCCCCTCTTCTTCCTCCCCATCTTTGTCCTTTTTTTTGTAGTAGAACCAGAGGAAATAAACTCATTGTATGGGTTTTTGATTTATTCTCAAAACACCCATATTTATGTGTTACCTGCTTCAGTAGCTCAGGTATTTACAAAATGCAAACTGGTAATGCCGGTCTCAGCCTCTGCCCGCCTTACAGCTCCTCTTCCACCGAAAGCCAAGTGGATGGTGGGGAATCTGAAAAGGGCGTCTATTGGTGATGCCCCCGTGCATCCTTGAGTCCACTGGAAAGGGCTCTTTCTGCCCCACCCCAGTGCCTTCAGCTAAGTGTACTGGGCCTGTTTGGATGAAGTTATTTCCTGATAAACCAGGCAGCTATCTGCCTGTTGCTTCATTTTCTCTTGCAACAAAGATCTGAAATGTTGGTTTAGTAGAAAACGCCAGTCTGTGTCTAAGTGGATGTCCTTGCGTTCCAGATGACATATCCTTATATTATACCCATGGGTACGCCATATCCATTGGTGCTACATGTCCAAAGTGACATAAATCCATGGGTTTACCATACTTATTGTATCCTATGTGTCCAAAGTGACATGTCCTTATATTGTAGCCTCATGCTAATCTCTGTGTCTGAGAAGTCTTAGCCACAGTTCCACAAAATCCGTGTTGGAAAATAGCTTAAGAATAGTTATTTGAAAAAAGATCACTGTGATTATTGTCGCCCCACATACTTCCTCCACCCTTACTTTGTATCTAATATTTTGGAACTCAACAACCCCAGATAGATACTTAGAATGTGGTGGTTAATTTCTCCCTTCTCCCCCTTCATTTTACTCCAATGCATGTTTCCTGGAGTTGTATATAAATTAAACATTGCTTGTAAATGAGTTATATTTTAAATGCCAAGTGAGCAGAGAAATGCTCTGAAAAAAACTTTGCAATATGAATAACCATCTAACTGCTCTGTAATTACTGTTTGAATTTGCTTAAAGTAGGTTGTACTTGAACTCTGGACTTTCCATCCCATAAATGATGAATATTTATAAACATCTGCTTTCTGTAATTGCTCTTTAGTTGAGGTTGTTTGCTTTGCTGGTTTGTTTTTCTGAAACACGGGGAATGCAGGGATGATTATAGTACAGCAGTCATTAAAAGGTATATTTTTGCCTACTTTGGTTACACACTCCTTTACAGTCTAGAAGCAATTTTTAGGTTCTTGTCATCCCTTCTTCCCTGAATGAACTATCTGGTTTCCATCCCCAAGAAAATGCCCTGATTTCCCATGGTTTCTGGACAATGGGGATGTTGGACCTGGTATGTTTGAGGACACTCCAGCAATGGCAGCCTGCCCACCTAAGTCCATGGGTTTTTAAGCCCCCTTTTACAAACAGCAGGATAATAAGCCCAATATGTGAAGCAATCAAAAGCATTTGATTGGGAAGGAAGAATATGGACCAGCATGAGTGAGGGCTGGAGCCCCACCTAGTCAACCCAGAAGTGCTTTTGAGATCTTGAGGCAGTTTGAAAACACTGATGTAAGTTACAACCAAATATTTCTTATGAAAAACTCTCTTGTTGAGATGCAGTTGTAAATTCTATAATTTTGGGGGTAAATGTAGCAATAATGTAGAATTAAGAGGAAGGTGAGTCTGAACCAAAAAAATGGCCAAATTTACTAAAGATTCATGGTATCATTCTTTTTGAGCAAATAATTTGGCCAACAAAATATTGAGTAGAACATTCCTCTGTGAATGCATAAGAATGTTCTGTTGGTATCTGTCTGTTAGGTAATCACCCAGGTACCTGATGAAGTCCCTTTGGGATCCTGTTTACATTAGCCCATGTTTAGTTTCTCTGTGGACAAAGTCATTTTAAGCCTTGTCCCAATTTCCATTCAGATTAAATCAGGTGCCCAAACTGGTCTTTGATGTCCAAGTCTAGATAAAGGCTAAATGTTTGCTAGAATGCAGTCCCCACTAGGGATCTAGGTCACTAAGGAAACTTGCAGGGTAAGTCTTGCTGTTTTAAGGCATCAGGCATGTTCTAACACAGGTGAGCAGGCTTTTTCCTTTCTCAAGGTGATGACTGATGAGGTTTGACTCCTCTACTCCTTTCCAAACCAGGCATGGAGAGCTCTGTGTTTTCATCCTTTGTTCTATTATATTTGGATGTTATCTTGAAAATTTAAAAATCACAAAGTGGAATTGTGGGAGCATCCGACACAGGGCCGGAGGTCACCTACTGGGTGAGGCTGGGTGAAGCCTGGGGATGCTGCTGAGGGTGTAGGTGAGGCAAGGGAGAGGCCAGAGGGGCAGGAGACCTTGGGCAGATGGAACGTCAACCTGAGAGTTGAGGGGGTGGCATGTGTGAAGGGCAAGGGGGAGACTTTAAATCTATTCCAATTCTAGACCTGGCTATATACATTTGGACAAATACACAAGACTTTGGCTACTCAGGGAGACTTTCCCTAATTTTTAGTTTTATTCGTTTTTATTCTGGACTTTGCCTCTACTGTGAAATTTACCTGTACTTCAAAGATCATTCTATAAAGTAATTTGAACCCACAATTAAATTTGTTTTTAGTCTCCCCTTCTAAGTGCAGGAGCCTCAGGACCCAGAGTGACCACAGCTGGCCAAGCAGGCCAGAGTGCACTGCTGGAAGCCTCTATCTGGGGTTTTGGGGGTGCCTGGACTTGTGTCCACTTGGTGCTGTAGTTTAGGGGCTCCTGAGAAGCGAGGTGGAGAGGAAAGCAACAGAGGGGTTCCTGGGGCTGTGAGAGAGGGCAGACCAGGGCGATTGCTGGAACCACGGAGAATACATTTCTGCTGTCGCTCTGCTCTGCTAACAGGAGCCACGAGAGACTCAATGTCAGGCTCTCGCTGCCAGGGCTAACCTCTGCCCTGAGTTCCACTAGCCGGTCACAGGATACAATGATTCCACTGGTTTTCAGTTGGGCTTTCTAGGAGTTCAAACCTCCTTTTGGGCATTTTCTCTTTTTATCCTGAGCATATGCATGCATGTCAGGGATCAGTTTCTTCTGTAACCCAAGGAGCATCCAGTCAACAGCGAGGTTGAGTTTAGTCAGGCCAGGGTAAGGTATGGAGCCTGGCGTCTGAGGCTCGATGTGTCCCCCAGGAGGAGCACAGTTGGAGCACTGGGTGGAAAATACCACATGCGGCAGGAAGGAGGGCTGGAGAATGTCATTCCTTCCTGTAAGGTGGGAACAGCCTCAGACACAAGATGTGGTGGGGATGATGAGGTAATGTATGTAAAATGCCAGCAGAAGTTTATGGTTTTCCTGAATGTATTGATCAGATCAAATGTAAATAACTGGATCATTTATTTCCCCTTAATGAATAAACTGATTTCAAAATTGTATAGAAATCCTATCACTATGGTGAGTTTGTTATTTGGAGCTTGATGGGTCTTTACATTTTTTTTTTTTAGATTTTACTTTATTTTTTTTATTTTTAGAGAGAAGAAGGGAGGGAGAGAGGGAGAGAAACCATCGACTGGTTGCCTCTCGCACGCCCCCAACTGGGGTCCTGGCCTGGGACCCAGGAATGTGCCCTGATCAGGTATCAAAACTGGGACTTCTGGGTTTGCAGGCTGGCGCTCAGTCCATTGAACCACACAAGCCAGGGCGGTCTTCATTCTTGAACAGTCCTCCAAACTCGGCTTTGTAACTTGTTGAGTAAGGCTCTTTGCTTGGGACCCTGTTAACCAATCTGTGGACCATCTTCATTCCCTGGTCCTTTTCCTCATATGGTTTTGCCTGAATTTTCACTGCACCAGTCTAAACACCACCACTCTGTTGAGTAATAATGTGTTTCTTGTATTGATTTTTGTGTTATCTGCTGAGGTATTACAGAAAAAATTTACTTTTCAAGTTCAATCTCCAAGATCAAAGCTGTTGTATGTCTTCTTGTCTTAGGATAATTCCAGTGTCCAGACAATAAGTAAAAATAGACCCATCTTCCTTTTTTCCTAGGAGCTGAGAATGAGGCATTAGGAGACTTTTTTTTTTTTTAATACCCCAGCTTTGCCACCAGGCGTTGCTGTCTTTGCCCCATAAATGAAGGGATTGGTACCTAAGGTCCTTTCTATTTCTGTCACTTTAGCATAGTTAACTTGCCTGCAAACATCTCTAGAGACTCAGAGTGGTGAACAGGTCTTTCTGTCACAGACTGGTGATCATATTTGCTCTGGATCCTGATCTTTGTAATGTGAAATTTAAAAAAAAATCTAAGTGAATTTCAATTTGTACATTTCAACAGTTGCTGATAGTAAAAATCCTAGAGATTAAAACATTTTTTTATGTAAGACTATGAGGATTCAACCTTTTCTACTAACATATATTAAGTTAGCCAAAAAGTCTGTGTAGTTTTTTTGTAAAATAAAAAACACATTTTTCATTTTCACCAATAATGTTATTGATTGGATGTTTTGAGTATGTCGGCTATCCCCTGCATGGCATAACAGTGATTGTTCTCAATTAATGGCTTGATTTGACTTTTGACTGCTGTCAACTTCAACTGGTCTACCCGACCGTGGAGCATCATCCAGCGAGAAATCTCCAGCACGAAACTTTGCAAACCACTTTTGACACATTCAATCAGTTATAGCACCTTCTCCATACACTGCACAAATACTTTTTTGCATTTCAGGCTTTCTTGAAATAAAGCATAGTATGCTAAAAATGTTGTATATTTTCTCCCATCTTCAATATTAAAACGGCTATACAAAAATTCACCAATTTTGATAAATTCTTTAAATGCACACTGATATGACAGCTGTCACAATACAATCTGACAAAATTGTTCTGAATGAAGTTAAAGACAACTAAGGTCTACTAAAGCCATCTTACAGAAAAAAACAAATTAAGTTTTTGATTAACCCAATACTTAAATAAGAACATACTTAAAGAACCCAACAGCCCAGCTTGATATTGCACCTACCACATGCCTAAAGTTCTGCTTCAGCAACTGGCTTACCACTAGGGTAGGGCTTTTCAACCTTGGAACTGTTGGCATTCCTTGTGGTGGGGGCTGTTTTGTGCATGATGGGATGGTTAGCAATATTCCTGGTCTCTACACACTAGATGCTAATACTTACCCCACCAGGGCAAAATTGACCCAGTTGAGAACCACTGCTGGGAATTAGTAATTCTAGAAACCAGTGCCTTTGTCTGCAGCTTCTCTGACAGCTTTGCTTACAGAGCAAGCAGATACCTTGCCACGGAGGTGAGGGAAATGTGGGAGATCTGCGTCTTTCATCCTGGAAAGCACAGTACTCTGGATGTAAAGCCCTACGTGCTCTCAGTTTTGACCTGGTCCTCCAGGGTCTTCTGGTGTCACCTGCCTAGGTCCTCTCCAGAAGTGACAACCAGCCTGCTCTTTGAAAGAATCTCTCATAGCAGCAGCAGTAGGGCATGTTTAGCTAGCACTAGGAAGAGCTGTTGGCATTCACTTATCCCTCGAAGAATGTACATTACTGTTTTGGCAAGGTGTTCAAGAACATTCTAACATGTGAATGTATTTACGTTTAATGCCATTATTAGGAAATCTACTGTTTAAGCAATACTCTCTTCACATACACTGTGCTAAATCATTGTAAATATTAAGAGGCAGCCAACACTATATATGACATCCCTTATTAACAATTGGCAAATTGATACTTCACAAATACATATGAAAATGACTTTTTCTTCCTTTTACTTCAAACTACAGACATTTCTTTTGACAAATCAATACTTCACACATACTAAAATGACTTTTTCTACCATTTAGTTCAAACTACAGGGCTTTCTTCCCTGTGTACCTGTTAAAATGAAACAATTTGCTTATTAAAACTTAAAACAGTGAACTTGAAAATATACTATAAACTAGTCTTATTTTCAGCACCACAGGAGGATTATGACTATTAACCAAGGCTTTAAATGTGAAAGAACTGTTAGTAATTTCATTTGTTTTAATCTTCAGGTTGCTCTGAAGAAAACTAGTAATTTCTGAATAAAACATTTAATTTGGGATAAATACCACTGGTCCTTGTGAAGGCTTAGTTTCTGTGGCTAGTCACCCAAACCCTCTTGATTGATTTTTCTAATGTAATTTCAGGAGAATAGAATGTCAGAAAGACACATTATATGAAAGCTATTTAGAGAACTTTTTTTACAAAAAGACTTTGCTTATTTACTTTTGGAGAAAGGGGAAGAGAGGGAGAAAGAGAAGGGAGAGAAACATCAGTCAGTTGCCTCTTGCACATGCCTAACTGGGGACCTGGCCTGAGACCCAGGCATGTGCCTTAACTGGGAATTGAACTGGCGATCGCTCAGTTCGCAGGCTGGCATTCAATCCAGTGAGCTACACCAGCCAGGGCTATTTAGAGAATTTTATGTTTATTTGTTTAATTTTATTTTTAATGTTTATTTTTTGTTAAAGACTTTACTTATTTTCAGAGAGAGGAGAAGGGAGGGAAAAAGAGAGGGAGATAAACATCAATTAGTTGCCTCTTGTTTGCCCCCAAGTGGGGACCTGGCCCACAACCCAGGCACACGCCCTGACAAGAAATCAAACCAGCAGCATTTTGGTTAGTAGGCCAGCTGAGCCACATCAGCCAGGGCTATATTATTTTTGAAAAAGACTTTATTTATTTTTAGGAAAAAGGGAAGGCAGGGAGAAACAGATCAATCAGTTGCCTCTTGCATGTCACTGAGGCATGTGCCCTGACTGGGAATCAAACTGGTGACCTTTTGGTTCATAGGCTGGCACCCAATCCACTGAGCCATGTCAGCCAGGGTTATTTAGAGAACTATAAATCTGAAGATTTACTACTTAGGCACATATCTCATTAGAAAATAGTGATTTAAGTGGTTTTAAAAGTATATCACATCTTACCAAAAAAAGGTGAAAAAAATTGATACAAGTTTACAATTCATTGATAGTACTAGACTCAAATATAGTTAAATAAATATTATTATCATGAGCTGGAATAAGATAATATCAAATAAATAATTCCTAAAGCATGGTTTGCCAAAGTTTGGTTGCTTTCTCAAAAGTGTAATATAAAATCTTAATTTTTGAAGGCTCGCTTTTTCACTCAGGAAAAGTTATTGAGGAGCCTTAAAAAAGTTATTTTAAGGTTAAAGTTTCATTTTTTGATGTTAGTTCAGATGCATAGACTTCTGCCAGATTTTTACTGTGGTGTGAACTCTACATTTTCTGAAGTCGCTAAATTTCTCATTACAGCACAGGAAAAAGAAGATAAAGTAGGAGAGGGATCAGTTTTGAATTCAGACTTAAGCAGCAACATGTTTAAGATGCAATCACAAAACCAAATATTTCACCCAGGACGTGAAAAAAAGCAGTGGGTCACCAGAAAGCAAAGAGTAAAAAGCCGCAAGCAGAAGCAGTAAGAAGATGCCAGGCTTGGAACAGGTCTTTTTGATACATACCATGCCACCAAGCTCACCCCTTTAGGAAAAAGAAAAAAGTCTCTGTTCACACTGAGGTAACTTACATACTTTTGAGAATGACAAAGTTATCATGGAGCTACATTTTTTCAAAAATTTTTCATTTTCTGAAACAATCTTACTGATAAATTAAAAAAAGTATCACTTGTGTTAATTTTGTTTATTTTTCTAGTCTTATGTCCTGTAATATTAACTTGCTTGAGAGTAAATTACCAAAAATTAATGGAAGGGCCTTGGCCCTTGGTTAGCATAGGAAGGGTCTTTCCTATGCTAGCTAAACTTCACTATTTTTAAATTTGTGGATTTAGAATAAAATTACAAATGTGCTTCTTAGTAATAAGGCAAAACAATACTTGCAGTTTTTTCTTTAGTTTGTTCAAAGAGCTGAATGAATATTGGTACTCTTGCAGTTCAAGTATTATAGAAAATGCTTTTGTTTCTTCACATCACTTGGGCACTTGCTCTTTTCAAACATGCATATTTTGTAATTTAAATTTGTATTTATTGTTAGAGAGATTGATTTTATGTTCTACTTATTTATGCATTCATTAGTTGATTCTTATATGTGTCCTGACCAAGGATTGAACCCACAACCTTGGCGTATTGGGATGATGCTGTAACCAACTGAGCACCCAGCCAGGGCCAAATATACATATTTTTTTAAAAAAGACTTTATTTTTAGAGAGAGGGGATGGAAGGGAGAGAGGGAGAGAAACATCCATGTGTGAAACATCGATTGGTTGCCTCTCTCATGTCCCCAACCGGGGGCCTGGCCTGCAGCCCAGGCATGTGCCCTGACCAGGAATTGAACTGGCAACTTTTTGGTTTGTGGGACCACACCAAACCCACTGAGAAACACCAGTCAGGGCCAAACATGCATATTTT